AGCGTAAGGTCCGGTGTTCGATGCTTGGCCGCGTAATGCAAAAAGACGTTAATAGATGGTACTTGTTGTTACCCTGTCTGGCGCTCGGCATTAAGAGGCTAAAACAAGGACTGGTCGGCTCACTATACTGTGTATTCGTGTTAAAACTGCGGCATGGTATCTCATTGGGCTAGCACTATATAATCGGCATACCTCCGGACTAGTACAAGAAGCCGCACACACACACACACGTGCATGCACGTCGCTATAGAAGTGCAATAATCTTCGACGCGACGTTAAACCCCATTTCACTTCACCTCACCTCACCTCACCTCTACAGGACGGATTCAAATATTTAAAAAATATCGATTTTACCTTTTTAGGGAATATAACTTCCGACGCGCCCACGCTCCAGTCGTTTACAACATTTCAATGTGACACGATGTAAACTATAAGCCTACATACACTATTGCCTGTTGTGTTGTAGGTAAGTTCCTATCTCATAGTAACCTTGTGATAGGTGCTACTTTCAAGTGAGATCTGTTGAGAGGTTAAACATTGGAATTGTAAAACCACCTTGGGGGTTTTACATTTGAATTGTAAGACCTGTTTGGGGTTTTACATTTGAATTGTAAGACCAGCTTGGGGGTTTTACATTTGATTTGTAAGACCTGCTTGGCGTTTTACATTTGAATTGGGGCTTTACATTTGAATTGTAAGACCAGCTTGGGGGTTTTACATTTGAATTGTAAGACCTGCTTGGGCGTTTTACATTTGAATTGGGGCTTTACATTTGAGTTATAAGACCTGCTTGGAGGTTTTACATTTGAATTGTAAGACCTGTTTGGGGTTTTACATTTGAATTGTAAGACCTTCATGGAGGTTTTGCATTTGAATTGTAAGACCTGCGTGAATTGTATAAACATTCTTTTAATATACATCTATAGTTGCATTTTTGACTGCTTATAAGTTACAATATTTTACACATGAAACTTCCATGACGCGAATCAACCTACAACCTCACATATCATGTTTAGTATGGGCACCCAATGGTTCCCTCTGGGCCACCGTGACGGGGCAGGTCTGAGTGGGTGAGTATAGTTTTAGGCTTCACACATTGTACCCATGTCGGTAGTCGAACCCAGGTCTTCGGCGTGACGAGCGAACGCTTTAACCACTAGGCTACCCGACCGCCCCTACCGGGCCAGGTGATGAAAGGGTTTTCAATCTGATTCCAGACGTTGCCTTTCTCTCCCAGCTGTCATCGTATTTGTTATATACCGCGACTACTGGTAAACATCGGAGGCCTGCATCGCGTTGGGCTATCCTACCACATTAAGCAGACAAGCTGTATAGTAACTGGAATACTGCTCAAAACCGCGTTACATCCAACTCACTCACTCTTGTTTGTTGTGGTATTTCTTGCATTTAGATGGTTCATAATTCAGTTGAAATATTCTTCCTCGGTTTTGGTTTAGACTATTCCCGCGTTCGAGGTTTTAAATCCTCAACAAAATCCGGGGGCGGTCGGGTAACCTAGTGGCTAAAGCGTTTGCTCGTCACGCCGAAGACCCGGGTTCGATTCCCGACATGGGTACAATGTGTGAAGCCCATTTCTGGTGTCCCCCGACGTGATATTGCTGGAATATTTCTAAAAGCGGCGCAAAAACTATACTCACTCACTCACTCAACAAAAACCGAGGAGAATTTTAACTGTAACTTTAAGTAAATATGAAAAGTATATACCTGCAGGTTTTACCAAAGATAAACAGTAAACAAACAAAATAAACCTGAAAATATTAACTATAATAATAATTGTGTATAAATTTGTTTTAGTAGTTGAACATATTTTGTTATTTTCTTTTTTAGTATCGTCGTGAGGTAATATTTAAAATTACATACAATTACAATGAGCAGAACACCTGGATAAACTACATGTCAATAGTGTGTTACATATCGTATATTGAGTGCAATTGCTACTACAGTTTCCACCATTTGCCATGCCCCACGTTATACACAATAGAGTAGTACTACTATTATGTGTTATTCATTTACAAGTAGATCATTAACACTAGACAACAAGATGATGTATTTTGGTACAAATACATGTTTTATAATTAATAGCAGCAAAACGTGTTCTACACCAATTAACTTGTCGTCAATGGCACCCTTGGAATCCCTTATTTCATTTTGAAATATATATCGTCAATGCAAGAGAATTACCAGTCTAGATTATCCGCCGAAACAGATTCTGACACATGTACACAATGTGAATAACATTCAAAGGATGGTTAAAGGAAAGAATATAAGCACCCACGTCTATACGTTTGAAATTGTAGGCCGGGTGAGGGGGATCAATTTGTCTGTTCACTATTGAAAACTCAACTAAACGTTTAATATAATCTTTATCCTAAGACTAAGTGGGCGAGTTGCGTTTAACGACGCTTTGAACAGTAGTCCGGTTATATCAGGGCATGTCTGCTTGATGTGGGAGGAAAGCCCGAAGTGATGCAGGTCTTAGACGTTTACCACTTCGGTGAAACCCACGGGTATGGTGCTGACAAACCTAGAACATAATCGGGGCAAACCAGGAATCGAACCGACGATCATAGGTTTCTGGCGTGTCCAAGGGACTCAACTCTGCACAGCGAATTACGGCGCCTTAGACGACTGGGTCCCCCGTGCTCCCATTTAAGGATCCTATTGAGGTCGCGATGTCAGGTGGTCTCACATTCTAGTGCATACCAAGGAGACACAGCGAACACTCTTTTCGATATTGACAGGGGACGATTGGGTTGTTAGTTGGTTTGTTGTTAACGCCGCACTCAGCAATATTCCAGCTATATGACGGCGGTCTACGATTGGGTAGCTCGGTGGTCAAAGCGTTCGCTCGTCACACAGAAGACCCGGTTTCGATTCCCAACATGGGTAGAATGTGTGAAGCTCCTTTCTGGTGTCTACTGACATGATATTGCTGGAATATTGCTAAAAGAGGCGTAAAATCATACTCACTCACTATTTTGACTGTAACACTTACAAGGCTTAATTTCAATTACTTAAATTGTTTTCAATGACAAAACAATTAATCCCCCCTTTCAACATCGTTTAACTGTTGTCTTAAAGGACCGACGAATTGACAAATTCGCATCACTGGCGTGAGTGAGTTGGGTTTAACGCCGCTTTTAACAGTATTACAGTTATATCGCGGCGTGTCAGCTTAATGTGGGAGGAAAGCCCGAAGTGATGCAGGTATTAGACGTTTACCTCTTCGGTGAAACCCACGAGCACGGGTATGGTGCTGACAAACCTAGAAACATAATCAGGGCGAACCGGGATTCAAACCAACAATCATAGGTTTCTGGCATGCCCAAGGGAAGCAACTCGGCACGGCGAATCGCGGCGCCTTAGACGACTGGGCCACCCGTAACCCCCTCGCATCACTGGAAGCCTAAAAGAGCAACCCCTCTGGCACTGGTCGTAAGAGGCGACTAACGGGATCGTTTGGTCAGGCTCGCTGACTTGGTTGAAGCTTGTCATCGATCCCGATTGCGTGAATCGATGCTCATGATATTAATCACTGGATTGTCTGGTCCAGACTCGATTATTTACAGACCGCCGTCATTTAGCTGGAATATTGCTTGTTGCAAACAACAAACCAACCAACCATGCGGAATATTTGCTGTGAAGAGTCTGTGAGGTATGACATCAAAGCCTGATGGTGTTTGCACTGCTCAATGTTCACAAATCTACCTCCGAACCCGTATGAGCCCAACGAGCTACATAATGGTGTGTCCCATTCACTCCACCAGTTCGAATCATTCAGGTGAAATGGCCAAACGGTGCGGTCAGGTAGCCAAGTGGTTAAAGCGTTCGCTCGTCACTTCGAAGACCCGGGTTCGATTCCTGACATGGGTAATGTGTGAAGCCAAAATTGATGGTGTCCCCCGCCGTGATATTGCTGGAACATTACTAAAAGCAGCGTAAAACCATACTCACTCACTCACTCACTCACTGAAATGGCCAAAATATAAAAAAATATGAAGAGGATGCTAATTAGGTTTTATTTAAGGTAAAATCAGTAAACGTTAACATGCTATTGACAGTGATCAGTATACATAGATAAATCGAATAGTTTTAAGGTTAAGGACTGAAGTCAACAAACAACTTAAACATGAGGCATCGGACCGAAATTCCAGAGAACAAATAATGTTTAATTTAGTAATCCCAAATCAACTCCTTACGCTCCCATGGATTCATGTTGGGTAAGGATTGTAGCCCACAAACAACTCAAACAAGAGACATTTGGCCGAATTTGCTATATTTGTGGTTTGACGCGTGTTGGCAGCATTAAGAATCAGAAACCTTTGGTTCCAAAACGAATATCTTTTCCATTTCGCTAGACCCATGTTCCTTCTGAAAGGCTTTCCGTATTTGGCAAAGTTGGTCCAGTACTTTATGATGTCATCAGAGAGTTCCTCCTGGTCGGGTGGCAGAGTATAGTTTCCCAGATCAAAAGTTCCAAAAACCGACGGTAGCTCTATTCCATGGCAGACATAGTTGTTGCAGACATTTCCTGGCCCCCAGATATCGTATGGGAACAGTTGATCAAAGACGTAGTTGAATGATTTGGAGTCATCAGCAACAATGTCTGAGACGGCCCGACTCACACAGTTGAACACGTAATCCGTGGTAATTTCAGACAAGACGAAACGTTTGTCAGCGTTCGCATTGACATCATAGAAAAGACCTAACAAGCCCAAAGAAAGTGATGGGTTTACCGTTTCGAGAAGGCTCTCAAACTCTGAGGAATTTATAGGGTTATTGAATATAGAGAATATGTACCCCACGCCTTCATCTTGGACAGTTCCGATGATGGTGTTCATCTTCTTGTGAAGACCTCTTTCAAAGATGTTGTATAGGTGGTCCTTCACCAAAGTGCCGTCGATGACGGGGCCCCAGAATTGGAAGGATAGGAGGAATGTTGCCCCAGGCAATGTGACCTGGCCTTGGAAAGTCAAGATGTCATCAGCATCAGCCTCCCTATAGCAGGTGAGGTTACCCACAGTACACCCCATCAAGGTGGCGAGTTGAGCTTCTTGGCTGTCTCCTTGAGCTGCAGTTCTGAAGGGCAGGGTGAAGGGACAACTCTGGAGGATGGCGCGATTTAAGTACTGACTGGCGGAGGGGACGCTCATCAGAAGAGCAGTAGACTGGGCCCCAGCACTCTGGCCGAAAGCCGTGATCTGGTGAAGTAGATGAATATTAACATCAAATACTCATGTAAGGGACAAGAAACTATACCTCTCAGATGATATAATAGATTGGATTTTACGCTATATTTGCAAAACCAGACATTTTAAAATATAAATTATGACCCTAAATATTATTTTGATACATACAAACTTGTTTTCAACAGTCTAAAACGGAACCATAAATTGATACGAGTTTAAGCATGTAGTGAAGCCTGATGGTGTTATCAATATTTTTGGTTGCATTTTGGAGCATATATTAAGCATTTTCGCGAACAATGTATTGTTTCGAGAAAGAGTTGATGTTAATCACTTAATTTAGAACTTCGCGCTATCGCATCAGTGTGCCAAGATCGTGGGTTTGAATTACAGATTGGCCCTGATATGTTTCTAGGACTGACCTTTGTGTTGTCTCCCCCGAAGTACTGGATGTAGGTGTGAATCCATTCCAGGGCCGCGATCTGGTCCTTCACCCCAAGGTTCCGGGATCCAAGGAAACCAAACGCGGCTGAAATATGTTAACAGGCTGGGATTATGGACCGATCGTTTGATATTCGTGGTGGGATGGGTAGGGTCGGTGGGTGCTGGGATTTTGTCGAAAAATATAATTGTTCCTTAAAGTTTTGAAAAATATATAAATTATTCTTCAAACTGTTGAAACAATAGAAATTGCCTGCCACCAAAATTACATTGTTAAATGGTGTTTTTCATTTTAAGTCTCACAGTTTTATTTTTTTTAAATTCTGGTTATGTAGCTGTAGCTGAAAAATGGCGTCCATGGCGTCACAACTCGCTGCTGGAAACAACATCGTGGTGTCCGTTTCACAATTCGCCCTGATAATGGTTCCACGTTTGTGAGAACCAAACATGTGCTCTTGGGTTTCACCAGAGTGGTAAACCTGCATCACTTCGGACTCTTCGTCCATCATGAAGCTGTCGCGCCGTGATGTAACTCAAGTACTGTTCAAACTCTCGTTAAAACAAACCCACTCACTCACTCACTCACTTAATCCCCTAGTAGTGATAACATTGTTGATGTGAATTGCGGATATATCAAACTGATCTTTTCGGGCCTTTCATTTTTTTTTGGTCGGTTAAAGCCGCACTCAGCAATATTCCAGCTATGTGACGGCGGTCTGTAAATAATCGAATCTTGACCAGACAGTCCAGTGATTGACATGAGCATCAATCCATGCAATTGATACGATACGATAACGATGACATGCATCAACCAAATCAGCGAGCCTGACCACCCGATCCCGTTAGTCGACAAGCGTAGTCGCCTTTTACGGCAAGCATGGATTGCTGAAGATCAATTCTACCCCGGCTCTTCACGGGTCAAATGATATCAAGTATTGACAAAGGTTAAAGACGCAGGTATATTTTATTTAAGATGCCCCACGGTCAGTTCATGGTTATAGCATGGACCTTCGCACATACAGATGCACTGAGTGAAGACCTTGTCAATGCCCTTACTCACTCAATCTGTAGTTTATGGTCACCAAGATACATCCGCCCTCGTTGACAAATACATCGCCATCAAACACGATAGATCCTCCGCTATATGCATCGAAATTGCCACCGTGCAGGAAGAACATGACGCAAGTTCCGGGAGGATTTCCACTTGGCGTGAAGATGTTCAGAAACAAACAGTCCTCAGAAATCTGGAGAAATACACAAAGATGTCTTGGCAAAGGTGTTGAAGTGACAAATAACAATTTTTCTAAATATGTTGTCTCTTTGGTCTGATGTGGGAACAGGTACTACGCATGGCGATTGACTTTAATACTAGTATATGAACCAACGTGTGATATTGCAATGCTGGATACAATGTCAAATGAATTCAACGATCAAGTACAATAACTGAGTGAGTGAGTGAGTGAGTGGGGTTTAACGCCGCTTTTAACAGTATTCCAGTTATATCGCGGCGTGTCAGCTTAATGTGGGAGGAAAGCCCGAAGTGATGCAGGTATTAGACGTTTACCACTTCGGTGAAACCCACGAGCACGGATATGGTGCTGACAAACCTAGAAACATAATCGGGGCGAACCGGGATTCAATCATAGGTTTTTCAAGGGACGCAACTCTGCACAGCGAATCGCGGCGCCTTAGACGACTGGGCCACCCGTGCCCCCAGTAAAATAACTGAGGGACAAAAGATAGTATACTTTTTTATGACATTTGAAAATTGAAAGAACTGTTGTTAAATTTGATTATGTCTATTTAACCATCATTCATTCCTGCAACAGTTTGAAAAAAGTAATCTGTGGCTAATTCAGGTAATTTTGTGTTGAAATGAATTGGTTCAATGAAGACTGAGGAAGACAACCACAAGACCCAAACCATATTTGAAATGTAAATCTGTGCCGAAAAAAGAAAAGATACACATTAGCAATTGTGTATAATGCGGAATTTTTGTTTTAAAATTTTAAAAGTTTTAAATCAAACTATATTTAAAAAAACTAAAACCATGTACAAGTATGTGTGAGTGATGACTAAGGGTCAGTGCAGTTCATCTTTGGATGTATATAACTAACTTGATATAATTTCAATTGGAAATATAAAGTATGGTAAAATCAACTGAAAGGTATAGGTACAGTTCAGGCATATATTTGACAACAGGCCATGAACATATTAATAGGCCAACAATATTACTAATGTTTTCATTTTTCATTGAGGGTGTTTTCAAATATAAGCAGATGCTCAGAAAGTAAGCAATCCCTCCTGTTTTGAATAACCTTTTATGGTTATTGAGCTGTTTTAACATAATGACTTGTTTGTTTGTTGTTTAACGCCGCACTCAGCAATATTCTAGCTATAAGACGGCGGTCTGTAAATAATCGACTAGACAATCCAGGGATTGACATTATGAGCATAGATCCACGCAATTGGGATTTGATGACATGCATCAACCAAGTCATCGAGCCTGACCACCCGATCCAGTTGGTAGCATCTTACAAGCATAGTCGCCCTTTACGGCAAGTATGGGTTGCTGAAGACCTATTCTACCCCGGATCTTCGCGGGTCTGAAAACACATGTGCAATAATACTTTGTATTCACTAATTCGTCTGTCCCGTCAGCGATACCCTGTCCGACGTGTCCTTAGGGATCCCTCTATCTCGAAACCAGGGCCCACTTGCACAAAGCGATCTTAGCGCTAAGATGATCGTAACTCCCATACTTTAACATAGGCTTACGATCTTAGCGCTAAGATCGCTTTGTGCAAGCGGGCCCAGCTCTTAAGGTTCATTTTAAGGTAAACTTCGGGCACTTTTGTGATATGCTGTACACGGTATGCAGTGTGAAACAAAATGGCTGAAAAAGACAGTGTATGAATGGACTATGGCACATACGTCTTCCTGGCACGCCAGTTCTGGGATGTTGGGACAGTTCTGGTAGCACGCTGCACCCACATTCGTCGCGTCGTAGGGATTTGGCCAGGGACTAACAGGCTGGGGATCCTCGAACCTTGCAAACCAGATCAAAGAATCATTGTGGTATCAAGATGCCACACGGCGCTTATGTACCCTAATGGTAAACGTGTTCATTCATCAAGCCGGTGGCTTGCGTTCAATTCCCAAATGGAAACATTGTGTGAAACCCATTTCCGATTCCCACGTCATTGTATTCCTGGTATATCGCTTAAGCGCCGTAACCCCCTCACAACAGCAGGTGTAGGAACCATATAGGTTTATCATACTTTGTGCTTATAAACATGGACTAAACTTCGCCGCCTCAAACTGTATTTCAGGTATATCATACGAAAACCTACGTTTGCTACTTTGGTAGCTCTAAAACTTTTTTTAAATCGAAATTTCTCGCTGTTATTTTCTCGAAATTTCAAGTTTTTGCAAATTAACTTGAAATAACGAGAAAATAATCGAAATTACCAGAAAAATTCGAAGTAAAGAGAAAATAATTGAAATTTTGAAAATATAATCGAAATAACGAGAAAAAACGCGACAATTACGTTTAAATAACAAGAAAATTCGATTTAAATATATAAAATAATTGATCTATATACATATACATATATGCTAACAAAGTGGCAACCATAAGGCTCCCGAAATATCACAGTCTGTCAGCTTAATGAGGATGAAGCGTCCAAGGGGACCCAAGCCCTTAACCTTTACCACTTTGGTGAATCCCACGAGCAAGGTATAGACCACCCGAAACACTTAAAACCTTGATGTGTGGCATCGACACGCTGGCAACTTCAATGTCATTTTATAAATGACAACCTTTGTGTCTCAAATGCAGAAATATTGTTTGAAAATTTGCATTCACGTGCAACCATATTCTGAGATTGAGACGCCGAAGTTGAACTCATTTTGTGTCGTGCAATTTATGAGTTATCATTAGATGTATATAACAGCCACAAGACCGACTTTTGTAAAACATCAGTTAACCTTAATACATACGCTTCGTTTCTGTAAAACGGCGACCCCCTTTCAAGAATGCAAAACCCTGGATTTACCTTGGAGCGCTGGCATACTTAATGCCGAGGAACGCGTTGGTGTCAGTCCGGGCAATACCGACGATGTCGCCAAGAGCAGGGACGTTAACAGTTACTGTCGTCGCCGCCGCCAACCGCGTCAAGGACGCAAGCGAGAGGAGTGCTGCAAGGAGAGCCATCTTGCTAGTGTTTGTTTATGATTTAGTTCTTGGCTTATATACTGATAGTTGATTAGTTGATAGGACATCTGTGGTTTAGCATTGCTGTAGCTAACGTATGGCAATTACTACGATGCAGCATGTTTGACCTTAGGCACATCTGGTACGAAATAAGTCGATATATCTTATCTACGTGTGCATGTATCTATCTATAGCGTACATTTGATACTAGCGTGTAGATCAACTGGTATTTTCTCTCTTCTTAAGAGGCTGACCATTTAATTTTCTGGTATGGGCCGAGGATCTTTGGTGTCTAAGTTTCAAAACTCTTGAGGAACAATCGAGCATGCTCTTTCTTCGAAGATTCCAAAGAGCGCCATACGACTCTTGCTAAAAGGTTTCTGATCAGGGTTACAACATTTCAGGTTTTATTAAAGCTTTCAAAACGATTTATGGTGTACATATAGTCCTTGCTTTTAAGTGTTTGTGATGGGTGCCACCGGTGGAGCAGGATCCGCTATCCATTTCGCGATATGCACTATTTGATAGTGATTTAGAAACCCATGCTCGTGATCGTAAAATAGACTTTTGGAAGTGATTTCTAATGATTATGGGGCGGTCGGGTAGCTTAGTGGTTAAAGCGTTCGCTTGTCACGTCGAAGACCCGGGTTCGATTCCCGACATGGGTACAATGTGTGAAGCCCATGTCTGGTTTCCCCCGCCGTGATATTGCTGGAATATTGCCAAAAACGGCGTTAAACCATACTCACTCACTCAAAGTTTATATAGGCAAAGAAGGAAGTCAAAAGATTTATGAGGGGCAACGAAACAAGTATTCGAGGAGAAAGAAATCAATGAAATCGTTGAAGAAGTTAAGGATTGTAGGTATTTTTGGAAATCTGTCAAGAAATATTGCTATTGTAAAGAAAATGTATCGCGAAATATTTCTGTTGATGATTGGTACAAGTATTTTATAACACTGTTACACACTGTCGAAAAAAAATAATGCATTCGGAGAACAAGTTAAGTTTTTTCTTAAACAGTCATGAACCTGAGCACTGTGACGCCTGTAGCAATGCAGGTGATATTTTTGGTAGCAGCATCACCGACGATGAAATTGTTTGCACAAAAATAATTTGAAGAATGGTAAATCCCCTGGTGATACCCGTCGAAGTATTTAAAGAAGCTTGTATATTAATACTGCCCTTAAGTAATAGTTTGTATAATCGTTTTCTAGACAGTGGCAAGTTTCTAGATTCGTGGAAGGTTGGTTTGAGTGTATGTACTCCTTCACGAAGCAGGAGATAAACACGAATACCTATAGTTTTGGTTTGTTGTTTAACGCCGCACAGTACTCCAGCTATATGGCGGCGGTCTGTAAATAATCGAGTCTGGACCAGACAATCCAGTGATTGACATCATGAGCATCGATCCACGCAATTGGAATAGGATGACATGCATCAAACCCTGAAATGGGGATTAAAATTAAATACGGGTAACACCAAAATAATAGTCTTTAACAATTTTTAGGTAGGATAATTATAAATATGTGCGAAATGGTTTCTCAATTGAAAGAATGTTGAGGTAGTATCGCATTACAAATATTTACGTGTAGACATATATTTTCGTGTAGACATATATCCAGTAAGGCCTGTGAGAAACCTGCCATGGAAGGTGAAAGAGCTTGACATGTCATTAAAAGGTTTATATCGAGGTATAAACATTTGCCAATTGCATCTTCACTCAAATTGTTTGATGGGATGCACATACTTTAACATTAGTGAGTGAGTGAGTATGGTTTTACGCCACTTTTAGCAATATTCCAGCAATATCACGGCGGGGGACACCAGAAATGGGCTTCACACATTGTACCCATGTCGGGAATCGAACCCGTGTCTTCGGCGTGACGGGCGAACGCTTTAACCACTAGGCTACCCGACCGCCCACTTTAACATTAGAGCACCTAAGTTTTCAAAAGTACCGGCAATTGAAAATACATCCTGTCCATACTGTAACCACCCAAATAAAGACGAATATCACGTACTATTAATATGTCTAGAATAGGCAAGTTTAAAAAATGATTATATGTAGCAGTATTTTAGAAATGGACCATCTCGAGAAAAGCTGCATGATAAACTCCAAACCGAAAATGCGAACATGCTACCCCAGCGCCCCGTTTGACATAGAATACAACATGTACATATGTTATGACGCCATTAGTTATGATCAAGTGCTTGTCATCTGTTACAAATAGGATGTTTTCACACAGCAATACATTCTCATATATCTTAGTTCTATAGGGCAGTGGGGTAGCCTAGTGGTATACAGCGTTTGCTCGACATGCTGAAGACCTTGGTTCGAGTCCCCACATGGGTACATTATGTGACGCCCATTTATGGTGTCCCCGTCGTTATATTGCTGGAGTATTGCTAACAGTGGCGTAAACCCACACTCACTCGCTCACTCGCTCACTCTTAGGTCTACAACCAGTTTTTCCCGTGTTCGAATCCTGTTCTAACTGTCAACACTTCAAAGGTTCACTGGCTTGGCACAGGATCAAATAACTAATGATATACAAAGAACAATATTTAAATGAATCCCCAATGATATTCAGAAATAATACGTAACAACGTAACATTGTTGAATTCCCCGAGAGCATCGATGCATCTTGGGTACTGGATATCGCGTGGTATTCTTCGTCATTCTTCTTGTAAGGCCTGCCCAAGCTTATGTTTCAAGGTTTGTCAGCACCATAGCCGTTCTTATGGGTTTTACCAAAGCGGTAAACGTCTAAGACCTGCATCACTTCGGGTTTTCCCTTAAATCAAGCTGACACGCCGCGATATAACTGAATACTGTGCAAAGCGGCGTTTTGATAAATACTCATACATCATAATTATTAAAGCGAAATGCTATCTATATTGCGCTCAGTTTCAAGGTTAGTTGTTGTTTTGATACTGTGTTACTCTCCGATTTGAACACATGTTGCACGTTCAACTGAAGGTTAAACTAAAAAGTAAACTAATTATAACGCGACCGGTCAAATAGCGACTCCCCTGAGAGACAATATGCCACGTGTGTTGGTTGTGAATAAATACAGGCAGGTGTATGAGAGACAATATGCCACGTGTGTTGGTTGTGAATAAATACAGACAGGTGTTTGATGCCAATGGACCATGACTTCAGCGGCAACTTTGGTTATTTTCACTTATACTGGAAGTAGGTTTGCGAAGCCAGATTCGCCTTGATTATGATCCTTGGTGTGTCAGCACCAAACCAGTGTTCGTACAAGGGCTAGTTAAAAAGTGCTATCCTAACAAACACAAAACAATTGTGAAAGTGTTTTTAATTTTAATTTTCAACATTATTTTCCTGCTTTTCAATACACTTCTCATGTCGATAGTGAAGCTTTTCAATTCCAGTCATGAAGATGTTTTCTGAAGCCACCATCACAAACCCATTCACGGCAGCTTTGAGGTCATCGTTGTCGTCATAGCGCTTTCCACGAAGGTGTTCTTTCAATTTAGGAAACAGGTGGAAATCACTTGGTTTCAGGTCTGGCGAGTATGGGGGGTTAGGAAGCTCTTCGAACCCACATTGTCGCACAGCAGCCTTTGCAAGTCGAAAGGTCTGAGAAGAGTCATTGTCATGAAGTAGTAGAACTTCAGCAGTCAGCATTCCTCGCGCTTTTCTTTGATAGAATCTCTCAGGTGATGAAGCAAATCAGCATAGTAGGCACCGGTAATCGTCTTTTGACTTTCTAAGTAATCAACAAGGATCACACCCCTTGCATCGCAGAATACAGAGGCCATAATTGTCTTCACTGACTTTGAAGACTAGAATTTCTTTGGTGCCGGAGAAGTGGAGGGGTGCCATTCCATAGATTGACGTCTTGACTCGGGATCATAGAGGTAGACCTGTGTCTCATCGCCCGTTACTAACCTCTTTATGAATTTGACGAAATCATCCTCACTGGGTTCTAAATTTTCTATGGCAATGTCAGTTCTTTTTCCCTTAAGATCAGAGTTAAGGAACTTTGGAACCCAAACGGCAGATGTCTTATTCATCTGTAAATGTTCATGAATAATAGTTTCAATGGACCCATGGCTTAGACCTCTAAGTTCAGCAATGGTAATACGTCTATCTGACAGTATAAGTTCTTCTATCTCCTTGATTGAATCTTCATTGATTGAAGTTGAGCGACGTCCAAACCTGGGTTCATCATCAATGCTTGTTCTCCAAGCCTTAAACATATCTGCCCAACGTTTAACAGTGGAATAGCTGGGACACTTATCCCAATACACTTGTGACATGCGGTCTTGAATTTCTTGGGGAGTACTTTTCTCTAAAGTGAAAAACATGATGACTGCTCGGTACTCGTTCTTTTCCATTCTGTATCCATTTGGACCCCTATGACGTTCAACTGGCTGTTAGAAACACGACCTCATACACAAATACACTTGCCATGAAGTACTCAAACAATGTACTACATTGACTAGTTCCCTTTGTTATGGTCAATTTTTTTACCAGCTCTCCTCTGGGACTTCAATATGCATTCGCGCTGGTTGTGGGGGTCAGAGCAGTAGTTTGTTGCTTTTTACATAACAATGAAATCACATATGGCTTTTTAGGTGCATATAGGTACATTGTTAGACAAATATGATTTTAAAAGTTTCTTTCAAACGATCTCTTTTAACATTTGGAAAGTTAGTATCTTAAAATTTCAACTTACTATCTTGAAATTTCAACTTACTATCTTGAAATTTCAACTTAGTATCTAGAATTTCAAGAAAAAAAATGAAAAAACAAATGGCCCTGAAAGGCTTCCGTAGTAATGCAACCGGTCCGTCTTTTCATTTGTTCTACTTCACCTGTGTGTATAATGAGGTCCGCTATTACGTCACTGTTTACAATTACCGGTCGACCGCGTCCGCCCAGTGAGTGGAAGGTCCGGGGTTCGATCCCCGGCCGCGTCATACCAAAAGACATTAAAAGATGGTACTTGTTGTTACCCTGTCTGATATTAAGGGGCTAAAGCAAGGATTGGTCGGCTCGGAGTCAGTATACTGTCCCTGAGTGGGGTATTCATGTTAAACTGCGGCATGGTATCTCATCTCAGTGGGCTAGCACTATAAATCGGCATCAGTCCGGCGGCCTAGTTGAAGCAGCCACGCACGCACGCACGCACGCACGCACGCACGCACGCACGCACGCACGCACGCACGCACGCACGCACGCACGCACGCACGCACGCACGCACGCACGCACGCACGCACGCACGCACGCACGCACGCACGCACGCACGCACGCACGCACGCACGCACGCACGCACGCACGCACGCACGCACGCACGCACGCACGCACGCACGCACGCACGCACGCACGCACGCACGCACGCACGCACGCACGCACGCACGCACGCACGCACGCACGCACGCACGCACGCACGCACGCACGCACGCACGCACGCACGCACGCACGCACGCACGCACGCACGCACGCACGCACGCACGCACGCACGCACGCACGCACGCACGCACGCACGCACGCACGCACGCACGCACGCACGCACGCACGCACGCACGCACGCACGCACGCACGCACGCACGCACGCACGCACGCACGCACACGACGCCTATATAAGTGCAATGTGCAAATATCTTGGACGCGACGTTACACCCCATTTCACCTCAACTCACCAATTACCGGTCGGCTCTGTGGGTGATGTGTTACTCAAGCACAGTCGGCGTAATGATTAGTTAAGCACCATGACAGTGGTCTATTTCACTGTGGGTTAGCTTTCCGTTTATGCTATCAAGCATTGGTTTCTGTTTGGTACAGATATGATTTTTACGGGCCAACTGTACAACATTCACATCAAACCTCCTTAACCATTCGAATGTATTGAGTTTTCATACAATCTTCACCAATGCATTTGAAGCGTATGTAAAATCTCATGCAATGCTGCAAGCAGGGCGCAAAGAGTTAAAGTTCTTGTATTTCGACACATTTCATGTTTGTTTCGAAATGAGCCAGCCACAATGACTCTGAAGATGTATCTCTAGAACTGAAAGACGGCACGTTTGGAATGCAGTAATAAAGACGTTCGAAAAAGTACAGTTAATTCTCTCCCCCACAGAAGGGAAGTCTGAATGGTTACCAAAAGTATCGAACTTGCACAGTCAGCAATAAATTGCAGCTGATAGGCAAACAGAATCCTGGTCAACTTCACTAAGAAAGTGTTATCCCAAATATAACACTTGTTAGATAATAATAATAAAGTCCATTTCTTCAGCGCCATTTCCGTCTACGTAGTCGCTCATAGCGCCTCACACAGGGTCATAGACACATCTAAAGAGATAAGTCTTCAGTTTTGTCTTGAAAGGGTCCAGAGTTGGAGATTGCCTAATTTCCACTGGAAGCGAATTCCAGAGCACAGATGCAGTGTGAGCAAAAGTTCTGTTGCCGAATGCTTTGAGTGAGACCACAGGGACACTAAACTGAAGTTTTTGTGCTGATCTGAGATCTCGTGCTGGCTGGTGTAGGGTAAGAAGTTCACTTAGATAGGAAGGTGCTGTCCTATAGTAGCACTGGTATGCAATGCACACGACTTTGTATTCAATCCTAGATCTTATTGGAAGCCAGTGTAATGATTTTAATAAAGGAGTGACATGTGCACGCTTATTTCGTCAACATATCAATCTGGCAGCAGCATTCTGCACACGTTGCAATTTGCTACATAGATCCTGTTTGATATTAATAAGCAGACTGTTAGCATAGTCCAACCTGGATAGGATAAGTCTCACGAGCTGATGTGCCGCATCGTATGTCAACATGGGTCTTATCTGACTGATATGATGTCTTGGCTGTTGCAGATGCTTTGTTATTTTCTGGTCTAGAACAAAACAGACGCAAAATTTAGTGACAGTTGATATTTTATTATTAAAAAAACAATTATTCAAAAACGGTATTTGAAAATGACAAGATCAAATACCATGTACTAAAAGTTTATCATGTTGGGTGCACTGTCCAGTATTCGATCACATCCACAGAATCGACGTCGATCTCTTTGAAAGTCCCGTGCTACACACATGGCTCAGTATCGGATATGACCCCCTCCTACAACGATGCAGGCCCTAACAATGGCGGCTGCTGACGTTTCCGAATCCTGCGTCCAAGTTGGTCCCAGAGATGCTGTATGGGTGATCTGGCTGACCACTGTAATACGGTCACGTTGTTGGCGTTCAGAAAGTCGCTAGTGACTCGAGCTGTGTGAGGGGTGGCGTTGTCCTGCTGAAACAGCGTCCGTGGGTGTCCTTGAAAGAAATGCAGAACCGCAAAACCTCATCATTGTAACGAAGTGCAGTGAAATTTCCGTCGATGATGACCAGATCTGTCTTCTGGTCACCGCAGATGCCACCCCAGACCATGACACTACCACCTCCATAAGGATCCAATTCTTGGACGCAACAACGTGATGTCCGTTCACCACGTCTTCGGTAGATTCGAACCCGCTCATCAGACTTTAAAAAGGGCTGGCACGTACTCTCGTCGCTGAAGAGCACTCTTCGCCAATTTCTCTGCAGCCACTGATGTACAGTCCTGGCCAATCTCAGTCTGTGACGTCGGTGTAGAAACCCTTGAACCCTTGAAAGGTGTAGGCACGGAGACCATACAGGCGGAGTCGTCTAGCAACGGTCCTTCTGCTGACTGGATATCCAAGGCTGTTTGCGGATGATGACGTCACAGTTAGGAATCTGGACTTAGGTGAAGCACCCGTAAATACCGGTCTTCCTGTGGGGTCGTGACCATGGGTCTACCACTCCTCGGCCTGTCTGCAGTACTACCAGTTTTCCTGTGACGTGTGACAAGTCTGGCGATGGTGCACTGGCACTGCTTCGCTCCCATTTGCAACATACCGATGGCTCTCTCCCTCTGCTCTGCGGTTAGTCGAGGCATGTTCGTTGTTTTTAACGGTTTCATGTGATGAGAGAGTACAATCCTGCTCATGTTTTATACCAGAATGTCATACGGGTAACTTTGTGCACATTTTGCATTTTTTAGTGAATAAATTCACTTTTCGTCACGTGAAGCACGTGCACGTGCACGTGCACGTGCAACTGTTGTCGTGCTGTTTGGCAAATTTGACGACCATTTTTTATTTGGTGGCGTTTCTTTTGCCCCTCAGTTTATCTTACATGGCGGGCTGACCAGGTCAGTACATGCTTCAAAATCACCTGAAGCAAACCAGTTTGAATTTCAGTATATTCATTGGAATCCACAATTATTTTGGTCTGTTTTGATTATTCGTTACGAGATGCTCTGCCTCAATCTTCATACCACTGCTAAATTCTGGGTCAGTCTGTTCCCCTTCCCCCACAATTCTATACCACACCAGAGTCACTTGATGTGTCCATCGACCGCCCCCGTGGTCTAGTGGTAGAGCGTCCGCCCGGAGATCGGAAGGTCCGGGGTTCGATCCAAAAGACGTCAAAAAGATGGTACTTGTTGTTACCCTGTCTGGCGCTCGGGATTAAAGGGCTAAAACAAGGACTGGTCGGCACGGAGTCAGAATACTATGTCTGAGTGGGGTATTCATGTTAAAGTGCGGCATGGTATCTCGGTGAGCTAGCACTATTAATCGGCATCAGTCAGGACTAGTACAAGCAGTCACACACACACACACACACACACACACACACGCTATATAAGTGCAATCATCTTGGACGTTAAACCCAATTTCACCTCATCATGTGTCCCGCCATCTTTGCAATGGGGGACTGCAAAAGGGTTGATGACCTTCCCTCAAAGGAATGTCGAGATGATAGGAAATACGCTCATTTCAAGAACCTTTGTTCAGCTACACCTCAAACACCAACAAGACACTGCAGAGTTTTCTTCCCAATATTCAAGTAGATCAGGGGGGCACGGGGCGCCCAGTCGTCTAAGGCGCCACGAATCGCTGTAGTGCGTCCCTTCGGCACACCATAAACCTGATTGTAGTTCTAATCCCGATTGTGTTTCTAGGTTTGTCAGCACCATACCCGTGCTCTAGGGTGTCACCGAAGTGGTAAACGTCTGAGACCTGCTTCACTTCCGGCTTTCCCTTTTAAGTTGACACGCCTTGGTATAAATGGAATAATGTGAACATCGATGTCAAACCTAACTCAGATAAACAAAATAGGATTGCAAAGAGTGAGTGAGTGAGTTTGGTTTAACGCCGCTTTTAACAGTATTCAAGTTATATCACGGCGTGTCAGCTTAATGTCGGAGGAAAGCCCGAAGTGATGCGAGTCTCAGACGTTTACCTCTTCGGTGAAACCTACGAGCACGGGTATGGTGCTGACAAACCTAGAAACATAATCGGGGCGAACCGGGATTCGAACCCACAATCATAGGTTTCTGGCGTGCCCAATGGACGCAACTCTGCACAGCGAATCGTGGCGCCTTAGACGACTGGGCCACCCGTACCCCCTGATTGCAAAGACGGTACATTAACTGTATAGAGTTTCCAAGAAATACCACTTACCCATCCACGTTTCCACGTTTAGTTAACCGGATGGGCTATTATATAACTCAAATATGCTATCAAATGAGCCAAAAAGGAATTTGTCATGAGCCTGTTATGTAATACTTTGGTATCCTAAACTGAAAATGAGGTTATCTGATTCCGAGTCCAGGTTGTTATCTTATCTCAACTGACAAAAAATGTTTATGTTGATTCAAACATGTGACTTTGCTGGGTCTACTGGCTGCCATTCCTCACATCTGGCAGCATGTTCTCCAGCTGTGCAAGGATGGTTCTTTTTCTTGGAATAATGGTTGTCTCAGTGGGCATAGTGAACGCTGTCTGTCCTTGTCGGGATCCATCTTGGTGTAACCCTATAAACAACACAAGCGGAAAAGAGGTAGGAGTTAAATTAAACGTGGGGCTGTTTGGATGTACATGTGTGACACGTGGTTAAATACAGAACCGCGGTGTATCCGCGTCGGCCATTGTGACCAGTGTCTGGTGTTTGCGTGAAGTCGTTTTCCGTTTATGAGTCTCTCCAGACTTCAGAGAATGATAGGCCTACTCAATAAAACCTTCACCCCATCCTCCTCTCTCCTCCTCCTCAGCTCAGCAACCTACGGGCATCCCCTATTTAGTTCCAGCTTTGCCATGAGAAGATTTAATGGTTCATTTGTTATAAATACTCGCGGGTTCTCTTGTAGATTCCGTGTGCGAAATACGCTAGAGTCGGAAAGCGCACGTAAAATCTCCAATGTAAGTGAGTAAGTTGTAGATTGATTTTTACTTACATAAGTGTATTTCAGGGTCTATGTGTTAGTCTAGCCGTCCCACAGCCCTCAGTGTCAGACAAAAGGTGAACCACTCTGCTCCATATATACAGTAAACTACGGTTATAACGAACACGTTTATAACGAACTGACGGATATAACGAACTAACTTTTTAGTCCCGACTGTTTGCTGTAGTTATGCTGTATATATGCGAATTACGGTTATAACGAACTAGAATTAGTAGTCCCTTTGAGTTCGTTATAACCGTAGTTTACTGTAACTCCTTACCGGGTCATATATTAGTGAGATACGAGTGACGGAGGAGCTATGGGCTATCCTCAAAAGTAACTGTGATATATTTAACTGTATATAGTTTAATAATTATGATAATAAAAAGAATTATGATCATCGTCTATGTATATAACAAACCTGGTTTGATTTTAACACGCCAAGTTTGTTTGGCGTTTTAATGGGTAAAAAGAGCCGAACCAGAAATTGTTTTTCAACCATCTTTTAACATAGTGTGGAAATGACGAGATAGTTCACCATAATTTCTGTAAAGAACACAAAAATTGCAAATCAGAATTTGGATTTGAAACTTGTTTATCAAATTGTGATTTCTGATATGAAAAACGATTTTATTAGAAATTTCTAATTTTCTAATTAAATAATTTAAATTCCAGTACACTATTAGTCTTCAAAGATATGCGTCTTAAAAATGACAAAACATATAAACGATCACAGTCACTTTTGAGTGTACAGTTGATCAGGGTAACCAAGTGGTCTAAAGGGGTCCGCAAGTATATGTGGAGAGTTGCATCGAGGACCCACTTTAATTGTTGTCTCAAATCACGAGGGGACAAATTTTCTCAAAAACTGTTTAAGTCAGAGAAACGAAATTTTACACACTGATGTTACTGGTCGTGATCTTAAAAGAGGCGTCGTAAATTCATTTTTATCGAGTTGCGTCCCTTGCTCCGTGCTTGTCAACTCAGAAACTGCTGAAGCTTATCGAAGACTGACTGCGCCTTTTGTGTAAATTAATTTCACATTTAATCTTTTTTTTCTGATGATATAAAGCGGCCCAAGTGCCTATCTCTTCTTAAGGCTATAGTTCTATATTCACTACTATATGAAAAAACAAAGGTCTAGTGTGTCCCGTGGTGGGGGATAGTGATAACGCTGTTTTCTTGTTTGCTTTATTTCAGGTTTTTATGTTTTCTCGACCGAATGACCAGGCTACCTGGAAGCGCTATGACTGGAGCAGGTTAACTACCGTTGCTATGGTAGGATATATCAGTCATGACGTCATGTGCTACGCCCACCAGCACAACGCCAGAGCTGTAATACTCGGTAGGCTTACACTGAATGTAGGCGTGTGTGGGTACCCGGTAGATAGGGTATATCAGTCAATACGCCTTGTGTCACACACCAGCACAACGCCAGAGCTGTAATACTCGGTAGGGTTACACCGAATATAGCGTATGTTGGTACCCGTTAGGTATAGTATATCAGTCAATACGCATTGTGTCACAAACCAGCACAACGCCAGAGCTGTAATACTCAGAAGGATTTCACTGAATGTAGGTGTGTGTGGGTACCCGGTAGATAGGGTATATCAGTCAATACGCATTGTGTCACAAACCAGCACAACGCCAGAGCTGTAATACTCAGAAGGATTTCACTGAATGTAGGTGTGTGTGGGTACCCGGTAGATAGGGTATATCAGTCAATACGCCTTGTGTCACACACCAGCACAACGCCAGAGCTGTAATACTCAGAAGGATTTCACTGAATGTAGGTGTGTGTGGGTACCCGGTAGATAGGGTATATCAGTCAATACGCCTTGTGTCACACACCAGCACAACGCCAGAGCTGTAATACTCAGAAGGATTTCACTGAATGTAGGTGTGTGTGGGTACCCGGTAGATAGGGTATATCAGTCAATACGCCTTGTGTCACACACCAGCACAACGCCAGAGCTGTAATACTCAGAAGGATTTCACTGAATGTAGGTGTGTGTGGGTACCCGGTAGATAGGGTATATCAGTCAATACGCCTTGTGTCACACACCAGCACAACGCCAGAGCTGTAATACTCAGAAGGATTTCACTGAATGTAGGTGTGTGTGGGTACCCGGTAGATAGGGTATATCAGTCAATACGCCTTGTGTCACACACCAGCACAACGCCAGAGCTGTAATACTCAGAAGGATTTCACTGAATGTAGGTGTGTGTGGGTACCCGGTAGATAGGGTATATCAGTCAATTCAATGGACCAAGCCCAACTCAGCCGTTATGACGAACCTGAGTTGGCTAGATACCCCTGGCTCGGACCATCGGCCGGTCATTCCGGGATTCCAGCCAGCCCTGCAGCTCCATAGCAATTACATACATTGATATATTATGTCCATTCTACGCATGCACTAAATTCTTCATTCTACAGCCCCTACGATGTTACACTATACAATATTTATCTTCGTTTACAGCTCGACAACATTTACATAAAGCACAGTTATATCCATGTAAAACAATTAGTTCATATTCTCACACACTTCTCACAACGATACATACCAATGCCATGTACATATTCCACGGTGGCAGTGGACATTCGGTAAAGTAGCCCCATCTGTATCACAGCCGACTTCAGCACTGCCGACCTTCTCAGCGCCAGCAAGAGACAGGCGTGGATACAGACTCAGTTGAACACCGTCAGGAGCAACTACCTCGACGGCATCAACATCGACTTCGAGGGCCAAATACCCAGGACTAGAACCGACCTGAGGGATGGTCTTAACAGTTTGTTGAAGGAAGCGTCGGCGGCATTTCGTCAAGCCCTTCCACACTCTCAGGTCGAGCTTTAAAGTTTATAAGCTTCACAAAGCGATCTTTGCGCTACGATTATCGTAAGTCAATGTTAGAGTATCGGTGTTACGATCAGCGAACACTAAGTTCGCTTTGAGCAAGTGGACCCAGGGATATGTTCATATTGAAATACAGCACCCGAGGCCAAACTCGATCCAGTCGTTGCAACCATCTTTGGGATAATTCTTTTCATCAAGTATCGGTGGTGTTTAAGGCATTTATCAAAATGATTCCAATGTAATATGTAGATATGTCCCAAACAGTGTCTGAAACTCAGCAGAGTAAACTGGGAGCCTTAAGGACCAGCACATTTTAAAAACGGTAGGCCCAGTGGAAAAACAATTATTTGACCCGTGAAGATCCGGGGTAGAATAGGTCTTCGGCAACCCATGCTTGTCGTAAAAGGCGACTATGCTTGTTGTAAGAGCCGACTAACCAGATCGAGTGGTCAGGCTCGCTGACTTGGTTGATGCATGTCATCGTATCCCAATTGCATGGATCGATGCTCATGGTGTCAATCACTGGATTGTCTTGTCCAGACTCGATTATTTACAGACTGCCGTCATATAGCTGGAATATTGCTGAGTGCGGCGTTAAACAACAAATAAACAAACAAACAATAAAACAATAAACACGGGGATAGGTTTCTTATTCTTGACGCTTGTTCAGCACACGGTGAGACTGTCCAGGCACGTGGAGATGACGTGTACTAATTGTGTTTTCTAGGTGACGATCGACGTGCCCTATGGTCCAAATTGTGTATACAACCGTTGCTATGACTACAAGACGCTCGCAAATTATGTAGATTTCTTCTTCGTCATGGACTACGATGAGGGGGGCGGACAATACGCCGGGGCGAACTCAGATTATCAAAAAACGAGAAACGGTACTAACTATGGAAAATTGTAGTCGTTATGTTAGTCTGTCTTACAGACCCTGATACAAATATATATCAAATACAGCCCATGCAAGTCTATAATGTTTGGCAAGTCTAGATCACTGCAGTGAAAATGAAGAGAGTCACAGGGCTCCTTTTTATTATATTTTTATTAAGATAACTGAACAACTATTTTTTATGTACGATATGTTCATTTCAGAGACTAGATGTTAGTCTGTCGTTATGTATTTGAATACCATATTTGGTTGTTCGTTTTGTAGTTATCGAGATATATGTTAAATGTAAATATCGTGTCGTGTCGATATTAATAAAGTCTTTAAGGTGTAGCTGCACTGAGTGAATCAGGCTATTTTGATCTTACCTACCAATAATATTGTACTAAACTAAGTCTACATATCCGATTCGCTACAAAATGGATATAAGTATCAACATATGTTAAGATGGTAAAATATGAAAGAACATATTTAAAGAGTTCATGTCTTTTTTTAAAACAAATTTAAACTGAGTGAGTATGGTTTTACGAGGCTTTTAACAATATTCCAGCAATATCACCGCGGGGTACACCAGAAATGGGCTTCACACATCATACTCATGTGGGGGAATCGAACCCGGTCTTCGGCGAGACTAGCGCGAACGCTTTCACCGCAAGGTGTGCTAAGGCGTGATAATGCGTGAATATTGCTAAAAGCGGAGTGAAACCATATTCACATATTTACGGGAGCCTTTTTTTTTCTTCTTTTTTTTCGATAATGAAAATAAGACAATAAGTTGAAATTTCAAGATACTAAGTTGAAATTTCAAGATACAGAAGTTGAAATTTCAAGATAATAATAATTTCAACTTAGTATCTTGAAATTTCAAGATAGTGTCTATATACAAAATGGCCCTTAAAGGCTTCCGTACTTATTCACTAATTGAAGGATTAACGGGATATTACAACGACATTCTAGGGATGCGCGACTATGTGGCGATCGTCCCAGCTGACAAACTGGTCCTTGGTGTACCATGGTACGGCTACAAGTATGCCTGTTACAACGTCACTCAGGTAACACTAAAGAATGAATACTAATTATGATGATTTCTTGGGGGCTAGGGTGACACCGGAATTTTCTGTTTTGCGTCCCTCGGGCGTGCAAGAACCTCGCGGTAGATGTTGGAATCAAATATTCGCCTTGATTTAGCTTTAGCTTCGTTATTGTCATATATTATGAGGGGCGGTGAGAATGACCTTAGGACTGTATCATATTTTTCCGATTTAATGTAACACATCTTTCCATGCCAACCCCGACCCTACCCAAAAGTAAATGACCAGTTCCTAAATAATGTTTATTTGAAGAAAATAAACTGGCATTTGTTCTTGCCCAGATATAGTTGTGATCATTTTTGGCGAAACCCACCCCACCCCTTTTCTCTGTGTAAAGATCTCTCTCCGTAGTAACATGTTCGGGTTAATGGCCCAGTGACTTGTGATGTTGACGACCTCAGAGCTCGCTTTGGATGGTGAGTGAGTGAGTGAGTGAGTGAGTGGGGTTTAACGCCGCTTTTAACAGTATTCCAGTTATATCGCGGCGTGTCAGCTTAATGTGGGAGGAAAGCCCGAAGTGATGCAGGTCTCAGACGTTTACCACTTCGGTGAAACCCACGAGCACGGGTATGGTGCTGACAAACCTAGAAACATAATCGGGGCGAACCTGGATTCGAACCCACAATCATAGGTTTCTGGAGTGCCCAAGGGACGCAACTCTGCACAGCAAATCGCGGCGCCTTTAGGCCACCCGTGCCACCCGCTTTGGATGGAAGCATGAGGGAAGATCATTGATATATGCTGGGGCTTGGTCATTGAGTGCCTTGAATTAGGCAAGGCTGTCTTGATTATTTTTGTTAAATTTTAAATCATGCCGATGAGACAAAAACAGCTTGTTCGTTGAACTACATCACAAGTGCGATTCCCTCCCGTGTAATTACATTAATCCAAATGAGTCTAGAAATGATCCCAGGTAAAATCTTCACTTTTTTCACGATATACATCATATTGATAATCCTCCTCCTCCTCCTCGTCATCATCATCACCATCCGTTACGAGATACCCTGCCTCAATCTTCACATCACTGCTAGCTTCAGGGTCAGTATGTTCCCTTTCCCCCACAATTAAATACCACAATGAACCTGCTGGTTGGGCATATGTCCGGAGATCGATCCCCAGCCGCGGCATACCAAAAGACGTTAAAAGATGGTTCTTGTTGTTACCCTGCCTGGTGCTCGGTATTTACGGGATTAAACAAGAACTGGTCGGCTCGGAGTCAGTTTATATACTGAATCTGAGTAGGGTGTACTCTGTCTGAGTAGAGTATACTATGTCTGAGTGGGGTATATTATGTCTGAGTAGGGTGTACTATGTCTGAGTGGGGTATACTGTGTCTGAGTAGGATGTGCAGTGTCTGCGGCATGGTATCTCGGTGGGCTAGCACTGCAAAATCGGTATTAGTCCGGACTGGACGTCGCTATATAAGTGCAATATTCTTGAACGCGACGTTAAACCCCATTTTACCTCGCTCATGCTAAGGACCAATCGTCGCTGGGCTACAACTCCATCATTTACAGTCTACCTTGATATAGCTGGAATATTGCTAACCGTGACGTAAAACAACATTCAGCCACTCAATTTGAATTACACGTGCATGATGATCTCTGTTACTGCAGCTTCCGGATTTAGCTGAACTTGAGATTGCTATTGAGGCAATTGTTAATTATTTTAGGGTTGGGACGAGTCTACATTTACTACCCGGGTACCCTATTACCAGACCCTACCTGGGAACCCGCTTTAGGTCTCAAGAGATAGGTGCCGTTTATGAATAGTATGACCGAAGCCCTGGCATTTAGATAAAAGGATCAACGATCTGGTCATGCCTAGACTGAGGTTCACTGAAGTTGTATCTTTATTAAAACATATAAAAGTCAGAAGGAATAGGTGCCCAGTCAGTAAGAAATGCGAACATTTGGTGATTTGTAGTGTAACCATGGTGTTCTAGATCATTTTTGTCATCAAACAACATATCACGTGACCAAGCACGGGTCCGGGTAGTCCTGTGGGTCCCCTTTTTCTACTCAGTACCCACCCACCCCATGTACCAAAGTTACCCGTCCCAGCCCTGATGTATTTGAATATATTTATGTGTGTTTGTTGTTTAATGCCGCAGGGTTATTTCGAACCTTGAATCCCCGGGGGCTCAATACATCTCTTGGTATTTTAGATATTTCTGATTCTGTTGGAATATAATCGCATACCTTTGAATGTATTTCGCTGTTTCAGGATGGCCGATGCTCCGTCAACCGGGGGATCAAGGTCAGGTCATATAAGTTCAAGGACATCATCGAGTTGCAGAAACAAACTCATTCAGTGAGGTCATGGGACACAAACGCTAGATCCCCGTACTTCACATACAAGGTAATACACATGTTATGATATAAGTCGTGCTTTAGGCGTGTCATAACTGTACAGAGGGTTTCCAAGGTTCCTTTCACAAATATCTATTCGTTTCATATAAATCATCAGGATGCACGGGTGGCCCAGTCGTCTAAGGCGCCACAATTCGCTGTGCAGAGTTGCGTCCCTTCGGCACGCCAAAAATATATGATCGTGGGTTCGAATCCTGATTTGCCCCGATTGTTTCTAGGTTTGCTTGCACTATACCATTACTTGTGGTTTTCACCAAAGTAGTAGACGTCTGCATCACTTCGGGCTTTCTACCCACATTAAGCTGACACGCCGTGATATAACTGGAATACTGCTCAAAACGGCGCTATATATATAACTCCCTCACTCACTATAAATCATTCTTTCTGATTGTGTCACCCTCTCTGTGAGAATATTAAAAAAGAGAGCTCCTCGTATCAGAAGATATTTATTATTTATCATTAGCCAATACATTTATCTAGCCAAAACAGTACGGAGCCCTAAGACATAAGACTGAAGAGGATGCACTGTTCCTTCTGTTGCCCACGACCGCCTCCGTGGTCTTGTGGTAGAGCGTCCGCCCGGAGAGCGGAAGGTCCAGGGTTCGATCCCGGGCCGCGTCATACAAAAAGACGTTAAAAGATTGTACTTGTTGTTACCCTGTCTGGCGCTCGGCATTAAGGGGCTAAAACAAGGACTGGTCGGCTCGGAGTCAGTATACTGTGTCTGAGTGGGGTATTCATGTTAAACTGCGGCATGGTATCTCAGTGAGCTAGCACTATAAATCGGCATCAGTCCGGACTAGTACAAGCAGCCACACACACACATACACGTGCATGCACGTCGCTATATATGTGCAATAATCTTGGACGCGACGTTAAACCCAATTTCACCTCACCTCACCTCCTGTTGCCCACAACAGACGCAATCGTTTTCACGGACAGAGACATTTTCTCCTGTTGTATACTACTCAAAACAATTTATGGATCGGGTATTTTATGGATTAAGATACGTTACTCATATTGCATAATCAAATGAAATTTGATAATATTGAAAACGCGCTCATTTATCACATCGAGGGACACCAGGAATGGCCATTAGATATTATGGGAATCGACGATCGCGTGTAAGGGGGCGGTGGGGTAGCCAGGTGGTTAAACGTTCGCACATCACGCCGAAGGTCCCGGTTCGATTCCCCACGTGGGGGATGTTAATTTCTAATGTCCTCCCGCCCTGATGTTGCTGGAACTTTGCTAACTCGTTTACTCACTCATCCACCCTTTCACTCACTTACTAGGCTGGTATTATGGAGTTACATTTTGGCTGGACTAACGAGTCTATGCATAGTCCAATCAAATTCGCGCACCGAAATCGAAATCCGGTTCGTAAACTGCCGTGCAGATTTTGGTCGATTGCAGGATTTGCAAAACATGTGCACCGCCAACTCGTTGTCAGCAGATATTTTCTAAGTCTTTTCATGTTTTTAATCAAGGTGCTCACATGATTTGATGCATTTCGCGATGTAAGATCCGTTTTATCACAATATAGATCTTGATTATCGATCAGATCATCTTGACTGGGCGTCACCATTTTGTCTGAAGCAAACGCAAGTGATACCAGTGGTGGAATCTAATTGGTCCATAGGAGAGGTTTAGAAAGGACATAACTGGTAATGGCCACTGGTGGCGCTACGATCGAGCCCAGTAATTCCAGCTTAGTTCGGCAAGGGTGGAAACTGGACTTTTATAGTCAGTTAACTCTCTTGTCTTGGAAAGATGTGAAGATCCGGGATAGAATTGGTCTTCAGCAACCTATGCTCGTCGTAAAATGCGGCTAACGGGATGGGGCGGTCAGACTCGCTGACTTAGTGGATACATGTCATAATGTCAATCACTGGATTGGTTGATCATGACTCGATTATTTACAAACCGCCATCATATAGCTGGAATATTTCTGGGTGCGGCGTTAAACAGCAAAAAACGCATATTCCGGAGAAGCATAGGTTACAAGTATCTAATGTTTTGCATAGGGACAGACTAAATTGAAGATCGGGTTTTAAAATGACGTGATGAAGTATAATTCCATCGTTCTCTCGTAAGTGTGTGTTCAAGCTTTTTTTTAATTTAAACAAAAACATAGTATTCATTGTCAACCATGAAGCCCATTTCTGGTGTCCCCCGCCGTGATATTGCTGGAATAGTGCTAAAAGCGGCGTAAAACCATACTCACTCACTCATTGTCTACCACACAGGATCCTGCAAGCAACATCCAGTACCAGGTTTGGTACGACGATGTCCAGAGTCTGTCCCTGAAGTACATGGTGGCCTCCCAATATAACCTGCGTGGGGTGGGGGCGTGGTACGCTGACTGTCTCGACTACACTGATGCCGCGGAACCCAACAGACTGCGGCTGGCGATGTGGAACGCCATGCCTATAACCTCATCTTCGGGGACAATAATTGGCTAAATGTGAAGGATTTCAAAATTGACAATTCAATAAACTATACTGTCTACTGTGCACTTATAATGATTTTTGTTTTCAAATTGCAACAATTCAACATTTTATGTTGTTTTTAGATAATACTAAGCGACAGACCTAATATTCCGGGTTTAGGGTTGGGGTTCGAGTCTGGCGTTTGAATTTCTCTTTGGAAAAGTTAATTTATTCTCGAAATTGGGTTTTACTCAGAAACAGAATTGCTGGATGTTCTGATAAAAGCTCACTCGAATCGCAGGCAGGCTAAGTAGGGTTCGCACAACGTTCATGCAAGGAGTATGTGGGGCTCATTAATGGACTGGGGGGGGGGGGGGGGGGGGGGGGGGCGATTCGCTGTGCAGAGTTGATGATTGTGGGTTCGAATTCCGGTTCGCCCCGATTATTTATCTAGGTTAATCAGCACCATACCCGTGCTCGTGGGTTTCACCGAAGGGGTAAACGTCTGAGACCTGCATCACTTCGGGCTTTCCTCCCACATTAAGCTGACATGCCGTGATATAACTGGAATACTGTTAAAAGCGGCCTTAAAACAAACTCAATCACTCACTCATTGACGGAATGTCTTTTTTGTCATGTTTCATTGCAAGACAACACGATTGATAGAAGTGGGGTGCGAAATTGCATTTCATTCCGTGTGTGTGTGTGTGCGTGCGCGCGCGTCAACAAAACTGACAACGTAAATGAAAATCAATCTCCACGCTATATTTGTTTATTTTAATAATTTGATTTCCACAAAATTTCAAATAGAAAGAAATCTGAATATTCGAGTTCTGAAAACAATTGGTTATAATTTTTTTGGGGAAGTGTATATTTTACGTGCGCTTTGTGGAATTCACCTTGCATGAAGTCTCGTACATAAGACGAGAGCCAGCGAGACATGGGGGAAATATGGCGGAAAGAAGCACATCGACACACGAAATTACACATTACCTGAACGTAGAAAATGCTAAAATTGCTGCTTTTCTCATGGTATCGGGATTTATCCTGTACCATGGGGTTTTACATCTCAAATTCGGTAAGTATTTAATAATGCAATTTCTCATCACTGTTTCAATTCCTCTTCCGAGTACCTTATTTGTTGTTTTTCTCGCATTGTCGTCAATGACGAATGCTATGCTGTCAAAAAGACTACCGTGGTCAGTCACTCTGTTTCGTTGAGGGTCGGTGTTGTGTAATGCATTCTAGATCTCAGACCAAGTAAAAACGTTTTTTTGTGGTCCCTGCTCTTGACACTGGCTTGTTTCGTGACAGGCCAAAGCACATGCATGTCGCATCACGTTTCTTCGCTTCCAAATCGTCACATGTTTTCGTGACTTATGTTAAAGAAAATAAAGCATGTACATCGCAACATTAATTTTCAGAAACTGTGTTGAATGTAAACGAATAAAAATATTGAATCAATTATGTCAAATAATTTAATCAAATATGATTTTTGTCTGTATTGAACATGTTGTAGGACTAGTAGACAAATATGTGTCCAATCAGGGCTCCAGATAATTGTTTAGGCAAAATTCAGCCATTGAGTATTGTTGAGTAGGCTAGGACTATTAACTCACGTTATGGTAAGACTTCTGCCCGTGTGCCCCTAAAAATATATATAGCTGGAAGAAACACGCTATATGTAAATATTAGGGCTGCAAGCAACGAATACACTATGAGGCGATTATGATTTGTATCTCAAATATAGGGTAACGAATATGAAATAATGAATACAATAACAAGTCAGCGGTTAATTTTTTATTTGCTACATTCAGTGAAAAAATAACATAAATTATATGACATGGTTTGTTAATTATTAATATATTATACATTTATATACTGCACTTATCCAGGTACTAATATCTGCTCAAATGCGACAATGACCAGAGACCACAATACTGTCAAATAAAATATTATAAGAGTGTTGTCTTTGAAGAAATCCATGCATATAATATGTTCTTATGGATATTTTTAGGTACAGGATATGTAAACATGGTAAATGCACATGATTGCATATTCATAAATATTTGATTCTATTTCTAGTGGCCACGATCAATGAATTCAATTCATGAATGGATATGGTTTGATTCACTGAATACGCGAGTGAATCGTAGCAGCTCTATAGGGTTAGAAACAGTTTTTGTCCACTAGTCCTTATAATGATAACATATAGCAAAACCCTTAAATTGGGCAACTTTCTACTAGTCCTTAGGATACCTTTACTATTGGGCAGTTTGGTAAGGACTACAGGACTAGTGCCAATTTCTAACGCTGCGGCCTAGTAAATATATATAACATTTGGAGACTGGACGCAAGGGAGCAAAAATATACTGAATTAGTGAATACCATTACCAATGAAAATTTTCAATAGCAATGTGAATCATAACTTGTGAGTAAATACTCAAAGGCACAAAAATTGTCTGGAGCCTTAGGTGATGCCTGCTTTCTTTCAGTAAACAAGAATGTGTAGAGATATTCATGAGCGCAAGCTGAAACAGTGGAAAAGGCTACATTGGGTAAACAGATGAGAATCTGTTTGTATTGTACCTAGATGTACAAATTCATCTAACAATGATAAGGCATTATGGTGATTCACATTATTACCATGATTACGCTCACATGGAACAGTCACACGCACAGTCGGTAAAATAGACGGAATAGTCAATATCACCAGCTTTGTATCCATGGTAAAACATGGTAAAGTAAAAATTAACAAGACAAAAATGTTATCCAAGCACATCTTTACTTGACGTCATGAAAACAGGAACGTTTGAAGTCCTTCTAAAAGTTATTGAGTGTAGGCTCTTTTGTGTTACCTGTATATATGCCCTCTTGTGCCTCCATTTGGAAAGGAGGTAATTATTGATCAGGGATCTTTGGCCTTGTTTTTCTAACTTGTGAAAGTAATAAAGAAAAACTGTCCAGTTGAAATATTGCTGAGCATGCTGAGTGAAGCATAAAACAAACAGACTTCAAAGTAGTTCAAAGTTATAGGTGAAAGTTAACTTGTTCAAGATACCCTTTTCATGATGATAGGCCTAATGTGAAAATAATACATTTAAGGGTCATATTTAAAAGCCATAACCAGAAGACTCCAGGCCCATGATTACTACTGATTTTAGCACTGTCCATCTTACCAGTATATCATGAAAAATTTGCATACAATCAGTGATTAATTGTATTTTATGTGAAGGACGAGAGCCTTATAAACAATGTCATATTCATGATCCTGCAATTACTCAGAAACAGAGTCTCACGGTCACTGTATATCATGGTATTTTCACACACAGAATACGAAAACAAATCCTTCAACTACATGTATGTCGGAGAACAAGTGGAAATTATTAATGTTATGATGTGTTGGGTTTATATGTTTTCATTCTTTCCTTCCTGTAATGTTTTTTCAAGGACCATAAGCTATTGATGACAGCCAATGAAAAAAGTTTGGAACGGCTCCTAAAATTGTTGTCACTCTATCATGTCTTTGTCAGTCACTGAGTCAGTTAATTGATCGCACATTACTTCATTGTTCCAATATATTATCAACAAAGAAAAAAAGTCAGTATTACTTTATATTTTTATATGCCAAATGACTCCTAATCATGCTAATTATGAATATGCCTGGAGCCATTTTTTATAGGAGCTATGAGAGTGAGTTTGTTAATGTTGCATCTACAATGTTTTGCCATTTTGCAACAAAGGAGTGACTTGAGAATGTAACGTGTAAGATGCATAACTTGTTTAATTCTGTTTGGAAACTAATTTTACCCTTTGAAATATCAGAAAGAATTTCTTGGTTGAATTTGAATTAGAGAAATAGACCATGTTAATGATATAAATGATTTCACTGTAATCCTATGTATGAAAATGTGGAGTAGATGTATCATGTATGAAGCAAATGTGTAACCATGGTAACTGCTCATCAGGTACATATAACATGTATAATGCAAGGAAAGTTATGTGAATGATGTTTGAATGGATATTAGCCAGATGAGTTTATATATACACCTGTAAATGTATTGCCAGATTTTTGACACAGCGGCACATGCTGTAATCTATCATGTCCATGTGACCACCTCCATGGTCTAGAGGATAGAGCATCTGCCCAGGTAGCAGAATGTTGGGAGTTTGATCACCAGGTCACGTCATTCCAAAAGACGTTTTAAGATGGTACTTGTTGTTATCCTGCCTCATGCTTGGCATTTAGGGGAGAAACAAGGACTGGCTGGGAGTTGGTATATCATGTCCGAGTGGATTGTCCGTGTTAAAGTGCAGACAGTGTCTCTGTGGGCTGGCGCTATAATACTAGCATAAGTCCGGAATAGTAAATACAGCCACAAACGCACACACACATGCATGTCACTGTACAAGTGAATTGATCTTAAATGAGACGTTAAACCCCATTTCACTTCACCTCACATTACCAAATTGGTAAATGTCTAATATCTACATGTTTGACATTTTAGTTTTATGTGACAATGTCAGACTTGTATTGCCTGTGATTCAGCAAGATTTCCTAACAAGGAACAACACTTATTTCCTCCCTACAGGGAATGACTCGTGCACGTGGCTGCTGAGTGATGGCAGGTTCCCAGGATACAGCACCTGGCAGCCATACGGATGTATGATGCACAAGTATTCCAAGAGGTACAGTGGCTTCATAGTTTGTAGTTGTAGTTAGAAATGAACCATGTTAACTATAAAGTATAGTGTTCGAAATTAAGCATGGACATGATGAAAGTCGAGGCTTCCTTGTCCATGTTGTCGTAGCCCTAATGTTAAAAGTCGAAGTTTTAGGGGGTCTCCAGATTCTAATACTATGGGAGCAAACCTCCAGCATGTCCAGGAACCTCATAATTTCAAACACTGACATAGTATACTGTATTTGCCTAAATAAGCTCCCAGGCACTTAGAAGATTGTCAAGTGGGGAGCTCTTATTAATACCATTCACAATGAGCATGATGAGTTTGTTTTCTTGGGGTTTTTTTAAAATATTTTTTTTCATTTTTTTCGATACTCTGTATTGAACATATATTATGTGTGTTTATCATGTTTATAGTTTGAATGTTGATGAAACTTAAACATTTTTTTATGATAGTTACTTGGCAATTATATACCCCTGCTATGCTGCTGTTGTCTGTGGAAAATACTGTTAAATACTCAACATAAAATGGTCTGTAAGTTTTCTTTCTTGTGAAGATTACTTACAGATTGGTCTAGAAGTTGGTCAGGTGTCACTTTTTGGAGCAGGGTGCTTAATACGGAGAATACAGTATTACTCTTCTGGAACTTGGAAGTCTCTTTATTTCTGTTACCAGGGCAACATTCCTTTAACCATTTGTCATGTTTGTCAGATGTTTCAGATTGATTGAATTATTAGGAATGTGCATTTCCAGTTACATTTGCATTGTGCTATAGAGTGATCAGCACACTGAGTGGCTGTTGTGTCCTACATGTTTCTTGATATGCATTGATATGTCAGTTGAACATGTTGAACAATGTTGAAGTTGAAGTCCAAATTCCAAATCTGATATTTGAACATGTTAAAGGAGTGGTCGTGTTTGTGATAGTTGATACTATTCTCAGGATTGGTAACACTGGGAGTCACTTCCAGAGTCATGATCCTCCATTATATATTATTCAAAACAAGTTAAGAGAACACCTGATACTTTCAGATTAGACCCGTGAAGATCTGGGGTAGAATAGGTCTTCAGCAACCCATGCTTGCCGTAAATGGCGACTACGCTTGTTGTAAGAGGCGACTAACGGGATCGGGTGGTGAGACTCGCTGACTTGGTTGATGCATGTCATCATATACCAATTTGCATAGATTGATGCTCCTGATGTCAATCACTGGATTGTCTGGTCCGGATTCGATTATTTACAGATCGCCGTCATATAGCTGGAATATTGCTGGGTTTGGCGTTATACAACAAACAAAGAAGGCCTTCAAGGGTACTGTTCCATAGTGATTTTTTAATGTGCAGTCATCAATAAAATACAATGAGTTTATTCATTGACATACTTACAGAAAAAACAGTGTTACTGTCAACTTTAGTGTTAAATAATACAGAATGAAGGAGGGCTGGAGGAACTTTATGAACTATGTGTCTTCATCTAGTCTTGCTCACAGGCCCCAACCTACAGCAAATGTGATAAAACTTCCCAAATCAGAATTAAAAAAACAGCCATAACTTATTTTATGACTTTGTAGAGATAACATGTATTTCACTGATAACAGGACCAATAAATCAAAAAGATGCTTAGCAGCTTAGTTAATGCTTAGTTTTATATTATTGCATTGAATATAATCTCAAAATACAGTGTTAAACCAGAGACAATATAAAAGACCATATCTATTATATGGTCTCTGGTTTAACATTTGTTTAAATACCTAAGAAAATAAGAACTTTAAAGTATCCCAATTCTGAACAAAATTACATGTTTTCCCAGTGTGCCTGCCAAGGGCAGCTAGGATTGCATCATGGATGAATCTCTAATGACCCAATGTTTCAGTGCAGCTTGGCTCAGATAAGTTGCCATGGTAATGTGTGACTGGAATTATGTGTATCATCAGTATGCCTGAAATTCTGAATAGGTGTCCCATTGAGTATGTTATTTTGATTGCCTGGCCAGCTGCTGGAAATATCCATAATTGCTGTTATCGCTGTTCTATTCTGAAACAGAATAACTAATCAATGATGTATCTTGACCTACTCCATGTACTCTGAGGCTGATGTTCGACACCACGTTTGCAGCAAATGTCAGTCAAAATTCCAAATTGGACTAAAAAAATGTCCCAGTTTGTTACATAGTTGTACTTATCGTGTTAATGTTATAGCTGCATTAAGGTTACATGTATTTCACTGTCCAATGAGAGGAAGAGGCTTTGGTTTGCAATGTTACGTAACATACCTTTGAAGAAGAAAATAAGAACTTTGCAAACTCCAATTTGAGAAAAATAACTATTCCCTGCCGAGGTCAATTATTTTGTAATCATAGATAAATACATGCTAATTGCTATTGACTTTGCCATATGAGGCCCAGGGCGTGGTGCATTGATAGACGTGATAATTCGAGACGAGATAGTTTAGAGGGAGAGTTTGATATCCCCCACGTTTTGAAAAATGGGATATAGCGATCAGCATGATCAGCATGTCCATCTGTCTGTCCATCCTTTTTCCGTTTCGGGAGCAGAACTCCTGAACTCCTATTTCCTTTTGAAACTTCCTATACAGATCAGTCTAGTGGTTGATGATTTGGGATTATCTTTTTTTTTTTCCTTTTTTTTTTTTTTTCATGACCATCATGATGATGACAATTTGGACTTCTACTACTTAAAACGAGGGAAATACTCATTTCCGGAGCAGTACTCCAGTCATTGAATAATTCCAGATGAAACTTGGCATACAGATGAGTCTAGTGGTGATCTGGTGCTTTTAATGATATGGGATTTTGTTTAAAAAAAAATTGTTTTGTTTTCATGAAAACAAGATGGACTTATACTGAAAATGGGTGAAGTGCTCGTTTCTGGATCAGAACAGGGGTATATGTAATCTCCTGATGACTCTCTTTATTAAGCCTTGGTTGATCCCAATTGTGTAGATTGATGCTCATGATATCAATCACTAGATTGTCTGGTTACCATGTTTACATAGCCGCGATATAGGTGGATTATTGCCAAATGTGGCGTTATACAACAAACAAACAAAAATATTTCATTTAAAGACACTTGTAAACTTGTCTATCAGATCCACAGACAATAATGTAAAAATGTACTTGTGTGACAGGCTGACATTCCAGGTTAGGACCGTCATGTATGACCCAATGACATACATGGTATGTGTATGACCGTCTTTTCTTGTTGCCTCTCAGTGCATGAGGCTATTGATTCTCTTAAAAACGGAGACCAAAGGACATTAAAAGATGGTACTTGTAAATACGCTGCCTGGCACTTAGCCTCTAAGAGGTGTGTCTTCAGCTAGCTTTTCCTTTTGAACCTGCCCTGAAACATATTGTCAAGAAGTTTCCATGCAATGTGACATAATATGGGTATCGAGTTATGTATCAAATCGTGACCCATGTATCGTAATACATATCGTATCGTTACCTTGCTGTATTGTTTCACCCCTAGTGGTAACACTCGCGATTCTGTTGATCATGCATGATAATGCACTGTGTCTGTTCCAGTGACGCCAGGATGTGCATGCACTATTTGTCCTACTGGGGTGGCAGGAACCACATCACATTCGTAGGCGACTCCAGAATCAGGCAACTCTACTTCGAGTTTATCAACCTGATTGGGTCAAAGGAGGTGAAGCAGCATAAGGCTCACGAGGACATCCACTTCCAGGACGAGAAGATCAGTGCCAGGATTGTGAGTAGTTCCTGATTACTCGGGGGTGGAGGGGCATCTTCCTGAGGCAAGGGAGTTAACTGACTATAAAAGTCCAGTTTCCACCCTTGCCCAACTAGGCTGGTATTATGGAGTTACATTTTGGCTGGCCTAACGAGTCTATGCATAGTCCAATCAGGGTGGTCGGGTAGCCTAGTGGTTAAAGCGTTCGCTCGTCACGCCGAAGACCCGGGTTCGATTCCCGACATGGGTACAATGTGTGAAGCCCATTTCTGGTGTCCCCCGCCGTGATATTGCTGGAATATTGCTAAAAGCGGCATAAAACCATACTCACTCACTCACTCATAGTCCAATCAAAATTGCGCTCCGAAATGAAATCCAGTTCTTAAACTGTCATGCAGATTTCGGTCAATTGCAGGATTTGCAAACCATATGCAGCGCTAATTTGTTGTCAACAGATATTTTCTAAATCTTTGCATGTTTTTAATCAAGGTGCTCACATGATTTGACGCACTTCGCAGTGTAAGACTCATTTTATCACAAGTTATGGATCTTGATTATCGATCAGATCGTTTTGACTGGGTGCCGCCGTTTTGTTTGAAGCAAATGCAAGTGATACAAGTGGTGGAATCTGATTGGAGAGGCATAGAAGGGACATAACTCGTCACAGCAACTGGTGGCGCTACGATCGAGCCAAGGAATTCCAGCCTAGTTTCGGCAAGGGTGGAAACTGGACTTTTTAAGTCAGTTAACTCTCTTGCCTCAGGAAGATGGTGAAGGGGTTGGGAGGGATTGTCTGGGCCAGACTTGATTGTCTTGATGTAGCCCTCGTGATGATCCAAGTTAGAATTTGTCTCCAGTAACAAATGCTGACTAACAGGATTGTGTGGTCAGACTCGCTGATTTGGTTGAAGCATGTCATCATATCCCAGTTGCATAGATTGATGCTCATGATGTCAGTCACTGGATTGTCTGGCCCAGACTCTATTATTTACAGACTGCTGTCATACAGCTGGAATAGTGACGTGTTAAACAATAGAGAAACCAACATCATCATAATCATAGTTGTTCACAAGTTTTTGGTAAACATTGACAACCTGTGTTTTCTACGGGCAGCACAGTTGTCTGAGGCGCCGCAATTCGCTGTGCAGAGTTGTGTTCCTAGTGCATGCCAGAAATTAAATATTGTGGGTTTGAATCCCGGTTGGCCCCAATTATCTTTCTAGGTTTGTCAGCACTATTCCTGTGGTCATGGGTTTAACCAAAGTGGTAAACATTGAGGCCTGCCTCACTTCAGTCTTTCCTACAACATTAAGCTGTCATTCCATGATAAAACTGGAATACTGTTCAGCTGCAGTGTTAAACCAAACTCACTCACTCTTTATGATTTCAGGATTTCCTGTGGCAGCCAATGGTGAATCTCTCCATGTTTTACATGTACAAGAACTTCCTGCTGAGTGAGCCCGGCGCCAGACCAAACCTGGTCATAACAGGCAGTGCCACGGTGAGTTCCTGCAAGTGCCTCACATCGACTGTGGTTCAAATGAGCTATAATGTTTTAATGGTTCGACGTGGTCAACACAGTAGGGATGCAACGATACATTGGGGTATCAGTGCATCGTAAGTTTTCATGCAATGACACAATATATGAAACATTTTTTTCTGTGTCAATACAAGACGATAGATTTGCTAAAATAGGTTTCTTACTACTCGTTTAATGATCCCCCAGCAAATGTGTAATTAGTGTTCCAAGTTCGCTACTTCAAATAGCCACTATGAACATGTGTCTACAGCGAGCTTTTCCTTTAGAACTTGCTCTGAAATATTTATGGTCAAAAAGTTTCCACACGATTTGACTAAAATGTATGTCTCTCGATATGTATCGTATCGTATCGTATCGTGACCTATGTACATGATGTATCATAATAGATATTGTGTTGGCCTTGCTGTATTGTTTCACCCCTACAACACAGACTATACTTTTTGCCCTTGATACTGGCTTTTAACCACATTGGCTGTTATGCCTCCCCTGTAGATTCGGGGGCACATTCGCGGTGAAGAGTTGCGTCCCTTGGGAACGCCAGAAACCTATGATTGTGGGTTCGAATCCCGGTTCGCCCGGATTTTGTTTCTAGGTTTGTCAGCACCACCCTGTCGATTCCTGAGCAGAATATCCCCCAAGAACCTAATTGGCTGGAATTTTTTATTGCAATACATTTCAATATATTACAAGGAAAAATATATTGAATAACCAAAGAAAGCTATCAATACCCAATGTGAAACATAACATGAGTAAGTATTCATTTTGCTCATTTGCTCATAAGGGCGGTCGGGTAGCCTAGTGGTTAAAGCATTTGCTCGTCACGCCAAGCACCCGGGTTCAATTCCTGACATGGGTTCAATGTGTGAAGCCCATTTCTGGTGTCCCCTGCCGTGATATTGCTGGAATATTGCTAAAAGCGGCTTAAAAACAATACTCACTCACTCATTTGCTCAAAATATTATCTGGAGCTCTGGTGTAGACTGCACCAACTGTTCTACATTCAACATTCAACAGTCATTGTTTGATGATTGAATTCAGTTGTGAACCAACTGAACATCTATTATTATACTATAGCATCCTCCTCTGTTGAATTATGTCACCTGTTGTTTTTCAGTGGTGCATAAAACTGAACAATGGAAGCAAGAATGCTCTGAACAACTATCAAGGTATGCTATGTTCCTCCCAACACCTGTTGATAAAGAGACATGGATAGCCCAGTCGTCTTAGGTGCTGCAATTCCCTGGGCAGAGTTGCGTTCCTTGTGGACGCTAGACACCTATGATTGTGGGTTTGAATCCCAGTTCGCCCCAATTTAATTTCTAAGTTTTTCAGCACCATACCCGTGCTTGTGAATTTCACTAAGGTTGTAAATGTCAAAGATCTCCATCACTTGAGTCTTTCATCCTACATTAAGCTGGCATGCTGTGATATAACTGGAATTCTGTTTAACATGTTTAAAGCGGCATTAAAGAAAACTCACTCACTCTAACAGGTGAACTGTATTGAAGACTGCTATTATGGTTATCGTGGTTAAGTGATCTTTCCTCTTCAGTAATATTTGTACAACAGTCTAGTCTGAATCCAGTGTGAAGTAAAACTTTGTTTGGTTTAAGGTACAATCAGCTAATAAAAGTCCAATGTGTTAACAAGTTACATTATACTGAAAATAATGCCAAGTGTCAGGTTGAGCTTGTAGACTCATACGTTTTTAGAATATACTGCAATAAATTCTTTTGAACATGGTTCTGCAATGGCTAGTTTGGTTCCACTTCTGCATGCGTCGTCTGTGCTTTGGACTGCCTCCGTGGTTGAGCGCCTGCCCAGAGAGCGGAAGGTCGGGGTTCGATTGCCAGCCGTTTCATACTAAAAGTAAAAGACGTTAAAAGATGGTTCTTGTTATCTCGACATTTAGGGGCTAAAACAAGGACTGGTTGGCTTGCAGTCAGTATACTGTGTCTGAGAGGGATGTTAAACTGCGGCATGGTATCTCAGAAGGATAGCACTATAAAATCAGCATTAGGCCAGACTAATTTACAAGCATCTTGAAAGCGAAGTTAAACCTCATTTTACCTCACCTCATCTGTGTTTGTTTCCTTCTGTTTCAGTGAATCTCACAACAATTGTTCCTCTCTTTGATAAGCTAAAAGACACAACCAAAATACTCTGGATGCTGCAAGGTATATAATTTACATTGCCATTGTCTACCCTAGCACATTGAAATAGTGTTGACAACGTAGGGGTCTGGGGCCAATGGGTCCGCAGTACCTCTTACTAATCATTAGAGTGACAATGTGAGATCTCTCTGAGTGTGTCATGGTGCCTTGACTTCGGGGATTGTTGCTGATAATGTCAACAGCTAGTTTGCTTCATCCAGATTATTATTTACAGGCTGCCTTGATAATTCTGAATTATTGCAGGTTTTTGTGAATATAAGAATATTCTCATAAATATACTGACTGTTTTGTCAGCTTGATCAATGATCATACCTTTGGGTACAGTATTTGACATAATAAGCACCCAGGGCGCTCTCAAAATTCGAAATAGGGGGCTCTTATTAGAATATTCTTTTGGTGAATAACAACATATTTCAAAGATTTCGTGGTTTATGCTGACAGCCTGAAATGTTTATATATGACAGATATATTTTTCAAGAATTAAGGATGCATATAACACACATACTATACACAAATAAATAAGTCTTGTGTGCATTGATCAATTGGAATTGGGATTGTTCGCTAGCCAATATTTTAGGAAATATTGCCATGTGTGCTTATTAGAGCGGGGCGCTTATTACTTTGTATCAACTAAGTAATTAAATTTGTCTTTATCCCTTTATAGCATATATTTCTAAAAAAAAAAAATTGTGAAAATAAAAGTTGTTTGATCGCAATTCAATTCTTAATTACATGTTATTTGAATAACAACACGTCCCAGTCTTAATAACTTAATCATTGTTTTTGTTGTTATTGTTGTTAACGAGTTTTGTTTCTTCAGATCCGGTTGTGGAAGAGAAACTGAATGGAAACCGCTCAATGATAACAAATGAACAAATTGATGACTACAACAAAGTTGCTTTGGACTTGCTGTAAGTAATGGTCTTTCAAGGATGCATGGATGCAGTGAAATTGTCATGTTGTGGTCACTGGCTATGTGGTAAAATTCCAAAGTGTTGAAGGCGTTCTCCATGGCTTCAGACAGATTGAATCTGTGGTTTTAGGCCAATTATAGAAGAAATGTTTTCTTCACTTATGGTGACTGCACATGGGGTCATGCGGCAGAGTAACCATGGTAACTGTGGATTTGCGGATTCAAACAAATGATTTAACTTTGAATGGGTTATATATTACAGTGTCCATGCTTTGCTTTAGATTTTAGGTATTTATTTTGAGTAGAATGATTGATGGCGTTCTCCATGGCTTCAGAGAGATTGAATCTGTGGTTTTAGGCCAATCATAGAGAAAATGTTTTCTTCACTCATGGTGACTGCACATGGGTGTCATGTGTCAGAGTTACTGTGGATTTGCGGATTCAAACATGTTCTTCACATTAAGAATGATTAATATTTGTTTTAGACATTTTCTAGGTTTGCATCCGCTCATGACATTTATCCTGCCCCGGTAAAAATACATCAGGACATTGTCAACTGACAGTTATATTTCCTGTACACTATAACTTGTTAGTGAGGGAACTCCCCTTCCTGATGGTAATTTAAGGATATGATTAAAGGGACTTTACTATGTACTCATGCTTCTGTAGTATGGATATGAATTACTCAAGACGATTTCACTTTGAACAGTGCTGTCTTGATTAACCTCATTTCATTGTATTGCTGTAAAATGCTATAGGAACATGTGCTGAACATAATCTTGAAGTACCCACAGCTTGATGCTGTCAAACCTAAGAAAGCATGACAAATTACACATATCCAGGTAACACATGGATCAGTTGTGTAGTATGGTGAATAAACTTCAGAGGTATTGAGTGTGTTCGAAGATTGATGTTGTGTGGACAAGTATGTCTTAGTGAGTCATTTTTTTATTTTGACATTTGAAATATTTTGAAATCCACTTGGTGCATGTAGACATAAATATTAGGTTGCCTTTTTCAGTAATAGGTTGCACTGGTGCATGTTTTATACAGATTTGGTTGGTTTGTTGTTTTACGCCGCACTCAGCAATATTCCAGCTATATGATGGCGGTCTGTAAATAATCAAGTCTGGACCACACAATCCAGTGATTAATATCATGAGCATCGATCCATGCAATTGGGATCAATGACATGCATCAACCAAGTCAGCGACCCTGACCACCCGATCCCGTTAGTCGCCTTTTACGACAAGCATAGTCGCCTTTTATGGCAAGCATAGTCGCCTTTTATGTCAAGCATGGGTTGCTGAAGAGCTATTCTACCCCGGAATCTTCACGGGTCGTTTTATACAGCTAAATCAAGACCTCCCATGGCAACACTCTGATTGCTAAGTTTTACCTGAAGTCATGTCAGGCTTGTAATCATAGATTGTTTGTAGAATTTACCCTCTGGTAATATGTTATTCTTTTTGTCCCCTGAAATCTAAGGAATCCTGTTGGAGTGTTAGTAAAATATGCTGTCCCAGCCTAGCACTTCGTTTTCACACATCTACTTTGATAAGTCCTTTCTCCAGTTTGATCCAATCAGTGACATTGTTACATCATGTACATTGGTATGGTAATTGTATACTTCCTGTTTAGACTTACAGCAGGGATCAGTTGATGGGACAGTTTGTTTAAGGTTACAACTGGGACACAGGTTTAAAAGTTTCGTATAGCCTAGGTTCAGATTAACATATGACACAGTCTGCGACTAATGCCACTAGTCTGAAGCATGAGTCTAGTAAAATTCTCTTTTGTCAAGGTAACCTCAGTTGATAAAAGTCTGTATGATAACACTAAAGTCTACAAAAAATGATGCAAGTTTGGGACAGTAGACGCAAGACGTTTTGGCACAGACTGTATTGACTATACACTGTCCAGACAAATGTTCATGAATGTCAATGAGCCAAAGCACATTTGTCAGGCATTTCTTCAAATGGCAGAGTTACTGTGGATTTGCGGATTCAAACAAATGATTTAACCATGATTACAGTATCCTTTAGATTTTGGATTATTTTGAGTAGAATGATTGATGGCGTTCTCCATGGCTTCAGAGAGATTGAATCTGTGGTTTTAGGCCAATCATAGAGAAAATGTTTTCTTCACTCATGGTGACTGTACATGGGGTCATGTGGCAGAGTTACTGTGGATTTGCGGATTCAAACAAATACCTTAACCATATATGGGATATATATATAACAATATCCATGCTCTGCTTTAGGTTTTGGTTGTTAATTTTGAGTAGAACGATTGATGGCGTTCTCCGTAGCTTCAAAGGGTTTGAATCTGTGGTTTTAGGCCAATCATAGAGAAAATGTTTTCTTCACTCATGGTGACTGTACATGGGGTCATGTGGCAGAGTTACTGTGGATTTGCAGATTCAAACAAATGATTTAACCATGAATGGGTTATATATAACAATATCCATGCACTGCTTTAGATTTTAGGTATTTATTTTGAGTAGAATGTTTGATGGCGTTCTCCATGGCTTCAGAGAGATTGAATCTGTGGTTTTAGGCCAATCATAGAGAAAATGTTTTCTTCACTCATGGTGACTGTACATGGGGTCATGTGGCAGAGTTACTGTGGATTTGCGGATTCAAACAAATGATTTAACTTTGAATGGGTTATATATAACAGTACCCATGCTTTGCTTTAGATTTAAGGTATTTATTTTTAGTAGAATGTTTGATGGCGTTCTCCGTAGCTTCAGAGAGATTGAATCTGTGGTTTTAGGCCAATCATAGAGAAAATGTTTTCTTCACTCATGGTGACTGTACATGGGGTCATGTGGCAGAGTTACTGTGGATTTGCGGATTCAAACAAATGATTTAACTTTGAATGGGTTATATATAACAGTACCCATGCTTTGCTTTAGATTTAAGGTATTTATTTTTAGTAGAATGACTGATGGCGTTCTCCGTAGCTTCAGAGAGATTGAATCTGTGGTTTTAGGCCAATCATAGAGAAAATGTTTTCTTCACTCATGGTGACTGTACATGGGGTCATGTGGCAGAGTTACTGTGGATTTGCAGATTCAAACAAATGATTTAACCATGAATGGGTTATATATAACAATATCCATGCTCTGCTTTAGATTTTAGGTATTTATTTTGAGTAGAATGTTTGATGGCGTTCTCCATGGCTTCAGAGAGATTGAATCTGTGGTTTTAGGCCAATCATAGAGAAAATGTTTTCTTCACTCATGGTGACTGTACATGGGGTCATGTGGCAGAGTTACTGTGGATTTGCGGATTCAAACAAATGATTAACTTTGAATGGGTTATATATAACAGTACCCATGCTTTGCTTTAGATTTAAGGTATTTATTTTTAGTAGAATGTTTGATGGCGTTCTCCGTAGCTTCAGAGAGATTGAATCTGTGGTTTTAGGCCAATCATAGAGAAAATGTTTTCTTCACTCATGGTGACTGTACATTGGGTCATGTGGCAGAGTTACTGTGGATTTGCGGATTCAAACAAATGATTTAACTTTGAATGGGTTATATATAACAGTACCCATGCTTTGCTTTAGATTTTAGGTATTTATTTTTAGTAGAATGTTTGATGGCGTTCTCCGTAGCTTCAGAGAGATTGAATCTGTGGTTTTAGGCCAATCATAGAGAAAATGTTTTCTTCACTCATGGTGACTGTACATGGGGTCATGTGGCAGAGTTACTGTGGATTTGCGGATTCAAACAAATGATTTAACCATGAATGGGTTATATATAACAATATCCATGCTCTGCTTTACGTTTTGGTTGTTAATTTTGAGTAGAACGATTGATGGCGTTCTCCATAGCTTCAAAGGGATTGAATCTGTGGTTTTAGGCCAATCATAGAGAAAATGTTTTCTTCACTCATGGTGACTGTACATGGGGTCATGTGTCAGAGTTACTGTGGATTTGCGGATTCAAACAAATACCTTAACCATATATGGGTAATATATAACAATATCCATGTTCTGCTTTAGGTTTTGGTTGTTAATTTTGAGTAGAACGATTGATGGCGTTCAAACAGATTCAAACAAATGATTTAACTTTAAATGGGTTATATATAACAGTACCCATGCTTTGCTTTAGATTTAAGGTATTTATTTTGAGTAGAATGACTGATGGCGTTCTCCGTAGCTTCAAAGGGATTGAAACTGTGGTTTTAGGCCAATCATAGAGAAAATGTTTTCTTCACTCATGGTGACTGTACATGGGGTCATGTGGCAGAGTTACTGTGGATTTGCGGATTCAAACAAATGATTTAACTTTGAATGGGTTATATATAACAGTACCCATGCTTTGCTTTAGATTTTAGGTATTTATTTTGAGTAGAATGTTTGATGGCGTTCTCCGTAGCTTCAAAGGGATTGAAACTGTGGTTTTAGGCCAATCATAGAGAAAATGTTTTCTTCACTCATGGTGACTGTACATGGGGTCATGTGGCAGAGTTACTGTGGATTTGCGGATTCAAACAAATGATTTAACCATGAATGGGTTATATATAACAATATCCATGCTCTGCTTTATGTTTTGGTTGTTAATTTTGAGTAGAACGATTGATGGCGTTCTCCATAGCTTCAAAGGGATTGAAACTGTGGTTTTAGGCCAATCATAGAGAAAATGTTTTCTTCACTCATGGTGACTGCACATGGGGTCATGTGGCCGAGTTGCTGTAGATTTGCGGATACAAATGATTGAACCATACATGGGCGAGATGTTGCCATGTGTGCCATGACAAGTGTGATGAGGATTATTGAGGAAGTAGGAGGGGCGTAAAGGAATGGGTCTGTCCTTCCTCCATCCGCCACGTTTCATTGCTGGAGCATACCATGAAAACAGTTTCATGTTTTATTATGAAACTTTGCACTTTTGATGTGTTGGTTTGTTGAAGAAAAACATGATTGTCTTTCCTTGGCATCAAATTGGCCTTAGACTCAAATTTGTGTGGCATTTGTTTCCGGAGCATACCTCAGAAAACACTTGATATTTTACCATGTTTACTATGATATTTTATCATAAAATTTTGTATTTGTACAAAACACATGCTGAAATGTTGCCTTTTACTGTTTTGGTATTTCTAAAAAAAATTATTTTGTTGTTGTTGTTTCCTTGACAACAAAACTGGACTAAGGCTAAAATGCATGCTTGTTTAGTTTCCTTGTTTCACTGAGTGCATAGTGGGTGCAATGCGGACAGAAGTTACATTCAACTAAAACTAAAACTTGCATGCTTATCTAAGAGATACTTGTCTAGACTTGTGTAGACTGAGTAAAAACGGGGGGCACGGGTGGCCCAGTCGTCTAAGGCGCCGCGATTCGCTGTGCAGAGTTGCGTCCCTTGGGCTCACCAGAAACCTATGATTGTGGGTTTGAATCCCGGTTCGCCCCGATTATGTTTCTAGGTTTGTCAGCACCATACCCGTGCTCATGGGTTTCACCGAAGCTTTCCTCCCACATTAAGCTGACACGCCGTGATATGACTGGAATACTGTTAAAAACGGCGTTAAACCCGACTCACTCACTCACTGAGTAAAAATGTTCATGTTGTAACTTTTTTTTTGTCTGGAGTTACCCTCCCTGTCCCATGGATATTCACAACTAATATGCTAATGATTGTTGTCAGGTGACGTTGGTTACTGAGTTTTTTTATTATTGTTGTTGAGGTTGTTATTATTATTATGCTGATGTTTGTTGTCAGGCGGCACAGTGATGCCAAGTTGTGGAAGTCTTCACGTCTTGTTGCCCAGGGGATGAAGAAGGAGTCTGAGGATGGCCTGCACATCTCAAAGCTGGCCCTCGATCTGGTAAGTTGGGAATCCAGTTCAGAAAAGTGACTTCTATCCCATGCATGTCCTATTGTGGTTTTGGAGAGGTCTTTGTGCACAGACAGTGTTAATAGCTGCTCATGGACTTAACCAGTGGTTTGACTGCACCGGACTAGCTAGCTGGAGTTGTGGTGACTTCACCAGCAATATTCACAGGTGCCTCTAAAACGAGAATCTGCTGGCCACAATGGCTTCTAAGTATGACAAGGTGTTGGATGGTATCATCAGGAAAGACCTATTCTCTGGTCACAATAAATTAATTGTTAGATTTTTATCCACATATGTGAAACACATTTTATTTTTTATATTTACTTTTCTAAGCAAAATGTTCAGACATCGGGATATTAAATGTCACATGAACAGGATGAAATCTGAATCTTTGATAGGACAACCTATATTGTGTTGTTCCTAAAGTAAACGAGGGAAACACTTGTAGCAATTTTCTTTGTCTGGAAGTACTTGGAATCTATAAAATGATGTGAGTCAGTTTTTTTTGTAGTGAAGCAGTTGGGAATGATGATCTGATAATTAATTTATGATGGCCGTGGTTATGACAGGTGGGTGGTTAGACTATTTCTCAGTACAGCGTGTGTACAGACTCGAATTTGAGTGCACAGACTCTCATGTGAAACCCTATTCCCTCAGCCTGTCACTATGTCATTAAAAGTGACTTTAGTCAAAGCTGCTCACTTTGTTGCTTCGAAAATATGATTATTATACAAAATATGAATATGCCAATCTTTAAAAATAATTGCAGTGACTAAAGTTCATTACACAGTAATTAGAGGATAATTTTTTGCCTTACACTGTCTGCTATGAAATTATTTAGATCTTGTTTATTGATGGAGTTGATGGAGACACTCCACTCATATTATCGGAAGCTGTGTCGAAATAGAAACTAAGCAATAAAATCATTGCCTGAGTCTCAGAATCACATTGCTGTATTTCGCCTTCGTTTATGTACAGGATGTCCAGATTCTGCTCAACATGTACTGCAACAACGACATGAACCACCACGACGGCACCTGCTGCAACAAGCCGGAGCAGGCCACTACACTGCAGATCATCACTGCCGCATTCTTCCTCGTCTGGTAACACCTCACACAGCCTACCTCACACAACTTACCTTACAATATGGCACTGTGTCCAGGGAGACTGACATCTCTTGGCGTTAGCGGTGCAGAGTTGTATCCCTTAGACATGCCAGGACCCTATGATCTGGGTGGGGTCTAAATCAACATTTGTCCCTGATTATGTTTCTATGCTTGTCAAGGGGGCACGGGTGGCCCAGTCGTCTAAGGCGCCGCGTTTTGCTGTGCAGAGTTGCGTCCCTTGGCACGGAAGAGACCTATGATTGTGGGTTCGAATCCCGGTTCGCCCCGATTATGTTTCTAGGTTTGTCAGCACCATACCCGTGCTCGTGGTTTCACCGAAGTAGTAAACGCCTGAGACCTGCATCTCTTCGGGCTTTCCTCCCACATTAAGCTGACATGCCGTGATATAACTGGAATACTGTTAAAAGCGGTGTTAAACCCAACTCACTCACTCACTATGCTTGTCAACACCATACCCCTGCTTGTGGGTTTCACCAAAGTGGTGCATCACTTAGAGACCTGCATCACTTAAAGCTTGTCTCCCACAACAAGGAGACATGCTGTAAATATCTGAAATAGTGTTAAAAGCAGCATTAGAAATTGGCACTAGTCCTATAGTCTTTGCCAAACTGCCCAATAGTTAAGGCATCATAAGGACTAGTAGAAATTTGCCATTATGTTATATGTTATTATTATAAGGACTAGTAGTCTAAAACAGTTTCTATCGCTGAAAAGTGGTGTTTATCAAAACTCACTCACTCACTCACTCACTCACTCACTCACTCACTCACTCACTCACTCACTCACTCACTCACTCACTCTCTTTATGTTGATCAGTCTGAGGCAGTGTCTCAACTGCAGTATTATACCTTTCCCACCTAAGTGACTTTTTGTACAGAAACAATTACACAGTCTCCCACTTTGGTGTGATCAAAACACTCTTGGATTTGTGGTTAAAGTGCTTTCTGGTCCCACAAGAGGCCTGTGTTTGATTTCCAGTCTGGGTATAATTCTCGTTCTTGGTGTCCCCAGCCATAGTATGGATGGAATTTGGAGGAAAGGGGGAGGAAAACCTTATTCAATCATAACCCACTGTTAAAGGTTAATTTGGTACATTTTGATGAAATTTCAATGACAGAGTTCAAATGTACAAAACAGTATTTGGCATGTGTCATAGAACAAGTTTCTTTATTGGTGTTACTCAATGCCACAAATTTCTTTTCACAAAAGAAGGAAAAATCAGTGGCACTTTGTATCATTTTAATGAATGAATGAATGAATGAATGAATGAATGAATGAATGAATACTGAGGCATTGACTTAAATCATGTTTGTCATCAGTTGTCAGTTGTATATGGCAAGCCATGACATATTGATATTTTCAATATTTTGCTGAACACAATTTACAGGATGCTAATCAGTTTGAATGCCAGAAAGTCGGTAGTGTTTCTGCTCGCGTTTTTTGAAATGATGGTACTATTTCTGTGGTCACTGTTTCAGTATCGTGTCTGCCATAGCCCTGTGCCTGTATCGACGACGCCAGCTGAGGCGGAATGGGGCAAAGGCAAGAGCAGGTAAATAATGTGCTGCTTGTGATAATGCGAGTCAACCATATAACAAAAACCCATGCTTTTGTGTCTTTGTTACAACCTCAGAATAACATGGGTTCTGGACATAAAGGGAATATTAGAACACAAGTGCCACAACGCATGTACATCCAACACAGGGGCGGTCGGGTAGCCTAGTGGTCAAAGCGTTCGCTCTTCACGCTGAAGACCCGGGTTCGAATCCCCGACATGGGTACAATGTGTGAAGCCCTTTTCTGGTGTCCCCCGCCGTGATATTGCTGGAATATTGCTAAAAGCGGCGTAAAACCATACTCACTCACTCACTCACTCACTCACTCACTCACTCACTCACTCACTCACTCACTCACACACTCACTCACTCACTCACTCACTCACTCACTCACTCACTCACTCACTCACTCACTCACTACATCATACAGATGGTGTAGTTGGCAGGGTTGAAAAATGAAATACATGATCATGATCATTAAAACTGTTACAGCAAACAATTCCTAAACCAGGAAGCATCCTTATCACCATGGAAACAGATATCCTCTTTTATACAATTTACGTTGTGGGCCTATGAAATGTGCCTATTTCTGTGACACTGTCCTTGTTTTTTTTCAACATGGTCAAATAAATACAGTTTAAGTGATGCCATGGATGTGATTGGTGAACCAAGCAATTGTTTTGCATTTGTTTCCGTAAACCTGAAATTTTTTTTAGGTGATCCCTACTAGTGGCTTAATGTTAGCTACTTTGCCGATAATCAGAGTGGGCAAGAACGATGTGACTGATTTTGTCTGGTGGCTACAGTGTTTTGTGATAATATTAAATAAGCAGTCTGTTGAGTTTTTATAGTTCTCCTATTAATTATAATAATTTTTCTTCAATTTTATTTTGCGTTTTTGTCGGTATAAACCTAAAAACCGATGTGGACATTTTACGTAAATCATCTCTTAAAAACAGATTCAGTGGGAATCAGAATGACAGGGAATGATTGTAGGAATGAAAAATGATGTTTAATTTTTTTCACCTTTGTGAAATATAGGGTGAGCTGGCCCATAACCCAAGGAATACAATGACAAACGCCTTATTGTTGGGGACTTGGTGGTCAGAGTAGGTGGCTGGGTGTAGGTGATTCAGCACTGTTGATTCCGTGTAGGTGACTCATTGAAGAATTGTGTTATTGATGGCGTTCCCCACTCTTTCTAAGTATTGAGAGAAGTGGTTTTAGACCATCATAGATTAACCTGACCTCGTCAGTCACGGCTGCTATGACACCTGCGGGTCATGCGGTGTCCTGTAGTGCTCGTGACATTGCGTGGTCAAACACTACAAGCACACCACTGAATTTTGGGAAACAGGTTTTGGGAATACATTTTGCATTTACTCTATTGATCATGTTGATGATTCTCATCCTATAATCCGGGTAGAGAATAGGTCTTCAGCAACCCATGCTTGTCGTAAGAGGCAAATAATGGGATCGGGTGGTGAGGCTCGCTGACTTGGTTGAAGTATGTCATTGTATCCCAATGGAGTAGATCGATGCTCATCATGTCAATCACTGGATTGTCTGTCCAAGACTGGATTATTTACAGACTGGTGTCATGTAGCTGGAATATTGCTAAGCGTGGCATTAATTAACAAACAAACAAATCTATTTTAGAAACCTCCCCAAACAGACTACTGTTTTCTGAGTGGCTGGAGTGGATGGGGCTTGTGTTAAGGATTAGATATGCAGGCGCTGAAGTTGTTACTGTTTATTCTTGAGAATTGACATAAATATGTGTTTGGGTTAAGCAGCCAAAAAGTAAAAACAGGTGTACACACTATAAATCCAAACACAACTACTGAAGTCAGTGCTTTAATGGAAAGTAAAATTAATGACAAAAACACTTGTCGTGTTAATTTGATTGTGATACATATTTTTCATCAGTATCCAAATTACGGTACTCGTCAGTGACTGGTTAGTGTCAGTTCAAGTCAGCAGTGTCCCGATACCTGGAATTCCTCTTCCCAAGATGTGGTGATTTAAACCTTATCTATGTTTTCAGCTCAAAACAACATCTCATGATGCAAAGACTGACCAACGAGGATCAACTGCGCATGAGTTATTTAAAATTTGTACATTACCCTGCAGTAAACAATTGGTTTTTTATGATTTGGGAAATAATTTGTTTATATCTTGCTTCATATTGGGATGAGTGGATTCAGTATTATCATGATACACTACCAACAAAAAATAAGGAAACATGATAGTGATGGTGTAATCACAACAAATGTCGGTAAAAATAATTTCGGTCATGTAATGGTGTGTCGTCCTTGTTGGGTGATACATCTCGAAACCTTGATGGCATTATCGCAATTAACTTTAGGCATTTTAAGCGTGTGCTCAGATCAATTGCATCAGTGATTGTGAGTTCCCCTACAGGTGCTGAGACTTTGACTTTTGTGTGCATGATGTGAAATGTCATTGTGATTACATGTAGCTTTTAGGGGCAACACCACGGTATTGTAGATGTGCACCGCAACGATGATCAGTGATAGAAACCAGCAGTTATAGCCCTCTAGTCCTTATAATGATAACAGGGCAAAACTCTTAAAAAGGGCAAATGTCTTCTAGTCCTTAGGATACTTTAACTATTGGGTAGTTTCGCAAGGACTATTGGGCAGTTTGGCAAGGACTATTGGGCAGTTTGGCAAGGACTATTGGGTAGTTTGGCATGGACTATTGGGCAGTTTGGCATGGACTATTGGGCAGTTTGGCAAGGACTATTGGGCAGTTTGGCAAGGACTATTGGGTAGTTTGGCAAGGACTATTGGGTAGTTGGCAAGGACTATTGGGCAGTTGGCAAGGACTATTGGGCAGTTTGGAAAGGACTATTGGGTAGTTGGCAAGGACTATTGGGTAGTTGGCAAGGACTATTGGGCAGTTGGCATGGACTATTGGGTAGTTTGGCAAGGACTATTGGGTAGTTGGCAAGGACTATTGGGCAGTTGGCAAGGACTATTGGGCAGTTTGGAAAGGACTATTGGGTAGTTGGCAAGGACTATTGGGTAGTTGGCAAGGACTATTGGGCAGTTGGCAAGGACTATTGGGCAGTTTGGCATGGACTATTGGGCAGTTTGGCAAGGACTATTGGGCAGTTTGGCAAGGACTATTGGGCAGTTTGGCAAGAACTATTGGGCAGTTTGGCACGGACTATTGGACAGTTTGGCATGGACTATTGGGCAGTTTGGCAAGGACTATTGGGCAGTTTGTAAAGGACTATTGGACAGTTTGGCAAGGACTATTGGGCAGTTTGTCATGGACTATTGGGTAGTTTGGCAAGGACTATTGGGCAGTTTGGCATGGACTATTGGGCAGTTTGGCAAGGACTATTGGGCAGTTTGGCAAGGACTATTGGGCAGTTTGTAAAGGACTATTGGGCAGTTTGGCAAGAACTATTGGGCAGTTTGGCACGGACTATTGGACAGTTTGGCATGGACTATTGGGCAGTTTGGCAAGGACTATTGGGCAGTTTGTAAAGGACTATTGGACAGTTTGGCAAGGACTATTGGGCAGTTTGTCATGGACTATTGGGTAGTTTGGCAAGGACTATTGGGCAGTTTGGCATGGACTATTGGGCAGTTTGGCAAGGACTATTGGGCAGTTTGGCAAGGACTATTGGGCAGTTTGGCAAGGACTATTGGGTAGTTTGGCAAGGACTATTGGGTAGTTGGCAAGGACTATTGGGCAGTTGGCAAGGACTATTGGGCAGTTTGGAAAGGACTATTGGGTAGTTGGCAAGGACTATTGGGTAGTTGGCAAGGACTATTGGGCAGTTTGGCATGGACTATTGGGCAGTTTGGCATGGACTATTGGGCAGTTTGGCAAGGACTATTGGGCAGTTTGGCAAGGACTATTGGGCAGTTTGGCAAGGACTATTGGGCAGTTTGGCAAGGACTATTGGGCAGTTTGGCAAGGACTATTGGGCAGTTTGGCATGGACTATTGGGCAGTTTGGCAAGGACTATTGGACAGTTTGGCAAGGACTATTGGGCAGTTTGGCGAGGACAATTGGGCAGTTTGGCACGGACTATTGGGCAGTTTGGCAAGGACTATTGGGCAGTTTGTAAAGGACTATTGGGCAGTTTGGCAAGAACTATTGGGCAGTTTGGCAAGGACTATTGGGCAGTTTGGCATGGACTATTGGGCAGTTTGGCAAGGACTATTGGGCAGTTTGTAAAGGACTATTGGGCAGTTTGGCAAGAACTATTGGGCAGTTTGGCAAGGACTATTGGGCAGTTTGGCATGGACTATTGGGCAGTTTGGCAAGGACTATTGGGCAGTTTGTAAAGGACTATTGGGCAGTTTGGCGAGGACAATTGGGCAGTTTGGCAAGGACTATTGGGCAGTTTGGCATGGACTATTGGGCAGTTTGGCAAGGACTATTGGGCAGTTTGGCAAGGACTATTTGGCAGTTTGTAAAGGACTATTGGGCAGTTTGGCATGGACTATTGGGCAGTTTGGCAAGGACTAATGGGCAATTTGACAAGGACTATTGGGCAGTTTGTAAAGGACTATTGGGCAGTTTGGCAAGGTCTATTGGGCAGTTTGGCATGGACTATTGGGCAGTTTGGCAAGGACTATTGGGCAGTTTGGCAAGGACTATTGGGCAGTTTGTAAAGGACTATTGGGCAGTTTGGCAAGGACTATTGGGCAGTTTGGCAAGGACTTATGGGCAGTTTGGCAAGGACTATTGGGCAGTTTGGCAAGGACTATTGGGCAGTTTGTAAAGGACTATTGGGCAGTTTGGCAAGGACTATTGGACTAGTGATAATTTCTAGCGCTGATGATGATTGAAATGATTAGTTCCCCTATTTTTTGTTGGTGGTGTAATTGATTCCTTTTTCCATCAATATCAGATTTCCATGTTTTGGCTTAGCTTGTTTAGACTTTGGTTGTTAATTTTGAGTAGCACAATTGATGGCGTTCTCCATGGCTTCAGAGAGATTGAAGCTGTGGTTTTAGGCCAATCATAGAGAAAATGTTTTCTTCACTCATGGTGACTGTACATGGGGTCATGTGGCAGAGTTACTGTGGATTTGCGGATTCATACAAATGATTTAACTTTGAATGGGTGATATATAACAGTACCTAGGCTTTGCTTTAGATTTTAGGTATTTATTTTGAGTAGAATGTTTGATGGCGTTCTCCGTAGCTTCAGAGAAATTGAATCTGTGGTTTTAGGCCAATCATAGAAAAACTGTTTTCTTCACTCATGGTGACTGTACATGGGGTCATGGATTCAAACAAATACCTTAACCATATATGGGTTATATATAACAATATCCATGCTTTGCATTAGATTTTAGGTGTTTATTTTGAGTAGAATGTTTGATGGCGTTCTCCGTAGCTTCAGAGAGATTGAATCTGTGGTTTTAGGCCAATCATAGAGAGAATGTTTTCTTCACTCATGCTCATGGTGACTGCACATGGGGTCATGTGGCAGAGTTACTGTGGATTTGCGGATTCAAACATCTTCTTCATATCAGGAATTATTCATAAGTTGAATAACAGCTCCAACAACATGTTAAATATATGGTAACTTATGATGCGAGTAGTATGTATTGATGGCATTCCCCACTTTTCCCAAGTAATGAAAATGTGGTTTTAGACCATCATAGATAGATTTGAACCTTCCACTCACGGCTGCTCGGACACTTGCGGATCATGCGGTGTCCAGTGGTGGCCGTGACATTTTGTGTTCAGACACGATTCAGTGATTCACTTCACAGAAGAGAATGTTTGGTTTAGGCCAGAACAATAACATTCTTGCAATTGGTACCACCCATATAGGTAAATAGTCAGCATGAACGTTTTTTCTTTCTATTTCATAACTACAGTCATTCTGCAACTCAGGTGGCAAAATACACTCTAAAATTGCTTGGGAACAGTTTGTAATTATTTTACCATGTTTACAGCCATACTTAATGTATGAGAATGAAGATGTAAATCTGATGACTTGGCAACTATTTCTTTAGCCTAGGGCTTGTAAAGATTAAATCTTGATTTATAGGGCCATGGGTATAAGGTTTTGCAATTTGCTGTGCAGAGTTGTGTCCCTTTGGTGTAACAGAAACCTATGAGGTGAAACCAAATATTTTCCCATAGACTTCTATCGTAAGTGATGTTATTTTTAAATAGCTTGTCATTCAACAGCTATTACATCTACATGTGTGCACAGCAGCAATACAAACAAATGAAATGGCTGACTTAGCCAGTACAGGAAGCTAAACACACCACTCCCAGTTGTGCACTTGCTTGAAAATACTTGTGGTCACATTCAGGAAAATTCATTATGTTAAAAAGGACAGCACTAGAATGGAAAACATGGTCAGTTTTAAATACCAGATGGATGTACATTTAAAAGACATAAAAATCTTACACAAAATCATCAAATCAGAGCTGCCAGATTTCTCAATCTACATTTAATCTTTCCTACGAAAGCTGCTGGTTGAACGACTGATTCTGATTTGGTGTAGTAGATTCCTGATCGCGGGTTTTAATCCCTGATTTGCCTGGGTTATGGCTCTTGGTGTGGCATCACCATACCGTGAACCCACGCCCCTGTGTTTCGCCGAACATGTATAGCTGGAATATTGCTGAGTGTGGCATTAAACAGGAAACAAACAAAATGTGGCATTGTGTGTTCTAAATCTATTTCACATTGACCCCTTTCTTGCAGAAAATGGGCAGCGAAATGGACAGAATGGTCTGCAAGAATCTCACGAAGGTTGTTATGAAGTCATGGTATCGCTAGCCAAGCTGGGCCTTATCATGGCATACTTCTACCTCTGTGACAGGTAATGTAGCAAGGCACTGGATTACAGGGCAGAACAGGTCCCACGTCGAGCCACAATATACAGTAGGACATAGATAGAGTGAAGAAATGGATAGAGTGAAGAAATGGAAACAACAAACTGTTACAAAATCCCCTTTTTGTCTCCCATATATTATTATCCCTCGCCCAACAAAGTTGGCGAGGGATATAGAAACGGGCTTTGTCCGTCCGTCCGTCCGTCACGTTTTTTTTTTACGTTTCCATGGCAACAAGATGGACTTAGATTCTGTGAGGGTAGGGTTCGTTTCCGGAGCATAACTCATAAACCGTTCAATATTTTTTCATGAAACTTTGCAGGTTTGTCAGGTACATGCTGAACTGGTGCCTTTTGCTATTTAGAAATTTTAGAAAAAAATTTTTTTACGTTTCCATGGCAGCAAGATGGACTTAGGTTCCAAACTCTTCTTTTTTTTACAATTTCCATGACAAGTTCCACCTCGGTTAAAAAAGGTGAGGGTTTGTTTAGATTTAATTATGTCATAAATTCTGCAACAGGGGCAGGGGATATAGCCACGTTAGTGGCTAACTCTTGTTATATTAGATATATGTACATAACAAACTCTCACAGCGAATTAGCATATACAGTGAACTGATATTTGATCGTGACAAGCCCAAATACCAATAAGTAGTAACTTGTAGAGAAACCTCACTCCATGGCTAAACTCAATCAGCGGTTACAAGGTTTGACCTGGTTGATTATGCATTATCGTATCCTGATGAGGAACGTCGATAACAGAATGTGAACAGGTCCCTCTTCCACAAAGCGATCTTAGTGCAAAGCAGTGTTGCCGTTTACTGGTAATTGCCAGTTTTGTACTGGTAAAATTAGGCGTGGACTGGTAATTCATGTGACTGCCAGTCCATGTGGACCGGCAAATAAAGTTCCTTATAAATCTTTGTTGTTGAATAAAACCTTGGCGATATGTTTTTTCAGCTTTTGTCAGCTTGTCTGTTACCATCAGGCTTTCCTGTTGTTTATTTTCAGTGCAAAGAAACAAAATTTCGCGTTGCTTTGAGGTTAAATATGTATTTGTAGTGACTTAGTCTCAAAATATTCAAAAGAAGGAGAAAATTGTGACTGACCTTTGTAGGAATGATGTGTAGATCTAACTATGTTACTTCAGAGATGACGTCCATGCAATCGAACATGATGTTAAAAGAATTTAAACCAGGTCATTTACATGCGGTTTTTTTATTTGTTGAAAGTTGGGACTGACAAAAATTAGGGGGGACTGGTAATTATTAGCCACCAGAACTGTCAATTTCAAAAGCCAGCGGGAACACGGCAAAGACAATCGTAACTCCCATAATGTAGACTTGCGATGATCCTAGCGATAGATTCGTTAAGGTTGATTGAACGTTACATTACGTTAATTGTCCTGGAATGGGAAGACCCCTGTCAGATTTTGGAGAAAACAGGTCCCCAGTATTGGGTGTTAAATTCCGACTTAAAGGAATACAGAGCTGTGGCATTGGGTGACATTGTGTGAATTGCCCGTGCTAAGCGCCGCCGTCCCCGGTCTTTTCGTATCAAGTATAAATTAGAGGTAGTTGTCATAGTTAAAACTAGAACCTTGTCATATTTCTTTGTTGTGAAGATGATAGTGACATCATTTACTTATTACTAGTAATTGTATGATTTCACTTCCAGGACCAATTTTTTCATGAAAGAAAACAAGTACTACACTCATGTCAACTTCTTCCTCCCGTTTGCCTACGTCATGATACTCGGCTTCTTCTTTACTGAGAAGACGGACAAGGTAACGAGTTTTGAAAAACCTACAGGACTGTGGTGATCAGATTGACTGTATTCAATCACTTTAATGCAGCTTCTTGGTTTGTCATCACCAAAATTGTATATGTTCAATACCTGCTACACTTTTGGATTCATCTAGCTCAAAGACACATTAAACCAACTGACTCACTTAATGTAGTAGTCCAGTATGTGTTTTAGTCTCTATTCTGATGCCAGAGAGTAGAAAATGGGTTTCAGTTTGCCAAGCTGAGGACATATTCAGGATGAGATTTTTCTGTGGATCCACGTAATTCCACAGATTTCGCTACGTCAATGGTCGCTTTTGTGATGCCATCACAATCTTCATATAAATGATATAGTTCCCCAGATTCCCAGCTAATTACTTTCAGTGCTATTTAAAAAAGAAAATTTTCATCCCTGGCTTGAACAATGTAAGCCCTGCTGTCATGTGAAAATACCCAGTACCAGAAGGAAGTGTAGAAGTTACGTTTCTTGCCCTCAGACCGCCGTCCTTCACCGAGACCAAACCGATGAATGGAAAGGCTGGATGCAGCTGGCGTTCCTCATCTACCATCTGACGGGAGCCAGCAAGGTGAGACCGCAAGTTGCCCCATTTGAAGAAGAGCTGCTTGATGTGTTTCAAAGTTGTAGGAAATTTGACTGTTGCTCTTTGTTTTGTTACCCATGAGGAGCTGTCTTGTGTAGGGTGCAGCAATTTGCTGCAAAGAGTTGTGTCCCTTATCTACCATACAGGAAGCTGTACAGCTATTTGTCGTTTTGGGGGGATAGCCGTTTCCTATTTGTCGTGTCATTCAACCGGAGCCAGGCTCAAGGTGCAGGGTATATCACAGCATTGGAGTTATAGAATGGAGATGGGATATCTGGATGATTGAACAGAGGTTACTACAGCAGCATGACTTTCTTCATACTTACACAGTAGATGGCAGGTTTTGCCGATACTGGAAGTGTTATCACGGAACTTGCACATTATGTGAGCTAGAAAGCTGCAACCTTGTGTGTTTTCTTGCAGGTGCTGCCCGTGTACATGCACATCCGGGTGTTGGTGTCGTCCTACCTCTTCCTCACTGGCTTCGGTCACTTCACCTACTTCTGGCAGAAGGGGGAGTATGGGCTGGTGAGATACTGCAAGGTAGGGCCTCTCACAGACTCCCATCATCAGTTGCCATGGTGACAGTGTTGAAACACATCAAACAGATGAGACACAGCTTCAGATACAACACATGATTCTTAGATACTGCAACATTTCTTTTTGGTCACTTGATTGCTGGTAGGGTTCGACTCAGCAATATTGTTCAGTGGTTTGAAAATGAGAAGCACATATTTGAAATATATCTCCTGATTTGACACTGTAGAGCCCCAACATGTTTATATCCATAAACTTGATGTGAAATGGTTGTGTGATGTTGGATAATAGTTTAATGGGTGTTCTGTTCATTCTGACATGACACTGCTGAAATGTTTTTGAAATGACAATGAAAACCCTGACATTGGCATTCTAGAGTATTTGTGTCTAATTTGTAACCTATTCAACTTAATACCTTAAATATTGTTTGCAATGTGTGCAGGGGCACATAAGTCATAATTATTTGGTTCTGCTGACTAACAAAATTTGAGGTGGGGAAAAAAATCGGAAACAGTAAGACAGTAAGCAAACTTAAGTTTTCACTACACAAAAAATGCAAACACACAATGTATTAGACTATAAGAAGCGGGATCGGGTGGTCAGGCTCGCTGACTTGGTTGATACATGTCATCGATCCCAATTGTGCGGATAGATGCTCATGATGTCAATCACTGGATTGTCTGGTCCAGACTCGATTATTTACAGACCGCCGTCATATAGCTGGAATATTGCTGAGTGCGGCGTTAAACAACAAACAAAAAAACAAAAAAACTATAAGAAGATTTGTAAATAGTTTAAATACCGGACTGAACTAACACTGTAAATATGGCAAAATATTCAGAAACTTTATAAAGAGCAGAAAAAAAAAAATGATCTGGAACCACGCTTTTTCCCCCACTAATACAGCTTAGATTTTCACCAAAAAAAAAAAGTTTGTATACCAAGAAAAGTTTGGCCTTATGTGATGACTGATATAACGTTGAAGAAAGGCTTTGTGTTGTTTGAATGTTGCTGTGTTGTTTGAATGTTGCTGTGTTGTTTGAATGTTGCTGTGTTGTTTGAATGTTGCTGTGTTGTTGCACATGTGTTGTATGCTGTTTTGTCATTGCTTATTTCATCAATTGCTTTTTTTAGTTGTGCTGTCATTTTTTCAGCCTTAGCGTCAGTTCTGCTCAGTTGTATTTTTCCAGCAAAACATTTTCATTTCTGCTTAGTTGAATTAAGTTTCCATCTGAACTATTCCCGAGTCAACGCCCATCTGAGGACTATAAGAATGGTTTGTTACATGGTAAAGCAGAATTCTCTTATTTCCATCAGTTAGTGTGAAGCCATACCTAACGTTTCAGAGTCAAGGTACAGACGTACATTCCCTTGTGAGGAAAGCTTTGACGAAGGTAGTTATGCTTGGCTTGATAAGTATTAACACACTGACAAGTTACTGAATGATGAGCAAGTTGAGTTTATACAGTAGTCAATCTCTTGGTTATGTTGGGGCACTGATGATTGCGTGAATGTTGGTGAAATCTAGGAGGATACAAGTATGTATATATTTAGTGAGCATCCAGCCACTGTTACTGATGAGGTCATCAGTCTAAATTCACTGCTGAGTGAGAAGCTAATACACATTTGAATACTCTCTTTCATCCATTGGTGTAAATGTAATGGCTCTAGTAGTCAGCATGTTCATGTAACCCTATTAGTTAAATTTTGTCCCTGGGGGATATCTTAAGTATTTAATTTGAACCTGTTTTCATATATATGTGAACAGTGGTGGAACCATAGCATTTGCTACTAAGGGAATTTTGATGGTTCTAATTTTTGGATGTTTCAAATTATCAAGTGGGATGATGGGGTTAATTTTTTATGTAAAATCCGTATAACATGCATGTATTGGAAAACAGCTAAGAAGTGAGGCTGAGATTTATTCTCATGGTGTAATTTTGAGAAGAATGTAGCGTAGTTCTTCACAATATTTTACAGCGGGGGGATATGTCATCTCTTTCCAACTCTTTCATTGTAAAGCATGGTTGAAACTTATGGGGAGATGTTGAGAAAACTGCAACACTGATCATGACATTGTTACTAAACCAAGGCTTGCTCCCCTGCAGTAACTAACCTGTGTGAATGATACATCTAGGCTTGTACACTCAGACTTTTATTACCCAAGCGAGAATCATCTTCAGGATTAAATTGGATTTCATCATGACTTTCAACATGTTCAAGGGTTCTGAAATGTACCCATTGTTAATTTATAAGAGGGCATGATGGTATGAAATCTTTTCTCTCTCGACATTTTGTTGATAGATTTGAAGCCATTTCTGAAATTTATCTTGGGTAGTAAAGACAACTCACTTGAATTATAATCTCCCAGTCTCTCTCATGAATAATGCAATAAGTCACTTGCTAAAGCTTGCGTCTTCACCATCAGTTATTCTGACTCTGAAGAAGTCCTTCCAACTCCTACTATATTGTTTTACTCTATGCTTGTTTTCCAATCCTGTGTTATTCCCTTTCCTTGCCTATCATTTGGTTTACTCACTGTTTATCCTTAAAGGACAATCTCTGGCTGTGACGGGTGTGAGATAATAACTGAAAATCCTCCTTATGCCAAGGAGTTGTTGTTTGTGTAGGAAAATAATTTGTGGTTCATGGCCCGTTCCTCATAGTGATCTTAGCAATATGATGATTGTAAGCCTATGTTAAAGTATGGGACTAACGATCACCTAAGCTTTGTCACACTATGTATGCAATTTGATCGGCTATAAGAATCTTTTGACACAATCAGCTCTTCAATGACCATGTGTGATGAAGATGTACCAACTTTGTTCTTAAAGCAAGGATTGGTGCAGAGACTATTAAGTGACCTCTCTGATTTTTCTGAAGCAGCCAGCAGAAATCACACATGCAATGTTCTTTAAGGTTAACTGGTGAAATACACCCCTACCCCCCAAACCCCTTGAGTGAGACACTGCTGAAATAGCCCCTCGATGTTCTTGAAGGAGAGACTGCTGTAGTGACCAATGTAATGGAAAGAGACTTCATCTTTCAAGGACAGCTCTCTGATGCTGCACTAACTAGGACTAGGCCTGAGTTTAATGGGAAGGAGCCAGACTACAGGACAGACATCACATGAGTTGTTCCTGCTCTGAATGTCATGAATAGATCTGATTTGGCCCTTCTGTTTGGCCGTTCTCTTGTAATACTGCTCACAAGGTCATGGACTTGGTGGTTCTCTTGTAGTCCTGCTAACAAGGTCATGAACTTGGTGGTTCTCTTGTAGACCTGCTAACAAGGTCGTGGACTTGGTGGTTCTCTGTAGTGGTTCTCTTGTAGTCCTGCTAACAAGGTCATGGACTTGGTGGTTCTCTTGTAGTGGTTCTCTTGTAGTCCTGCTAACAAGGTCATGAACTTGCTGGTTCTCCTGTAGCCCTGCTAACAAGGTCATGGACTTGGTGGTTCTCTGTAGTGGTTCTCTTGTAGTCCTGCTAACAAGGTCATGGACTTGGTGGTTCTCTTGTAGTCCTGCTAACAAGGTCATGGACTTGGTGGTTCTCTTGTAGTGGTTCTCTTGTAGTCCTGCTAACAAGGTCATGAACTTGCTGGTTCTCTTGTAGACCTGCTAACAAGGTCATGGTCTTGGTGGTTCTCTGTAGTGGTTCTCTTGTAGTCCTGCTAACAAGTTCATGAACTTGCTGGTTCTCTTGTAGACCTGCTAACAAGGTCATGGTCTTGGTGGTTCTCTGTAGTGGTTCTCTTGTAGTCCTGCTAACAAGGTCATGAACTTGCTGGCTCTCTTGTAGTCCTGCTAACAAGGTCATGGACTTGGTGGTTCTCTTGTAGTCCTGCTAACAAGATCATGGACTTGGTGGTTCTCTTGTAGTCCTGCTAACAAGGTCATGGACTTGGTGGTTCCCTTGTAGTCCTGCTAACAAGGTCATGGACTTGGTGGTTCCCTTGTAGTCCTGCTAACAAGGTCATGAACTTGCTGGTTCTCTTGTATTGAGTTTATTTGGTGACATCTTTGGCTTGATCTTGCACAGTGTGTTTGCTTTTCTCTTGCAATTGTAAATTCAAACATGGTATATTTTGGCAGTAATGTATTGCCATTTCACATACCTTTCATTTGTGATCAGGTATGGTTATGTGAAGCATTGTCTGTGATAAGTGACTGAAAAGACTGCTATCAACTTGTGACACCAGTAAATAGAATAATTCGAAAAGCCATCAATGGCCACTTGGACACTCATTCATATGAGAGGGCATGTAGCATATGCCTGAAGCCTATCTTTGTTTATGTTACAAAAGTCTATAAAATGTACAATGTACAAACAAATATACAATGTTAGCAAATTTTACTATTTCTCTCCTTAAGATGAAATCAGTCAGTCATGTTTAGTTAATTAAACAACCAAATTTATTTTCCTTCTCAGTTGACTGTCCTGTTTCTACAAGATACCCTGTTACTGAAAGGAGATGCTTGAGATTTGGGGCTTTTGTATTTTAATGTAAACACCCTAAAACATTCTTTAAGAAATAGAATTATGGCAATGACCCTATAACTTTCATTCTTGATTTTGAACCTGCATTTGATTTTGATATCAGGCCTTCTATTATTGTGTGCACACACAAGTCAAGATGTGTCAGTGTATTAACTAACAGATAGTATGTTCATGTGGCAGCCACAGTAAACATGTTGGATAGATATATAGATATAGATATAGATAGCTATTAATTTAATTCAAAACTGAACGCCCTCCATGGGAATTCAAGTCAGGCTAGGTCCCCAGTATCTCATGCTGCTTGTGAGAAGAAGCAAATGAGCATCTGGGTGATCAGGCTTAATGATTTGGTTGATGGCTTGTTACTGTACCCTGAAGGGATGCCCCTCACATCAACATGATGAAGCACGGGTGTGTTGACAGGCCACCAAAATGTCGCTGGGAATGTAGCCGACTGCTGTGTTAAACAACATTCACTCTAACAAAACTGAACCTTTTAATTGGAGGTTTCAGACTAAACATCTTCAGATTTTCAAACCTCTCAGTTGACATGATTGAAAACTACTTTTTAGGTTTAGCTCTCTTTTAGTGCCGATAAATTAATAATGTATTAGTTGAGTGTAGTTTTCTCTGTTCCTTTATATAGATGTTCACAAGCATGCTTGTATCGACTTCAGTATGAACCGTGAAATCATCTTCCGCACATGGACGTTAATCATACAAGCCACGCTGGAAAATATGAAGCGGCCTTGACAATGTAGAGTTAAAAAATGCTGATTATTATTATTATTATGCAGACAGGAGGTTGAACCACTGTGTATGGATTTAATAAGCACCTCCTTTGTCCCAAAGGACATCTAACCATCTTGAGGAGTGTCCTGGGACACACTTGAACATAATACATGTCTATCCCTGCTTTACTATGAGAGATTCCAGATGTGAACTTCTCTGTGTTGTAAGGTGGTAAACATGTCTGCATTGTTATGATTCATCTGTCCGACTGTCTGTCTCAGTTTTCGGGGTCACGGGTGGCCCAGTCGTCTAAGGCGCCACGATTCGCTGTGCAGAGTTGCATCCCTTGGGCACACCAGAAACCTATGAGTGTGGTTCAAATCCCGGTTCGCCCCGATTATGTTTCTAAGTTTGTCAGCACCATACCCGTGCTTGTGGGTTTCACCAAAGTGGTAAACGTCCAAGACCTCCATCACTTTTGGCTTTCCTCCCACATTAAGCTGACACGCCGCGATATAACTGGAATACTGTTAAAAGCGGCGTTAACCCCAGCTCACTCACTGTCTCAGTGTCTCAGTTTTCATGCACTAATAATACCTGTACCTTCCTACATGTTCCTTGAAGTTCATGTTTTCTAGGTTCGGCCTTCTTAAGTTTTTGTCACATTTTTCAGTTTGGATGGCTCAGTCTTTATCTTTCTTGGTATCTGTTCACTGTTATCAGTTTGTTCCGTTATATCTTTGTTTCACTTTCCTGTGCACATATTGCAGAGCGCTAAATGGATATTGGAGAATTCTGATTTGGAAAGGCCTTGGGTTTATAATATCATTTTGATAAATGCAATGGCTGAATACAGAATGGGGTGATCGGGTAGCCTAGTGGTTAAAGCGTTCGCTTGTCACGCCTTAGACCCGGGTTCGATTCCCGACATGGGTACAATGTGTGAAGCCCATTTTTGGTGTCCCCCACCGTGATATTGCTGGAATATTGCTAAAAGCGGTGTAAAACCATACTCACTCACTCACTGAATACAGAATGGGCAGCTCTGTTAGTCACTGTGTTTAGCCTTCCACTTTTTGATCATGCTGTTGTGTAATGTGTAATAGCAAATGTGTAATTGTCCAGAAACAATCCTCATCATATTCATGCTACGCTTTTCACCCTAATAAGGCATAACTGCTATTAACACGTTTCCCATATTTAATACACTCTTGTTGAAATATTTTTTAAAATATTATCACATGTTTTGTAACAGGTGAATTCAGATCAAAATTATTTAAATGGAAGGATCGAGTGAACAATTATGGTGTCCTATGGATAGATGTTGTAAAGGTAGTCTTTGTTGAGTCCTATGATTAATTGTGTGGTAAAAGAAAGTTATTTAGATGCTTGGAAGAAATTGATTGAACCAGCCATGTTAATAAGCTTGAAACCAGCTATCGATTGAAAATTTTCTCAGCTTGTCATAAAGTTATGATCCTGCTTTACAAGTGCAGATGTAAAGTTTCGTGTTGAGTGATAGTCTTTCAGAGCTCCAGATAAGGTTTTGGTGTTGTGGGTATTTTACCCATGCATTTTAAAATCATTGGGTATCAGTAATTCTATCTGGGTATTCAAATTTCTGTTACCCACTAGTTTTTACACATGTGGGTATTTAAGTTAAATATTTAAATACAGTATTCACCTAGTCCCTGCAAACTGGTGTCGTGTGGGTTCGAGAGCAAATAGGACTAAAAAATACCACGATACTTCCACAAGAAAGTGTGATGGCAAATGATCATGATGTAACTGTCATCGTGGAGTTTGGCAAGGTTGACGGAATGCCCGTTTATAATTTCAAAATAAGTTGCTGATTTGCTAATTGAATACACACAATACTTCACAATATTTTGATGATACGCACAAGTTTTATTTTTGTAGCGTATCTGTAATGTTCGTTGTGTATTTGATATGCTTGGATTTTATTTTACTGCATATTTCTGCATTTCTGATCCGTATTTTACGCAGATACGCAGCTTATCTGGAGCTCTGGTCTTAAATGATTAACTGGAAGTACCTTTATATATTATTGTTAATACTTATTACAAATTCTAGCAAAGGGACAAATATTTGTAACCCTTTTCTTCGCTTAGCACATATATATTGTTTTATGATATCCTGTCTTAAAATGATTTGCAATTTGTAAAACTTAAATGCAAATTCATGATATTTTGTTCAACATTAACCAGTTAAAGTGAAAATAAGATTATCATTTAATTTAATTGTGAGAAATGTCAAAGGAAATAGCTTTTACCTTTAACAGGGTCATTATGAGTAAAATTTGGTTATGTATTGAATTTATATTCTTTTGAAAATGTAACAAAATGATAATCAGTAATGAAAATAAAAGTGACCTAATAGATGTAGTTAGGTGTTGTGGTTTTGATACATGGCGTTCTGGAAGAGAGTATGTTCTTAGCAGGGGGAATATAACATGAATATGATACCATTCCTGTAATTTATTAAATAATAAAAACATTCCTGATCACTACTTAAAGCTAAACAGACAGTTATTGGTACCACAGCAATATTTGTTTAGGACTTAGTGACTTGTTTTTCAGAATGGTTGTCGCCACTTTCCCTTCTATTGGCACACAAGAAAGAACAGCTTGCGTCGAGTTCTTGAAGTAAGTCTTCTTTCTCTGCACGTCCCTCTCTTTTCGCAGTTCAACTCTGGTAGCATCTGCCATGTATCACCTGCTTCCTTTGAGTTCTTGTAGTTGATGATTATTAATTCTCTAGTGTAACCTGTTTATAATCATAAGAGTGTTGGTTTGGAGTTTAGTCATTTTTTTTATAGTTTTGAAACCGTGATCCAGTGTTAAGAATACTAACGATTGACTTTTATTGACTATGACTGGATAACTTTCAAGCAGAACACTGTTCAGTGTTTGTTACAGTTGGTGTTGAAGGTTATCACAGACTTTTGCCAATTTATATGTGAAACTAAGTATGTGTTTGTTTCTATTATGTTATTATTGTTTTGAGCATTTTTTTTTAGAAACATTGAAAACATCAGGAATATGTTGTTGATTTAATCGAAGTTATTTCAAGGGGGAAGAATACTTAATATTATTGAGCAGTATGTGGTATTTTGGACTGTTTTGTGTTGGGAACATGTATGCTAGTCGACTATGGAGACATTGTAGTCAGGGATTTTGGCATTGTTTTTAAATAACGTGTTTGATCATTTCAAGGCCCTCAAGGAATATCTGTAGGTAGGGGTGACCTTAAATCACTAAGAATAGAGGGGGCACGGGTGGCCCAGTCGTCTAAGGCGCCGTGATCACTCACTCACTCACTCACTCACTAAGAATAGAAGAATGCACATCTTTGAAAAGCCATTGCATTTAGATTCTGTTTTGAAAAGGCCTTGAATTCTCAAAAGAAATCCTCTTCCCCCAAAATTACTTAAAGTGGAATGTCTTTTTATTCTTTAAGACATCTGTTAAGAGTTATAAATATTTAACTGTGTACCATCTATTTTAGTCATATCAAGATGAATAAGATACAAATCCTTAGAAAATCAATGGAAAATTAGTTTGTATTCAGTGAGTATAATAGTGGAGAGCCTAGAAAAGACCTTGATTTTGGTACTGAAACTCTTCACAAACCCTGTAAAGTCAGCCAATCAAAAACATTTGGGGCCAAGCTGATAGAAAGGGGAGGCAACTCTTCTGAGTCCCATGGGCATACTGTGTACTAGATATGAGTTACTGAAAAGTTAGGAGACAAATAAGTTGAGTTGAAGTTATAATGCATCTAATGCATTCTGACAAAACTTTTCTTGCTTACAATGAGAATAATACCTGAGCACTCAGAGCAGGCTGCTTTTCAACAATCATTTATTGTCCATTGTCTTGTGATAGTTTTAAAGTTCCATTCATGAATGCCTGTATAACCTGCACAAGAGGTAATACCACAAGAATATTTTCTGATCAGAGAGGTGCCCAGTTTGCAATGCTCACTAACTTCAATATGGAACCTTAGTAGTTTTTACAGTTGAGTTTGACAGGTTATTTTGTTGAATTAGTTTATGAAGAAGGTCATGCCTTTTTGTAAAAATGAAAAAATACAAATGGAAAAGGAAACAAACCTAAATTAGAGGCTTCGGTCAACAAAGTGATCGTATCACGGCAACTGTCATCCCCATCCTCTAACATCTACTTACACCAGCTACTGTGCTGATATGGCTTCATGCAACAAGATCTTGTATAGTGTGATGAATGGACAGGACAGTAATTCCAACAGGGAGAATAGACCAGCATCTCTCTGACTTTTGAAATTCTATGACTGAGTAGGAAAAAATGAATCTGTTATGAAAACAGATCAAAACCTATATGCATATTATTTCTTTGCTTTTCTTCTCTGCTTTGTCTTCCAGCAATATTCTGTGTTTGCCTTCTTGTATGTGGCTTTGTGTTTTTGGCTTCATGTGTACATCTGTCTTGTTTGATGGGTGGCTTGTGTCCTTTATGGTCCTGTGATGTAACATCTGCACAAAAAGATTTATGGTGAAATAGATTGATGCAGGCCATGCCAAACACCTACCTGTAATCTTCAGTCTTGTCCTTTGGCATCATTTGCAGTTGATTCTAATCTGAACAGATGAACTTAGTTTACCCATGAGGATAGGTGAGCGAGTGAGTGAGTTTGGTTTTATACCGCTTTTAGCAATATGCCAGCAATATCATGGTGGAGAACACCAGAAATGGGCTTCATATATTGTACCCATGTCGGGAGTCGAACCTGGGTCTTCGGTGTGACGAGCAAAAACTTTAACCACAGGGCTGCCTAACCGGCCCCCATGAGGATAGGAGGATCAAGTGTAATATAACTTTTAGAATTTGCATGTGTGTATTTTAGTGCAGATTGGGCTGCTGAAATGATATGACATCACATTGCTTCATTGTTCAGGTGGGCTAGTAGGCCCCAAAACGCCTAAATTGTGTTTCTGCACCATGCATGAACTTGTGGGATTCTGATCCTTCAATGGGGTATATGTCTAAGACCTGCATCACTTTAGGCTTTACTGGTACATCAAGCTGACACATCGCGACATAAACCACAAGTCTTCTATTCTACATTGCTCTTGGTTGACATGCCTAAGACTGCTGTTGTCACATTATCATTCATTTATATCGTATGAAAAGTATGAAGATACATGTGTATGAATGTCAACTGATTGACCTCATGTGGATTCCTGATTAGAATAGGCCCCCTACAACCTATGCTTGTCGTAAGATGCGAGAATGTTGATCAGTTGTCAGGCTCAGGGACTTGGTTAATTGTACCCTCATAGCCCAGCAGGACTTGCTCATAATGTCAATCTCGGGTTTGTCTGGACTGGATTATTGAAAGCTCATCGTGTAGCTTGAAGAGCAGTAAACTGCAAACTAGGCATGACAGAAGACATGATGGATATATTAGGGTTGCTGGAATATTGCAAGGGCCATTGTTCCATGTTTTCAATAAGCATCTTGGATGCAATTGGTTGTGTATTGGTATGTTACATCGGAAAAGAAAGTTAAATATTCATGTTGGAGGCTATGCAGTGTCAAATCTAGGAGAATTTGTCAATTGTTTTGTTAAGCTTGGTTTATGTCAGTAGGAAAGCATCAGTGTTATCTAGTCAGGTAATGTAAAGTAGCGATGTTTAGCTTGAATAAGCAATCATAGGCAATCTTATTGATTTACCTTTTGCCCTTTAATGATGTGTATTGATTATGTAGTTTTAATTACCTATCTATGCTACTACATATTTTTTTCATAATTCTTTTTTTATGATCAAATAGACTTTATATATTATGCTTGATCAGTCACATGGTATAACCCATGCATATCTTCTTTGACATAGCTCATTCAGTAGATCTAGCTTGTTTTATGATTGACAGATTATACTTTGGTTGATGTGTTTTAGTCTAAAGTTGTGATGATGTATGTCATCATGTTCCTTTTCTAGACTTGCTTCTAAACGTCCAGGTGAAGATAATGTTCTTGTTTGTCACAGACACCACATAACTTATAGTGGGAATAATCATGTTTTACCCATCTGTTGAACATATTCTCTTTCAACATTCTTTACCACCTTGAGAGTCTTCATAACATCTGGACAGAAATCTTTTTTAAGAAGCATATTTAGTATCTTACTTTGTCCAGAAATATTGTAAATTATACATGATCAAAGTATTGAACATCTTCCAGTCCAGTTTCCACCCTTGCCGAACTAGGCTTGAATGCCTGGGCTCGATCGTAGCGCCACCAGTGGCTATTACGAGTAATGTCCTTTCTATGCCTCTCCTATTGACCAATCAGATTCAACCTCTCGTATCACTTGCATTTGCTTCAAACAAAACGGTGGCGCCTAGGCAAGACGATCTGATCGATAATCAAGATCTATATTGTGATCAAACGAGTCTTACATCGCGAAGTGCATCAAATCACGTGAGCACCTTGATTAAAAACATGAAAAGATATAGAAAATATTTGTTGACAACGAGTTAGCGGTGCACATGCTTTGCAAATCCTGCAGTCGACCGAAATCTGCATGACACTTTACGTACCGGATTTTGATTTTGGTGCGCGATTTTGATTGGACTATGCATAGACTCCTTAGTCCAGCCTAACTGTAACTCCATAATACCAGCCTAGTTCGGCAAGGGTGGAAACTGGACTTTTATAGTCAGTTAACTCACTTGCCTCGGGAAGATGAGTATTGAAAGAGTTGACCTGATTGGCAACATGGCTTGTTTTATAGCCATCAGAGTTGACTTGACCAAAGGTTTGTCAGCAAAGTTTGAAAAGAGGGGAGACTCTTCTTTAAACATTGGCAGTGCTCGCAAGATGCAATCTTCATTTCACATTGGATGATGTATACAGTGAAATCTTATTAGTCTGAACCCTGTTAAGTCTGAAACTCCTTCCTCTATATGAACATTTCCGGAATGTCTACTGGTAGATGCAATCAAGAACATTGCTTTATATCCAGTGTTTGAAATTTATAAACCTAACAAGACAGTCTGGCATAAGTGTTGCCTGCCCATCTTCAAATTTTTCTGCCCACAATCAGACATTATAAATATTGAAAAATTGCAACAAAAAATACAAGAGACAAATCATCTCTTGATTTAGTTGAAATATGGAAACAATTAATTTCAGTAATGATAAAACTGAATACATCAGTAGACAGGTGGACAGGTGGCAGAAAATATCATGCAGCCTGACAGAAAAGTAGCCAACCATGGGCAGGTGGGCAGGCAGGTTATTTTGACACTGTTTGTATCAATGATACAATTGTCTGGGAATGTCTTGATACATACCATGGTATAATTTTTCCAGAAATGCAACTGTCCTGATTAACAGGGTTTCACTGTATCATTCTTAACCTTAATGATTACCTACTTACATTGAGACACATTCATGACTCAAAATTCAAAGCAATGCCAACCGTTATGATTTTGGAAATTACTGATGTGCGACCCCAATTAGACCAGATATTCGTAAGTGCCTTAATTAGGATTTGCATCTCTAGTTATACATCTAGATGTAGACAGGAATGGGCAGTCCTTGATATTTGAATTCCTCAACCGGTTAATGTAGGTTAATCTGATGCTTCTCACTGCCGGCTACCAATTCTCAACGAGCAGACATGGCACCATCAGTGTGTCTCCTTGACTGGCATGGCCAGCTAGCATCTGGGTGTGACAGTTGATGATGTGGTTTGTGTTGCAGGTATTGTTCCGGCTGAACCTGCTGGTCGTGGTGCTGTGTTTTGTGATGAACAGGCCGTACCAGTTTTACTACTTTGTGCCTCTTGTATCCTACTGGTTCATCGTCATCTACGTGTCCATGGCGATATGGCCTCACATTACACAGGCATCGGCTGAAGGTAAGTCTCTCTGTTTTGTCATCATGCCTTCCTCCTTGCATTTCAGGGGCATTTTTATCACACCAAACCTTATGATTTGTTTTCGCTTTGGGATTTCTAAATACAGTGGTCCCTCGACTTAACGCTCCTCGATGTACCGCTACTCCGGATGCACCGCGGGGTAAACCATGGCTCCCAAAAATGCATGAAGAATTTTCCCCTAAAAGCGTGTTAAAGCAAATAAAGTTACAAATAAACTGATGAAATTTAATTCCAAGTCGATGTACACGTGTGTGTATTTGTAAAACAATTACGTTCATTGTATCTGGCTGAATGTGATCGAAACCATTCTGCCTTTTGTTCCGGTTGTGAAAAAACATATCGTACACAGATCTGGCATTAAACTCACATAAAATCAAATCACAGCAACAACAAACATAAGCCGCATTGTTTCATTTAATACTCATCTCAGCTTGTTGTGATTGGTAAGACAACATGTGAGATGTCTTCGAACTTCAAACCGGCCGCGTGTAATGCAACAACAACAATCGAAACAATGGCTTCCGGTATTTAATCCGGACTTGAGTAACCGTGAGAGACTTATAAAAAACATTGGAACTTCATTGTTTAAATAGCGTAATTACGAAGGGTATAAAATAAATCTTAGTTCATTAGTCAAACTGTCCCAAGATATTCATGGCCCTGACGATTTTCCCTTTGCAAAATTATCATTATTAACAGAACTAAATATATCTCTTATCCACTCAAATCTACGTTTGTGTTTGATTTTTATTACATTGTACATAAAGTGCATACAGAGAGCCGGCCGTGTCCGGGTTTTTCATAACTTTGACACGTCATTATTTATTAACCAATCACAGCCTTGGTTGCACATTAGTTTCGTTACAAGGCTGGTTTGGCTTTGTAATGTACTGTCATCGATCGATAATGTGAGTAGGTCGGCGATCGGACCAATTTTCTCCCGAAAAACTTAAAATATAACAACATTTATTTAGATTCTACATGTATAACATCCAGTCGTAAAATAATACAGACTACTTTGATTAATTTACACAAAGTATTTTTATTTTTTTACGCATGCAGTTTGAATCATCATCCACGATCAGTGTTACATAGATCTACATGTCCCATGCCACTGTGAAATAATTGCGCCACTGTTCCATTCACTACCATCATTACGTAATGTGAACCTCAGCAAGGAATATCTGTACACCACTCTTTCCTACAACGCGGGGTCAGTTTCTTGGACCCCGATGACAGCGGTATATCGAGGGATCACTGTATAATGACACCTCTTGCTTGTCCTACCATGGGGATTTCTGGGCAGATGTGCCCCTGTGCTCCATGCTTGTCTCCCCATGGATGTTTTGGGAGAGGAAAAGCAGCCCCCAGTGCCTCATTTCTGTATTGTAATGCTATAGCCATATCACCTGAACAAGAAAAAATTTGAAAATATTTGATGTACTCTACTTACTCTAACTTCTAAGCTCATAAATATTAATTTTTTTCTCAAGATTCTCTTTTTAATGTAACTGCTGGTTCATTGACATACTATACTGTACCACCTGTCTGATGTGTTTGTACAAAGAACTTGTGGTCAAGATGTTTTTGTTTGTTGCAGGGAATGTGCTGCACTGTCTGTTCAAGGTGATCAAGATGTTTTCTTTGTTGCAGGGAATGTGCTGCATTATCTGTTCATGGTGATCAAGATGTTTTGTTTGTTGCAGGGAATGTGCTGCATTATCTGTTCATGGTCATCAAGATGTTTTCTTTGTTGCAGGAATGTGCTGCATTATCTGTTCATGGTGATCAAGATGTTTTGTTTGTTGCAGGGAATGTGCTGCACTGTCTGTTCATGGTGATCAAGATGTTTTATTTGTTGCAGGGAATGTGCTGCATTATCTGTTCATGGTGATCAAGATGTTTTGTTTGTTGCAGGGAATGTGCTGCATTATCTGTTCATGGTCATCAAGATGTTTTCTTTGTTGCAGGGAATGTGCTGCATTGTCTGTTCATGGTGATCAAGATGTTTTCTTTGTTGCAGGGAATGTGCTGCACTGTCTGTTCATGGTGATCAAGATGTTTTCTTTGTTGCAGGGAATGTGCTGCATTATCTGTTCATGGTCATCAAGATGTTTTGTTTGTTGCAGGGAATGTGCTGCATTATCTGTTCATGGTCATCAAGATGGTTCTGCTGGTCACAATCATCACTCTCTTCTTCCTGTCTGAGGTCAGTATGTCCACAACAACACTTCTCACATAACCAGAAGAACTTTCTCATTCACTGGATGGCATAATTATTGTTGTTTTGTTATCAGAATAAATGGATCTCACACTCTTGACAAATACATGGAATAAATAACATTGGAAACTTTAAATGCTTTTTTAGCTTTGAATTCATTTAGTTTCATACTAGGAATTTACAGTTCTAGAAATTGTCACTAGACCTATAGTCAAAAAGCCAAAATGGTCAATGGTTAAGGTGTCATAAGGACTAGTAGAATTTCCCCATTTTTAAGGGTTTTGCTGTATCTTATCATTATAAGGACTAAGAATTTTAGTTTCTATTCTGGTAAAATAAATGAATGAGAAACAGATTTATGGAGCTTTTTTTATGGTTGGCATAGTAATATTTAGAGACATGACTTACATATAACATTATTTTTCAGGTATTTTTTGAAAAAGTATTTTTAACCAGGCCTTTCAAGGCCCTGTTTGTGACATCTGATGACTCACTGCATGAGTGGCGATTCCGGTGGCAGTTAGATAGATATGTAAGTACAAACATGTTGAAAATTGAATTGTTTTATTGAAAACTGTAATTTTTCTTGTGTCAGTGATTGATGTAAGACATGAACTATTGCAGATCTAGTACAATGTATTTGTCTGCAAACCACTAGAAGAATCATTTTCTTTGTGTGTAGCCTTGGACATTATGATAATTTATGTGTTTGTATTTTCGTGAAAGATATCTAACTATTTCTTTTATTTTTCAGAGTGTAGTTTATGGAATGCTGTTTGCATTTGGGTATCAAGTTCTTCTGAGGTACAAGATCATCAATGATAGCCATGAGGAAAACCTCTTCTCGAAGCCAATGTCCTGGTTGCTAGGTGTGCTGGGACTGATAGGCATTGGGGTAGGTGCTGCTTTGGTTCCCTGCTGTACTAGGGTGGCCCAGCAGTCTGTTTGCAGACTTACCATGCACAACTCCTAGTAATATTACAAAAATTCTCACTTGAGTAAATAATTTGTTTGAATGATTTGCAACATCAAAGTGTGAAATAAAATTTTGACAAAAGTCTCTCATTAAGCAGCCCCCTGTAAAGATATAAACTAGTTGTCAAAAAGGCTTGTGTACACGATAACTTGAATATTTATGACTGGAAATTGATGAAACTTGGTATACATTACCTCTATAAAGGAAGGGTCTCAGTCATATCATATATTTCGGATTTATTCGTGTGAAATTGAAACATTTTCCAATAACTTATGATTGACTTTCGGTAATTGACTTGACATCTATCGTATGTCAAAAGTCAAGGTCACCTTGAAGGTCATTCACTCATGGAGTGACTTGTAAATAGTTTCATTGAGGATCTTTTGTTAGAAGGGTATGGAGACTTCTTATTTGAAACCCAACCAAGTAACGTTCTTGCATGTGTTAGATGAGGTCGACTCTCACCTGATGTGAACCCGTGATGATCCAGGGTTTAATAGGTCTTAAGCAACCCATACTTGCCATAACAGGCGACTAAGCTTTGTCGCAAGAGGCAACTAACGGGATCGGGTGGTCGCTGACTTGGTTGACGCATGTCATCGTATCCAAATTGTGTGGATCGATGCTCCTGATGTCAATCACTGGATTGTCTGGTCCATACTCGATTATTTACAGACCGTCGTCATATAGCTTAACCAACGAACAACAAACAAACAAACAAACCTGATGTGGTAAAGTAGAAATAGTTCCTGATAGAAGTTTCTGATGTGGAAGTTTGGGGGTACTCAGGAAATGGTCAGGATGGGGCAGCTTCTGTCTTTGCATGTAATATAGACACCAGTCTGTGGACTACTTTCAGAATAAACTAATCTTGAAGATTTGCATGTGAATACCAGTGATATGTATTAACTTATAAAAATAAGTTTTTGACATTTCGATTCAATTATTATCTATCCTTCACACTATGGATGGCCATTGAGGCATCAAACACTATTCACTCAGTCATAGACTTTGTAATGTGGAAACATTGTTTGAATGTTATGTTGTTTATTTCAGAGTTATGCTGCCTTCACTTTCCTCTGTGGCAGTAAACAACAGTGTAATGATGTGCACTCTTATATAGCTTTCCTTCCTGTAAGTATAGGTATTCAGTAGTTATTGTGAACATTAAAAAATGTAACTTGTGTAAGTTGTGAGACAGGTTAGCTATGTACTAAGAGCAGCTTAAAAACCAACTTCCTCAGTGTAAAACTGTTTTGTGCGATTTGGATTGTTCAATAGACCCTGTGGGCATACGGAATCAGGTCCTAGCTGAAAAAGCCTCCTGAAATGGGGAACAGGTTTTCAGGCTTGTGTCCTGGCTCATGGAGGGATTTTGGTTACTGTGATTATTTATAGGCCTTAAAACAATACATGCACAGTCTGTGCCATCTTCCCGAGGCAAGCATGTTCCCTAGCCTATATCAAAGCCTAGTTTCTACCCTTGCCACATCAAGGCCACATTTCTTGGCGCGACCCTGGCGCCACCTCACGTAGATCACGAGTTGTGCTCCTTATAATGAACATGTTATATCCAATCATGGAGACTACCATAGGCCACAACCTAGTTGATTAGATAACAAAAGACATTTGTGATTTCATTCCTGACACAAAAACAAAGGTGATCGTTAAGGTGTTTAAAAGATGAAAAAGACATATTTGTAACAACAAAGACAGGCAACAGTAAATCACTTTCATACGATATTGATTTTGAGAAACGTCTGATTGGACTATTGATATGTGCGATAGTCCAATCATATTTGGCACAGGAAAGTGGGCTTGATGTGGCAAGGGTGGAAACAAGACTTTGATGCAATGGCTAGTGGACCCTCTTGCCTCGGGAAGATGAGTCTGTGCCGAACACTCGTGAATCCACAGCCCAAACATGGCTCATAAGATCATTTCTAGTAGATTTTAGTGTCATTATATGGACTTATTAGCCAAGCTTACAGGAACAACTTTACCTTAATAGACTTGGGTTTTACTAGTGGCTAAAGTCACGGACTCCTTCTTGTGATGCCAACAGTTATGTGTAGGATTAAGTTTGTCATGTTTCACCTTATGTCTGGTTGTTTCAGATCATTTCCTACATAGTTTTACGGAATGTGCCAGGATGGCTGAGGACGAGGTACAGCTCTTTCTTTGCTTGGTTTGGCAAGATCTCACTGGAGGTGAGTCTCCCATTGTGCTTGTTGGATGGATACTTTCCAGTGTTAAAATTAACCATGAAACTCCTTATCATACTCATCATGTTAAGGTCACAAGATTTTAGGGGCCCCTTAGACTGCAAAAGAGCTCAAGGTCCTGCCTTTTTTTTGGACTATGTGGCAGAATCTTTACTGGTCCTGTGTCCCATGTGGGGATTCCGGGTTAGACTTGGTCACCAGGGTGTCGTTGTACAATGCAATTTTGGCGCTAAGGCGATCGTAACTCTCATATCTTTCCATAGACTTACGACAGTCATAGCACTTTGTTTTGTACAATGGCACACAGAAACTGTGCTGGTTGTAGGTGGTGACGTTAAGAATCAGTCCACATTGAGGATTGTTGTGCATATTGATCAATCACAGGATTGTCAGGTCCATACTAGATTATTTACAGACCACTGGAATATGGCAGAGTGTGGCATTAAACAACAAAGATACTGGTTCTCTGTCAATCAATGGCTGGGACTGTAATTTGACTATGTTGTCTGCAAGATGATCACCAATGTTTTTATTCCGCAGCTGTTCATCTCCCAGTATCACATCTGGTTGGCGGCCGACACCCACGGGGTCCTTGTCCTCATCCCCAGCTACCCTGTCCTCAACGTCATCCTCACTTCCTTCATCTTCATCTGCACCAGTCATGAGATATCCAAGATCACCGCCAACCTGGCCAAATACGCTGTGCCCAACGACTGGAAGTCGCTCCTGAGGAACGTCATCTGTTTCTTTGCAGTCTTGGTTCCGATCTGTGTTACCAATGGAGTGATAGCTTTATAATGGTTGTGTTTGGAATGTGTTGTTGGTTGTGTGTGATTTTAATCAGGGTACTGGCAAATTATGTGGGTTTAACATTTTCTTTTATCTGCAGTATGTTTTTATAAGTCACACACATTTCATTTTGATTGGTTGAATATTTATTTATTTACACTTTTAAAAAATACTGCATTGAAAATGAGGAGTGTCAGTATTAAGCGATATAGTCGTAATGGTTAGAAAAGACATTCCTGGTGTTGGTCAGTGCACAGATTCTCTAACACATGTCCCCTAGGTTCAGTTTTAATGTGCCTACTTTTAGCTCCCCTAATGTCAAGTGAGCTTATGTTGTGCGGCATTGTCAGTCGTTAACTTTTCCTTTTTCATGATCTATGAAGCTGAAACTATGCAAATGTGAACCCAGTTATGATTTATCTGAATACTGATCCTCACAGCAACCATATTGATCCATTATATCCATTGCTCAGCCTGCATCACATTATAAAATTGGATGAGCAGCATGTATGCAGAACAATATATCTAGCTTACCTGACTGAATGGCCCTGACTGAGTGAGCTTTGGTTATTTTCTGTCTTCACTCATGAAGTTCTGTTGCATATCTACAAGACCTATTGAGTTGACTCTGTGTGAATATTTTATATTGTCAAAATGAATTATGTCAAGCAAAAATGTAATTTTACAAAAAGTAAGAACCACAGGGCCAAGGGTTAACCTTGATGTGAAAGGAATGACTTAGAGGATCCAAGTTTGTTCATCATTATTTGCACTCAACATCATTGTCCTTAAAGATGTTGCAAAACTTCGCCTTTTTTGTCTTTTTCCCCAAATATTGTGCATCATATTTTTCTTTTACTCACCATACATATTTGTACCAAAATAAGATTGAAGGGTCATAGAATTGTTACTTTGAAAGTCAGGTGAGCTACAGCGCTGTGTCTTTTTTTGACGTATATGATCTGCTTTTCACCCAAGGGCAAGTCCTGTCATGGGTAATAAACATGGTGCCAACAGCACTGTGTCTCACCTGGATATGAAGTAAAGAGTTTCAATTGTCAACGAAGTCAGTATTGATTCTGAGGACTAAAATTTAATGATTTGAAAAAATTACAATGGAGAAGCATACATACCAAAGTTTTGTTGCTTCAGGGAGAAGTTTAGAGATCCAAATATGCAGTTTGAGAGAATTAACTAAGTACACAAAGCATGTGATTGGTCTAATGAAATGCATTTTGAGAGAATTTAGGCGTCAAAGGTCAACATATTGTGAAACGTGGAATACATGTTGAGCCAAATGTACACGTCCCAAATTTCTTTGAATTTGGAACAACCCCCAAATTACTGAGTAATGTCCATAAAGATCTTTTTGAATATATCTGTTGTGATGGCCATTTTGAAAATTGGGGTGGCATCATTTGTGGGAAAGAAACCTGTGAAATTTCAGCTTCATACAAATGTTGCATGATTTGTGTATTTCCGATGCCTCAAACAAACAGGTATCATGATTATCTCTGCCACCAAGTTTTGAAGAACAGGACTTTTAATCAATGATGGCTACCTGGCGGCCATATTGAAATTCCAATTATGAAGTCCCTCATCAACCCAAAATTTCAGCTGAGTCCATCATAGAAGTCTAAATTGTTTTGTTTGTTTAACGCTGCGACACTCAGCAATGTTCCAGTTACATTATGAGCAACTCCTGTAAGGTTATGATGATGCAATCAACCAAGTCATTGAGTCTGATCACCTGCACAATATTGTTGCATCTTATGACAAGCATAGGTTGGTGGGGGTCTATTCTTATCAGGAATCCACATGGTGTCAGGTCAGGTGATCTAAAAATCATATCTTAGACCCAACTACACACTAGCCTGCCACTACAGTTCACTGATTTACATACACTTGGGAGTAATAGAAACCAAAATGGTTCAAGCAACATTTTTAGGGGTGGTCAGGTGGCCTAGTGGTTACAGCGTTAGCTCGTCACGCTGAAGACCTGGGTTCGATTCACGACATGGGTACAATGTTTGAGGCCCATTTCTGGTGTGCCCTACCGTGATATTGCTGGAATATAGCTAAAAGCGGCATAAAACCAAACTCACTCACTCAAGCAACATTTGAGAGGTTTGAAGGATATCCAGGTGGAAAAAAAAATGTTTTGCCCAATTTGGTCATTCATAAGATTTGACGAGTCGTTTTAAGTCTTCTCAAGAAACACAAGACAAAGAAAGCCGAATGTAACTCGTTGACAATGTTATAATATTAATAGTCCATTGGTGTAGCGCTTTTCCATTCTGGGGATAATGCTCAAAGCGCACAGAGAAAGCGTTTTGGCAGAAGAGATGGGTCTTAAGTGAATTTCTAAAGGCAGAGTCGCGAAGTTCGAGTGAAAGATTGCTCCAGTGACATGTTTCTGCATTAGTTGAGCTTATGGCACAAGAAGTAGATGTTGTGATTTTGAGTCATCAGTGAGTGTTGCAATTGTTTCATTATGATTCGGTTGAGCTACAGCACTTATGGCTTTATTTTTGGTATATGCAAATCATGATCAAATCACAAGTAAAAGAACAAATAATATTTTTCTCATAGTTTATTATTGATGCTCATCAGTATTCAACATCAGTTTAGAAAACCAGGGCCCTGGCCCCTCTGCTCAATGGGAGTGCTGCAAAAATACAACAACACCATTCATCTTCTCACATGAGTTTAGAAAGCCCTGATATGAGAAACCATGTTCCGACACCCCTCTGAAATAGCATGGAATCTCTCCATGTTAAAGGGAGAAGGTGATGTGTATGTTATATGAGGGAATTACAATTGTTCAGTTCAAAACCACATTGAAAAATGGTTTAATTGTATTGACATTTATTGGCACAATGGCTCTGGAATGTAGAGAACACCCATGTGTTCTGCTGTGTGCTGATTTATCCTATTGTACATCATGTATTTATAGTGTATATATTATTATGTCCCTTGTATCATATGTATATATAGCATGAGTGGAGATGAAAGGTTTTCCTGGGAGAAATGATGGGAATGTGCAAGTGATAGCATAATATTTGTAATGTTGGCCAGTGTTTAGCAAAATGAAAAGGCAATGCCTGAATTGATTGTGGTAGAAGGGCATTATTCACTGTGTTTTGTACTTGCTCAAACCTCGGGATAGGCGTGTGAATGAGGAAACATTCATGTTTGTCGCTTCTCTATTTAACATATGCTTACAGCAATGAAAGTAATTTATATCGGTAGGACATGTTTTCTCACACAGGTTGTACAAGGATACACAATAGCATTAATTAGTCACCTGAAGATTTGGTGCTACATATCAAAATTTCCTTTGTCATGTTTCCAAGAATGAATCGCCAGACACTTGCAATCAATTCCTATTTAACCGCGTATAAACATTCATTTCAACAACACTTAAAAGTATCAGTACCCAGCCCACACCACCCCTCTAATGGTTGACATATACGAGGTCTGATTTTCAACATTGGGATCTTTGGCTATTCCTCATGTAGTGGGGGCGGTCGGGTAGCCTAGTGGTTAAAGCGTTCGATCGTCACGCCGAAGACCCGGGTTCGATTCCCGACATGGGTACAACGTGTGAACCCCATTTCTGGTGTCCCCCGCCGTGATATTGCTGGAATATTGCTAAAAGCGGCGTAAAACCATATTCACTCACTCACTCATGTAGTGCTTGGACCAGTTCATTCAAGTTTTGAATGGGAGGGTCTCCAGCTCTCACTCAGCAGCCAAGGTAATCTTAAAGGTGTTCAAATCAGTTTTGTGATTTTTTTTTCGGAATTGGATTTTGAATCGGGTGGTGGTTAATTAATGGTCATGTGTATATAAGGTTTTGTGGAGGGATAACTTGATACCGAGTTTTATAATAAACCTTCACGGTTTATTAACTCCGCCAGTAGTGAAAAACATGTCCCTGATCTTCACTTGCAGCAAGCATTGTCTCACCATCTTGGGAAGGGGTAAAAACACAAACTGTTTATAGCATTCAAGAAATACACACATACCAAACTGTATTTGCTTCAGTTATATAGTGAAACTTATGCCCTTGTCGTTTCCACACCTTCTGTCAGCACTTCAAGCCACGTTTTGTTAATGTGATTGTATAGGCTACTGAAAGTAAACATGTTATGTAATATTTGGTGTCTGTTGTACTTCTTGATTCCCTCAGATCGTTGGTGGGAAAAACCAAAATATTGTTTTGTTATATACTGCTTTCTCCAAACGTTTTCATAGAAAAGCAAATTCATTAGAATCTGTATAGCGGATTCATCCAACTAATACAACATTGACTGGTTAACTTTGTTCGTATGTTGTTTAATGCCGAACTCGGCAATATTCCAGCTATTTGCGGTTTGTAAATAATTGAGTCTGGACCAGACCAGTGATTGATATCATGAGCATCAATCCACGTAATTGGGATCGATGACATGCATCAACCAAGTCAGTGAGCCTGACCACCCGATTCCGTTAGTTGCCTTTTACAACAAGCATAGTCGCCTATTACGACAAGCATGAGTTCCTGAAGACCCGGGATCTTCACCAGTCGACTGGTTAACAGTATACTGCTGTACAACCCAACATTACCATGTTGTGGATGACTAATTGTTATATTGCAACCCGGAAGACACTTGACCTGGTAAACAAGGATAATGATGATAGCTGTAGGTAGCTCCCTGTCGTGACTATTCTATGTATCTTATCTGAAATGTGTTCACTGATATATCAGTGAGTTGTGTTTCATGCCTCACTCAGCTATATCAGGATGACCTGTAACTAAGCCTGAACAGCACGCCCATTCAGATTCATTGTTGTTGTGATACTTACGTCTATTCTGCCGTATTGTTCCAGAAATGCATTGTGTCATTACTCACATGCACCTGACAAACTAAAGGTTAAGGACCGCCTCAGTTGTCCAATGGATGGAGTGTCTGCCCATAGCGTGGAAGGTCGTTAGTTCGATCACAAGCTGCCTTGTACCAAAGGACATTTAGAGATGGATACCCCACTCTGAGTAATAAGAGTTAGGCATGTTTAACAGCGGCATTTTATGTCAATGGCAGTATAGAACCGGCGTTAGCCCGGGCTTGTACAATCATGCACGCACACACAGTCGTGAACTTGACGTTAGACTCCTTTTCACTTACTACAGGTTAACTGCAGCAGTACTTAGTATTCCAGTTACATCAGGTCAGCTTCATGCGGGAGAAAGCCTTAGATTATATACAAACATACATTGATGTATATCATGAATATTTTGGGGGATGTATTAAATGGTGTGCTTAATCTTACTACAAAATAAATATTCATTATCTCCATCTTTTTCGGTCAGTATATTGTTTCAGGTTTTATTGGGGCAAAAAAACATGGTCGTACTGTATGGGAATAACCTGAGGGTTGATTGGATGGAGCAGGTACTCGCCCCCAAAAGCAATGCGAATACCATACATGTTGGTTAATATATGAAGACGCTCATATTCAAGAGATATGAAACTGGTTCGATGCACACACAAACATGTTTGTATGCTCATGAACGCATCCCATGTGAAGTAATTGATCCATGTCTCCAGATGCACCATTTGTGTTGTACAGGATTAGCGTGTAAAGTTTGGAAATGACGGTAAAGCATATCGTGACTAGAATAAAGACACTGGTAACACTTGACTGATTGTTATTTTTGTCATTAATTTATAGACTTTGGAAACATCTCTTCTTAAAGTACACACTTCTCTGTATGTTTCTATGGTTCGCGTTTCTTTTGGCAGTGAGTATGTATAATATTTCATCTGTGTCTAATAAAGAGGGGTCGTTATATCATGTGTGAACTCCCTCGACACTTTACGACGCTCGGAGATGATAATGGTTGGCTGTATGCGGTATTTTGGTACATACAATGTTGTCCGGTGATAGGGTTGTTTCTTTTAGATGGGGGGCGGTCGGGTAGCCTAGTGGTTAAAGCGTTCGCTCGTCACGCCGAAGACCCGGGTTCGATTCCCGACATGGGTACAATGTGTGAAGCCCATTTATGGTGTCCCCCGCCGTGATATTGCTGGAATATTGCTAAAAGCGGCGTAAAACCATACTCACTCACTCACTCACTCTTTTAGATGGTGTATGTTATCTCATCAAAATTTCGCTCATCACAAAGACTGCTGCCGATACGAGACTGCCTTTATCAGCGATTTCGAACTTTGCAACACATTTACGGGAACGCCTACATGTTCCCGACCTGACGTTATCGGCCCACACTATAACCAGTGAGGATGATGTGCTCAGGGCAGACATTACTATGCGATGTGAGCGAGGAACGACACCTAGGTATGTCCAACATTATATAACATAAATGTTTATCTGACGTAATCCAAGTTAACAATATATACGTTATATTTTTATTGTTCTTAAGCTGTGAAGAAATATACGTAGAATAACTAGCCCTTTTCAGACAAGAGAGCGAAATGGGGTGACGTGAAATGGTGCTTAACGTCGCGTTCAATATTATTTGCACTTCATATAATCAACGTGCATGTATGTGTGTTTGGCTGCTTGTACTTGACCGGGCGTATGGCTGTTTTATACTGCTAGCCCACTGAGTATTCATGCCGCAGATTAGTATGGATACGACAATCAGACATTATACCGATTCCTTGGTTTATCCCCATATTGCTGAGCGCCAAGTAACAAGTGCCATATATTTATCAATAAGTAATTTGAAATGAGGTGGCCGAACCAGCGACCGCTATTGTACACCACCCACTACTCAACAGAAAGGGTCGAGGGATGAGGTGAAGTACAACCTGTAGTTACTAGTACAGCATCGTTTTATTTCCAACTACAGAAATACACATATACCACAATACTCATGTGAACTAGAAATTACAAAATACAGGATAGAATAATCATTGGGTAAATACACGCTTTTGACTATGAAACGATCTGTTTACGAAAGAATCGAAACTTTCATAGAAATAAGTTCTTTGTAATAATAGCCTCGTCTCCACAGTATGTTATCAGACATGAAAAACCTTCTTCTTCCAGAAAATATGATGAAAACGACTCTTTTAGCCGTGGTTGTCTGTTTCATCGGACTCACAACAACCACGTCTGTATCAGCATCAACTAACACAACGTCTGTATCAACTAACGCAACGTCCCTGTCAACACCAACTAACACGTCTCTGTCAACACCAACTAACACGTCTCTGTCAACACCAACTAACACGTCCCTGTCAACACCAACTAACACGTCTCTGTCAACACCAACTAACACGTCTCTGTCAACACCAACTAACACGTCCCTGTCAACACCAACTAACACGTCTCTGTCAACACCAACTAACACGTCTCTGTCAACATCAACTAACACGTCTCTGTCAACATCAACTAACACGTCTCTGTCAACATCAACTAACACGTCTCTGTCAGCATCAACTAACACGTCTCTGTCAACATCAACTAACACGTCTCTGTCAACATCAACTAACACGTCTCTGTCAGCATCAACTAACACGTCTCTGTCAACATCAACTAACACAACGTCTGTATCAACTAACGCAACGTCTCTGTCAACATCAACTAACACGTCTCTGTCAACATCAACTAACGCAACATCTGTATCAACTAACGCAACGTCTCTGTCAACATCAACTAACACGTCTCTGTCAACATCAACTAACGCAACATCTGTATCAACTAACGCAACGTCTCTGTCAACACCAACTAACACGTCTCTGTCCACATCAACAAACACGCCTCTGTCCACATCAACAAACACGTCTCTGTCGACATCAACTAACATGTCTTTATCACCACCAACTATCACGTCTCTGTCAACATCAACTAACACAACGTATGTATCAACATCAACCGACACGGCGTCTGTATCGGCATCAACATCTGCTTCCAAAACTATATTGACACCTCCGCCACCCTCAATGTCTCCGCATCCCGGTAAGGACGCTTTCTTTAATCTCTTTATTTTTTATATTGTTTTCCAAAAGTGATCGAATTGGAAATCGAAATATATTTTTTCAGAAAAAGCATTTTTATTGATCACTTGGGACACATTTAGAGCAGGTGAAAAAAAACCCAATATAATCTTTTTTTAAAATCTGTTCTAAAGACCTCCTGATTTGTCATTCGACTGAACAACTTTACGGTTTCCAAATAGGAGATACATAGAGGTGATCACGCGTGTGTGTTTGGGGATGGTAAATATCCTGTAGTAGGAATAAACATTGTATTTAGCGAGTGTTTATTCCTACTATAGGATATTTACCATCCCCAAACACACAAGCGTGATAAATAGAAATTACTACACGAGTGCCTGTCAAATACCATTAATCTTACAACGAGTTGTTTCAAAACGTATCTAACGAGCGAAAGCAATCTGTTTCTTACATACCCTAAATTCGCACCTTTTTAGCATCGACTCGATGCATTTTGTCTGTTCTCATGATGGCAGTGGCGCATTAATACATAACACCGGTAATGAGTGACGTCATCCGACGTACTGCTTACTAGATCTATTCATAAATAATTTGACGCTACACTAAAAAATCTAAAAACGTTTCCGCCATCTGAGAATTTGTCAGCAATGCAGATAACTACCGTCGTCGTGCGTGACTGCGTGACTAATTTTAATTCCATAATTCGTGCTACGATACTCTTCCAAAGAATATTCTCAAACGCATCAGCCAATGTACGCAACAATTAGACGAATTGATCTCTCAAAATGGGAGAGTGTAAAATCTGAATTTTGATTTGTTTACATTTCATCAAGTACAGTTTTCCGAGCACAGTGTTCGTTTCCACACCTAATATATTTCGCTTGATGTCATCTCGATAATTTGTATTGGTGACAAAGACCATTTTTCACTTGATTCTAAAATGTAGGAGGAATTCAGGGATGCATGTATTGCAGCTCAGTTTGAAATGTACGTGATCTAATAAGCGTTTCATAACCTGCATACGTGAAACGTGATTTTTGTCAACACTATCCAATATGGGTGTTTGGGTATTTTCCAAAACATTCTAAACGATTCCAGGCTCCTCGGCGACGTTTCAGAATTATCATTGGTGTTGTGGTGAAAAACAGATTCACGTGATCACTAATGTGCTATCTTTTGAAATTTAATCCTTCGACTAAATATCCGAAATTTAGATTTTCAAACACACAGTAATTGTGCTTTGCCTAAGATGACAGTGGGTGTGATATCACAGAAGAGGGAATTTCCAACAGAATTCAAAACTTTTAGTGTGCGTGATGTATTTCGAATTTTAGTCGACTTCGAAGTGAGGGTTGAAGAAGACAGACATATATATCGTCGGATCATATGTTTTCGGACATCAAACGTTTTTGTTTATCGCGAATTGTTCCCGCTATAACGAGGATTGTGGTGTCAACAGACATTGTAACTACTCAGACGATGGCTTGATTTTTAGATAAAGCTGTCTTTGATAAGTGATTGAGATGCTTTACGGTTCTTGTGATTAGCGTCCGAAAACGTATAACACGGGGATATTTCTATTTACACTCTAAAACCATTACGTTCAACACAGATGTAGGTGGACATTCGAGTGAAGCACGAGCAACTTATCAATGACATGATATGGAAAGTAGTCCGTCATAATCTGACCTCAGGTCATCACCATGGAGTAGCCAATCAGTGGCCTGGAATTTGATCTCACGCATCTGTTTGATACCAGTTATCTCAAATGGGTTTCTCACCCACAGGTGTGTAAAAAAATTGAATTTGGGACCGAACGCGCAGTTAACCTAGGTCTACATTGAACACACAGTACGTTTTACTCCTACATTTCCTCGATGACTTCAACACAACAAGTACGGATTAATATAAGAAACATACATGCCAAAGTTCAGCTCCCTCAGTCTGGCAATTGTTCAGAAACGTTTACCTTGCTTACAGGGACAATTATGCATTTTGAGAGAATTTAAGAGCTGGTCAAAACAGATAAATTGAATTTTGTTTCCCAAAAAACTGAAGGTATGTGTTGAATCCCACAAAAAAACTAAACAAATAGCGTTACATTTTGTACAAAGACGACAGAGTAATGGGCATTAATAGCTTTAGAAAAAGAAATATGGCTGCAGTTCCGGCCTTGTTGAAAATCTGATTCGAACCTCTTGAACAAGTTCTGGTGTAATCATTTGTGGGAACAAGAATGGGAAGTGACAATGCTGTCTGACGACATGATGTTTACGACGGACGAACGAACAGGACTTTCAGTCAGGTGAGCTAAAAGTGCGACCCATACCTTACTTTCTTTTACAAATTATCGAAATCTGAAAAAAACCCTTTTTGTATGTTATGGTAGTCTTATTAAGAACTTTTATTCACTTTAGGAAATAGGCAAACATCTTTGCAGAAATTACAATTGGTAGAAGGTTGAGAAGGAGTACCACAGCTGTGATTCAGGGGTCAGACACATGCCTGAGTGAGTGAGTATGGTTTTACGCCGCTTTTAGCAATATTCCAGCAATATCACGGCAGGGGACACTAGTAATGGGTTTCACACAATGTACCTATGTCGGGAATCAAACTCGGGTCATCGGCGTGACAAGCGAACGATTTCACCACTAGGCTACCCGATCGCCCAATCACATGCCTGAAGTTCTGCTTATGTCATCAGGTGTTATAAGTGAAACCACCTTGATACTTACAATTCCATAAAATACCCTACCTCTATTACATCATAGCCAAATATCCCCATGTTGGATGTCATCACACTATGAAATCTTTTAGATTTTCAACAGACGTCCACCTCACTACCAACTGTCTCTGACGAGTTTTCAAGTAAACCCTTTCCCCAGGTCTAATGCTCCTGCGCATGCGTGAAGCGGGAAATCTTCACTTGTTTCCTGTGTGTGCTGAAGTACAAGAGCATATGGGCGAAGTGAGGTGAAATGTTCTTTAACGTCGCGTTCAAGATTAATGCACTTATATAGTGTGTAGCTACTTGGACTAGTCCGGACTAATGCCGATTTTATAGTGCTAGCCCACTGAGATACCATGCCCCAGTTTAACATCAATGTCCCACTCAGACACATTATACTGACTCCAAGCCGACCATTCCTTGTTTTAGCCCTTTAATAATGCCGAGCGCCAGGCAGAGTAACAACAAGTATCAACGTCTATTGGTATGACGCGGCTGTGGATGGAACCCCGACCTTTTGCTCTCATATCGGGTCCAGAACACGTGATACTGATGCCAACTGAGCACCCCCCCCCCACCCCCACCCCCCCCCCCCCCCCCCCACCCCCCACCCCCACCCCCACCCCCCTTTACCGGTTGGGATAGAACATCCCATAGTCATGGCTTACCCCAGCACAGGTTGTCTAGGGGATATATCTTGGATAGTAATGCTATCTCCCATTAAATGCGGATACAACACCAGTGGATAGTTACAAACCATCGGTTAATGGTTAAAGGACACTGAACTTTATCATCTCATACCAGACTTAAAGCCTGCAAGTTTGTTTGTTTGTTTGTTGTTTAGCGCTGCACTCAGCAATATACCAGCTCTTTGACGGCTGTCTGTAAATAATCAAGTCTGGACCAGACAATCCAGTGATTGTCATCATTATCTACGCAATTGGGATACGATGACATCAACCAAGTCAGCGAGCCTGACCACCCGATCCCCTATAGTCGCCTTTACGGTCAGCAAGTACGAAGCTAGCTGAACGCTTGGGTATTAAGAACCTGTCACTAAGTCAATAATTCGCCACTCTAACTTTTCACTCCTCTGCGAGGTGCGGTTAGCTAGCCTAGTGGTTAAAGCGTTCGGTCGTCACGCCCGAGACCCGGGTTCGATTCCCGACATGAGTACAATGTGTGAAGTCCATTTCTGGTGTCCCCCGCCGTGATATTGCTGGAATATTGCTAAAAGCGGCGTAAAACCATACTCACTCACTCCTCTGCGAAAAGAGTAAACTGTCATAAAACGGGTGAACGAATCACCAAAGAGCACGAAAGCACCCAACGCCAGGGTAGCTTTTCCTCAACTTAGCAAGTGCGCACTGAATTGTCCTTTTCCTCCTTGTCCTACCATTGTTGAGGACTATTACGAGCTGGGAAAATATCTTATTACCAAAATGCAAATCTGCGTGAACAAGTTCAAGTATTTAGGCGCTGTAAACAAGCAGATGAATAACAGTAGCATGTACATAAACTCGTTTGCAGCAGGAATCTGGCATGTATTACCTCCTATCGACGATGAACATTCATCAATCTCATTAAAATCATATGTAAGTTCTCGCTGCCGCTAAACAACGATCACGGGTCACGTCAGAACGATCTTTCGCGAACTTTGACCGACCACTGAAATGACGAACAAGAAGTCGACACCAGCCATTTGGTAGGCAGCTTTCTCGGGCTTTTACGGCACTCGTTTCAACCTGGCGACTTCCATTGCAGACTACGCTTGAAAAAATATGTTGACACAATCCTCGATTTAAATTTTGAAAACTGAACAAACGAACATTCCAGAATGTCTAATATATGGTTGAGTCTGTATGGCAGTGCTTCACACGTACTGTACCACGCTTCCTCCGTTCAAATGTTTATCCCAGGGAAGCGAGAGATAGACGATAATTTTGACGGAATCAGTCGTACGGGCCGTAACTGTCGTTCGGAATACCCCGTGTTAGCGTTTTGGAGGTTGCATGATTAGAAAACACATTCCGACTGTCACTTTCATGATCTGGTAAGCGACGCTTTGATTGGTCGAGTGAAAGGTCGTTCTGGGATGTCCTCGGATCTTTGTTTAGCGATAGCGAGAACTAAGATCTGATTTTAATGAGATTAGATCCGGGGTAGAATAGGTCTTCAGCAATCCATGCTTGCCATAAAAAGCGACTATGCTTGTCGTAAGAGGCGACTTACGGGATCGGGTGTGTCACTGACTTATTTGTCATTGATCCCAATTGCGTGGATCGATGCTCATGATGTCAATCACTGGATTGTCTTGCCCAGACTCGATTATTTATACAGACCACCGTCATATAGCTGGAATATTGCTGAGTGCGGCGTTAAACAACAAACAATCAAACAAAAACTTCCTCAAGCGTCCAGCATTTGTATCTCAGCCCGTAGGGATGCATGTTAGGGGCCGCCAACGTGTCCCGACAGCCACTACTAGACAAAGGAGCTATTCGTGCATTAAAGGAATCAGACACCAGCAAAGGTTTCTACGCCGCAGTCTTCCAGGTAACGAAAAAGGAACACCTGGGACAAGCGCCTGGATATCGATTCGAAATTGCTCAACACAAACTACCTTGTACGGCCACCCAAAATCCAGATGGAATCGATCAGTAAACTACGGAGCCCTCAGACGAGTTAGATTGGCTAATCAGTCCGGACGTACGGGACGCTTATTTGCATATCCATTTTCACCCCAGTTGTCGACCTACGTTTTGCAGTCAACGGTCAATGTTCGAGTTCAGCGTATCATTTGCCGTATCAATGGCTCCCTGGTTGTTTACCCGCATTACCAGCCTCATTATCGTATTTGCTCACCTCTGTCTTGTACTAACATCAGGAAGTAATCCTTCCCACCTCCCCAATTTATCTGCATCTTGGACGATTTCCCGCCTCACGCATGCGCGCTTGCATGAAGGCTGAGGATAGGGTTTACCTCAAAACTCGTCAGATGTATTGAAGAGGACGTCAGTTGAAAATCTAACCAAAATTAAAGTGTGGTGACAGCCATCATGAGTATGTATAGCTATGGTGTAATAGTGTAGTATTCTTTGAACAACAATTATTTGATTTAGCAATCAGTTCTCTTCCATATTCCCAGGAATATGCGAGGAATATAATCCGCTCTTTAGATTATGTAATATATTTATGATACATATGAGGACAATATATCTACACTCTTTTTTCACAGAAAAGGCATATTTCAACTTGGGCTTTTCACTGAAGATAAATGCCACCTTTACAAACGATTTGAAGAATGTGACTTCTTCCGAATATGCCAAATATTCAAAAGCATTCAAGTATGTGGTAAGCAGCTGGATGAGAACTTACAGGTCGACAGGTTACATTTGCATTTGTTTTCTGTGTCTAATGTATGTTTTCTTTATAATTTGGGCATTTTCTCATTTTCTGTTTTTCCAAAATGAGTGAGTGAGATTGGTTTAATGGCGCTTTGAAGAATATTTCATGTATATCACGGTGTGTTAGTTTAAAGTGGGAGGAAAGCTCGTGATGCAGTTCTTGCATATGCACCAGTCCTTGGTGCAGACAAACACCATAATCATAGCGAATCGGGGATCATAGGATCCTCGCACGCCTAAGGGACACAATTCACTGGTCAGACTTTGGCGACTGAGACACCCTTGCGACCCTATGTTTTATATACAATCCCAACCGATTGTGTCACAAGATGCATTGGATTTCTTTTCAAATAAGGGGCGGTTGGGTAGTCTAGTGGTTAAAGCGTTCGCCCGTCAGGCCAAAGACCAGGGTTCGATTTGTACATGGGTGCAATGTGTGAAGCCCATTTCTGGTGTCCCCCGAATTGATATTGCTGGAATATAACTAAAAGCGGCGTAAAACCATACTCACTCACTCTTTTCAAATAGACTGGTTTCTGACAGTAAAATGGTCTGGTATTTTCATGTGCTATTTTTAGCGGATATCGACGTTGAGATTGTCCTTTAACACCTCTCATGCAGCGCAGTTAAATTATGTAATAATGTTCATTCGGTGCTCACATGTTCTTTGCTCCTCCTGCCATGAAAAAATGTTGCAATGCCTGAAGCATGAACTTGTCATATTAAGGCCTATGTCGGCCATAACGTTTTCACAGACTTGCTCAAATGTGTTTGGTTTACGATATACCCTTATGCACCTCACATCACTATTACGCTGTGCCCCTCACGCCCTTATGCAAGCTCATAGAATCCCCTCCAGGAGTCTTCAGCAACCCATGCTTGCCGTAAAAGGCGACCTTGCTTGTCGTAAAAGGCGACTAACGGGATCGGGTGGTCAGGCTCGCTGACTTGGTTGATGCATGTCATCGATCCCAATTGCGTGGATTGATGCTCATGATATCAATCACTGGATTGTCTGGTCCAGACTCTATTATTTACAGACCGCCGTCATAAAGCTGGAATATTGCTGAGTTCGGCGTTAAACAACAAACCAACAAACCAACCAACCAACCCTCCAGGAGCCAAACGCATCTATCTTAGACGTTAGGAAGAAGATTTTATTACGCTTCATGTGGTTGAATAGTCTACAAATCTCGTATAATATGTTATCTTCCATGAGCAAATGCCGAATCCGGTCTGATTCATATGCGGTTTGGACAATTTTAAGTGAGTTAGTGAGTTGGGTTTAACGTCGCTTTTAACAATATTCCAGTTCTATCACGGCGTGTCAGCTTAATGTGGGAGGAAAGCCCGAAGTGATGCAGGTCTTAGACGTTTACCACTTCGGTGAAACCCACGAGCACGGGTATGGTGCTGACAAACCTAGAAACATAATCGGGGCGAACCGGGATTCGAACACACAATCATATGTTTCTGGTGTGCCCAAGGGACGCAACTCTGCACAGCGATCGCCGCGCCTTAGACGACTTGACCACCCGTGCTCCCGTACAATTTTGAAACATCTGGGCCCACTTGCACAAAGCGATCTTAGCGCACAACTATTGTAAGCCTATGTTAAAGTATGGGAGTTACGATCATCTTAGCGCTAAGATCGCTTTGTGCAAGTGGGCCCAGTATAGAATTTGCTTACTAACCCCTATCGTGTACATGAAACTGTACATGTGCAAGACAATATCGCTGGATAAGATCCGTTATATCTTTTCAGTGGGACATTATCAAATCTAAGAAATTGGCCCTAAAAGAAACTTCATAACCCCGTCAATTTCAATTTTTCAAGTATTTGAAGCCAAACTTAACCCTCTGTCCACGGTAAAGGCGATAAGGTAGAATCAACTTCAAATCACTCTCATTCGAATTTTTTACTGATGACGTTAACGCGTGAAGGCAATACTGTTGCCGTTATTAATGGCAGGTTAACGAACAGGCTTTTTTATTTCTTGTTTTACATATTTTATGTGTGAAAAAAATAGATAAAAATATTGTATTCTTCAAAACTTATATGAATATATCACTATATGCGCCATGTTCCTAAAGTATGTAATGCACATAATAATGTGATCCACAAGACATTGTTTGTATTCTGTGGAAAAAATAGTGTTTTTCAGATTGTTTTCCCCAATTTCATTTCTTGACCGTGGAACATTTTCTAACGCACCGTATCAGCTTTGGATCACTTACAGACGGTAGATAACATGATTTTCAAATAATTTATATGAACGCGACATGTCTTGTGATCGCAACAGGGACGTTGTATCTGCTTGCTGTTTCAGCTTTCACAAGTCTATGAGGAAATTCCTGGTTTCAGCCACATAGTTATCAAGGGGTTTCGGTGAGATCATATTCAGCTTATACATCTCCCCCGTGATGATCCGGGTTAGAACTATCTTCAGCAACCCGTGCTTGTCGAAAGAGGCGGTTGGGTAGTCAGGCTTGCTTGCAATCCCAATTGCGTAGATCAGTGTTCATGATGTCAATCACTGGATTATTTACAGACCGCCATCACGCAACTGCAATATTTTGTGGCGTTAAACGACAAGCATACACGCTTATGTATCGTCTATCCGGGACCGTCTATCCAACACCCAACAATAACACCCAAACAGATTAAGTGAATGAGCGAGTGAGTGAATGAAGAATAGCAATACCCATCTATAACACGGTGGCCAGTAAATGAATTAGTCTGGGTCACATAAATCATTTTGACCATCCTGTCTTCTATTTAGTCTCACCGTAACGTTTGCCATAGAATCCCGAAGGAAACTTCAAAGTAAAGTTATATATGTGTGAGTGAGTGAGTAGGATTTTACACCGCTCTGGCCAACATTTCGACAACATTACGCAGTGGCACAAAAATACGCGGGAAGCCTAAAGTGATGCACATCGTCGATGTTTAGCACTTAGGTGAAACCTTCAAACTATGACTGTGATTTGTCATGATTTGTCAACAGGAATGGATCCATTATCTGTGACTACACAGCTGTGATCACAGCAACAGCCAATCCTGATGACGTCATCCGAAGAATCAATGATACCCTGAAAAAAAAGTTACAGATGCCTCCTGTTGATTCCAAATATCTCCAGGACACATGGATCAAAGATCTCAAAGCAGGTATGTGTAGATGATAAACACAAAGATATACATGTAATTGCCATCGCTGTATATGTGGTGCACCAGCACGTTAAGATCGTTCCTGATATAGTCGAAAAAAACAAGTCAAAATGATCGTTAGCGTTATGTGTGATGAGCTAAGTGATTCCGAAACTTGAACCCATGACCAACGGATCTTCGACAGCCTGAGACCACTATCTTTAAACTTCTTACTACGTTTACAATATTTGGATTTCAGCGGACGACGAGATGGAATCTATTTGCAATGCCGAGAATATTTGTGATATCGGCTACAAATGTAATGGGACTGGCAATAGAACCAAATGCACCAGTAACTGTGAAGGCGAAGATTGTGGAGACCACGGAGTGTGTCAGTTGAAGGCAGATGGCCAACCTATTTGCAGGTGAGGTGCTAAATAGTGAGGTGAGGTGCTAAATAGTGAGGTGAGGTGAAATGGGGTTAAACGTTGCGTTCAAGATTAGTGTGTGTGTGTGTGTGTGTGTGTGTGTGTGTGTGTGTGTGTGTGTGTGTGTGTGTGTGTGTGTCTGCCTGTACTAGTCCGGACTAGTGCATTAATAGATTTTAAAGTGTATTTATAGTTTTTATAGGGCCAGTGAGATACCATGCCACAGTTTTAACATGAATACCCTACAACTCCTTTACTAACTCAGGGTCGACCAGTCCTTGTTTTAGCCCCTTTATGCCGAGCGCCAGGCGGGGCAACAACAAGTATCATCTTCAAAAGCATTTTGCTATGATGCAGCAGGGGATCGAACCCCGGACCGTCCTCTGTCTGGACCACTAGACCACGGCGGCGGTCTGTTAAATATTTATTATTACAGTGAAATTAATTTCACGCACATTCGATCTATCACACTGGTTCTATTGCAGTACTTCTGATGTACGGAAAGGTGACATAAATCAATGATTGGCCACCTTCATATCGATTCTATGCCATGTGTGCAGTAAGTGGGTTAATACCGGTTTTATACCGCATTCAGTAATAGTCCGGCTATGCTGATAAACCCGGGTCTATCAATATACTACTCACAATTTGCTAAGGATCAAGTTTTGATATCAGAAATCATCCAACAAATAGAGTTTGAAATATCCCAGTACACAATGACTGGGTAACCCCTATAGGGTCTCAATTTCACGATAAACGGACAGAGGCATTCAGCCATTGGCACGATGTGCACGTGCTTGTAAAACGTGTGTGTTGAACATAATTATCAGAGAGCACAACACCATTTGCTGCTGAGGATTGCAACAGTGAGTGTGAGTGAGTTGGGTTTAACGCCGCTTTTAACAGTATTCCAGTTATATCGCGGCGTGTCAGCTTAATGTGGGAGGAAAGCCCAAAGTGATGCAGGTTTCAGACGTTTACCACTTCGGTGAAACCCACGAGCACGGGTATGGTGCTGACAAACCAAGAAACATAATCGGGGCGAACCGGGATTCGAACCCACAATAAAAGGTTTCTGGCGTGCCCAAGGGACGCAACTCTGCACAGCGAATCGCGGCGCCTTAGACGACTGGGCCACCCGTGCCCCCGAGGATAGCAACAACTGAAGGGACGACATTCTGGATGTGTACGTAGAACCGTATGTTGGCGCAATCGGAACGGACTTCCGGACCTCATCGCGCAATTGGGATACGATGACATGCAACAACCAAGTCAGCGAACAAGACCACCCGATCCCGTTAGTCGCCTCTTACGAAAAGCATAGTCGCCTTTTACGGCAAGTATGGGTTGCTGAAGACCTATTCTACCCCGGATCTTCACGGGTCCAATCATGAGTGTAATCTGATTGGATTTATGTTTAGCAGTTTCTTTCGAATACCGTTCAAAACGAAGCTACCAGTTACGAATGGGTCCAGGATAATTATCAAAAATAGAATGGAGACATAATACTCTGGATAACCAAGGACGATGTACCAATGGAGTAACTATAGCTGGCAGGTCTTGTTTTATTTTTTAATATTTTTGTCGTTTTGTCAGAAAATAACTTTTTCAACTCCCGGACATTTAAACAAGAGACAGACGTTGAGAGATTGGTTTTGCAAGCCCATTTGAACATCTACGGTACATAAATATATTCAACAGATGTACTGGTATCTCTATGTTCGTTTCAGATGCAAAATGCACCCAAAGTATGTGTACAGTGGAGACAAGTGTGAGATCAAAGCGGAACAACTGCTCCTCAAGTCTGAATACATTGCAGCCATAGCGGGAGGAGGCGGCGGTGGCCTCGTTCTCATACTGGTGATAGCTCTCATCTGCACATGCGCCAGGAAGAGGAAAGCTAAAGAAAAACGGTACAAAACAGAATCGTAATGATAAGCTCGACAACACGTGTATGTCTTTTCAAAGTGAACTGCCTAATTTGTTTATCGATAAGGACAAGGTGTGATAATGACCATTGTTACCCACGTGTTCTGCGTTATTTAAAAAAATAAGCAAACCAAATCATTTGCCTATTGTGTTTATACAAACCGTGTTACTATGAATGAAATGAGACTTTCTATTCAACATGTTTTGAATGCATAACACCACCAAACGTGGAAGTGAGACTTTTTAGGCCAGCTGATTTTCTGAGAAGATATCGGTGGACCCATGGTGACAAATCCACAAGGCCTATAGACAGTTCATACATACATACATGAAAGTTGAAAAAATCTCTTGCTCATGCTCTTATGTTATTTTGAAGCCACACTTCACCATGTAATGAGTCGAAAACATTCAAGTTGTGAATATGAATTATTGCTAGTTGTCAGACACATGAACATGTCCAAATCGTTCCCTAGTTATATTGTTGTTTAACGCCGAAATATTCCAACTATATGACGACGGTCTGTAATGAAACACATTAAATTGAACAGAAATTGCCTTGAAAAATAAGATCTCATATTATTGGCTATGAAAGCAAAATAGCGGACCAAGAAGTGCAAAATGAAGAGGTTTAATGTGTTATAGTGTCACAGTGATCACAACAAGAACATGCAAACCTTTAGTCGGGAAACACGTACGATTCGGAAAAACGCACCCAGTGCATTAACAAAATCGCCATGAGAGAGGCACGAGTCGCTATTCGGCTTGTCGCGGAATAACACGAGTTGGTCACGAATGCCCCCGCCCCAAATCGCTACATCCGACTGTGCCACCTACGTGATACGACGACCACAGCCACCTCAACCGCATTCCAAATACCCGGACTGCGCAGAATCTCCGACCAGACCGTACGAAACCGTTTGAGAGCAGAAGATCTACGAGCAAGACGTCTTGTTCGACGCGTCAGTGTTGAGTCGACAACATCGTCAACAACGACTGCATTGGTGTCGTCAACACAGGGTATGGTCCAAACTTCGATGGAGATGCTGGTTCAGCGACGAATCAAGATGTCTCCTCCGTGGAGGGGATGGAAGACGTGGGTCTACAGACGTAGGTGAGATCTTTACGCCTGAAACTGCGTACAGGAAGTGAACAGGTTTGGTGGGGGTAGCGTTATGATGTGGGCGGCTATCTCTCATCATGGCAGGACAGGTTTGGTCCATATCCAGGGCAATCTTACGGCTCAACGATATATCAACGACATTCTCCTACCATACGTTCTCCCAATTACAGCCAACGGCAACGGTGTATTCCAGCAGGACAACGCTCGACTGCATACAACACGGATCACAAGAGCCTGTCTACACAACAACAACGTTGATGTTCTCCCCTGGCCCTCCAGATCCCCGGATTAAAACCCGATAGAACACTCGTGGGATGAATTGGATAGACGGCTACACCGACGTCAGCCCTTACCCCAGACGTTGCAGCAGTTGACTTTTGCGTTGCAGGCCGAGTATGCTACCATTCCCCAGGATGTGATTTGCATACTCGTCTCTTCCATGGGCAGGATATGTCGACGCTATCGACTCCAACGGGGGACATACGCGTTATTGATGGTAGCTGACCTTCACCTTGGGCTTTTCCTATTTACCGATAACAGAGATGACTACAATCACTGAGTGTCTCAATAACTTGTACGGTTCCTCGTATAAATGTATTTTCCTACCTCACACAAATCTGGATTTGCGTTTCTTTTTTTAAGGGTGTATCCATTTTGTTAGTAATAAACATCATCATTGAGCTTTGATAAGGCAGTTACAATCCGGGTAAGGGTCGGCAATCAGGTGACTGAGCGTCTATATTTAGCAGCGGGCGCAGCATACGATCATTACTAGCACAAACATGTGTAGTATTTGAAGTGCTATTGACCAAGCTCGAGATGCACTCACTGATAAATAAAACCACCCGCATGCAGGCACCTGACTGCCGACCCATATGGCTGACAAATACTTACAATGTATATATTTGTTTCAATCCTTCTGTCTTTTAAGTGATGGCCCACTGTCTGCTTACGACGAGAGTCCGGGACAGCACTGGACATCCCACTCTGGGGACCCCCGTCGACATAACGTAAATACAGAACTTCATCTATCTCTATATGTCCCTAAACAATTTGCCACATGACATTATTTTGTAGCCCAAAACTATAACGTAGAGACTGTACGCCGCTTGGGAATTTCTGATTTGAATAGGGGCTGTCGGGTAGCCTAGTGGTTAAAGCGTTCGCTCGTCATGCCGAAGACCCGGGTTCGATTCTCGATATGGGTACAATGTGTGAAGCCCATTTCTGGTGTCCCCCGACGTGCTATTGCTGGAATATTGCTAAAAGCGGCGTAAAACCATACTCACTCACTCACTCTGATTTGAATAGGCCCCCGTAAGCTGTGCATGCTGTACAGGGCGTGAATATGGATTGGGTGGTCGGGATTGGTGCCTTGATTTGTAGTACGGGATGATGCTTATATTGTCAGACGCTGGTTTGTCTGGTCCAACCTCGAGATATGTGTACACTGTCAGTCGATTTAATACTTTTTGGTGTAATTTCTGTTTCTGCTTTAGAACCCTGGGTATGAGGCCGTCGAGATGGACGTCCTCCCACCTCAACGTGCTCAACACGGCAGCGGCGAGGAACCGGTGAGTCGACACCATGTCTTGTTGCCGTGGATGACATATTTCATGAAGCACGTGGGCCTGTATATAACGGAATTCCTGACTGTTCCGAAGTATCGTAATTGTCTCAAATGTTGGAACATGCAGATTACATGAATCCATACTTTAACCAAGCCTCAACACTTTGAAAATTATGTTAACGGTGTATTCCAGTGTGGAAAGGTCTCTTGCCCTATACCAACCAAACAAAACGGTTCACCATGACACAAATAGCGATATAATCTGGATCCAGCCCACATAGCCCTATAGTGTCGAATCAGTCCCCAGCAGGCAGCTACGAGCCTTATGTTTGATAAAGTCACCTACAATATATAACCAGAGTAATATCGCACACTATTTTCATAAACTCGATTAAAATTGTTTTCAGATTTAAGAAGCCCGTGTAGTCTTAAAATATTTTTAATGTTGTTTTCTTTTTCCAGTTCTACGTGTATCAGCCCTCGAACATTACGACGCCGATGACAAGAGCGAGCGCCGAGTACGCTTCATTCATGGACGAGGGAAGAACTGGTGCAGCTCACGACCTCCACATCAAGAACCGCGCCGATACCAGTTACACCAATCGTTATGGCAACGATGAGCGCCACAACACAGGGGAAGGCGCGAGTCGGGACGCGGGCCACGTTCCAGCTTCTCTTGAGGCCGACATCATTGACGACGTCAGGAGACATGACAGAATGCGACAAGCCCACGACAGGACCGGTCCTAATCGAGTATCTGTTGCTGGACTCTATCCTGAGATTACTAAGCATCCACGTGATGGCATATCTATCACCCCAAATACACCCCAAATGCAAATCGAAAATTCGAAACTCGATCGTCGTGAACAAGATGTCTATCCGTCACGTGACCATCGAGGACAAGATGACGAACAGTCACGTGGTCGGTACCATCACGGGCAAGATGGCTATCCTTCGCGTGACCATCTGAGGCGCGTTGACTCTCGGTCACTTGATCGTCGAGAGCAAGAAGGCTACCAGTCACGTGACCAACGGGGGCAAGACAGCTACATTCCGAGGGACAGAAATCTAGAACGGCTGCATCGGGAAGAGCGAATGTCGGACCGACAACGCCAGAGTCCTGGGAGCTTCGGGGATGACAGACGGAGCCCGAGAGAAACCGACTATGGACACCAACCGGCACACCCTTCGCCCTTACTTCGGCAGAAGGGGTTGGGGGAGATGCGTCATCCCCATAGTTTCATCACGACCCCCGACCCAGACTACGGCGTCGATCACGGCAGCGTCACGGAACACGACAGACACAGGCCGAGCCAGAGGCGTGACAACGATGCGGGGGAAGGAAGGCAGCTCTACAGAAACGAAAGTTATGGGAACGTCAATGACAGCCAATTTGCCCGAGATTTGCAGCGACGTCGCACAGAGATCAAATCTCAAGGTGAAGGTGTCATGGACAGAATGATTGACACCAGGGACAGACGAGGGCAATGGGAAAACTCGGACCGCCGGAATGAGAACCGCTCCCGTCAACGACGGGGTGACTATCAGGTAGGCCTATGTTTTGGGCGTAACATGATGTTTGTTTGTTTGTTTGTCGTGTAACGTCGCACTCAGCAATATTCCAATTACATGACGGCTGTATATAAATAATCGAGTCTGGACCAGCCTATCCGGTGACAGACATCATGAGCATGTATCTTATTTGTTAGTTTGTTGGTTGTTTAACGCCGTACATCAGCAATTATACAGCTATGTGAAGGCTGTATGTAAATAATCGAGCCTGGACCAGACTATCCAGTGATTGAGCATCGATCTGCGCGATTGAGATACGATGACATGCATCAATCATGTCAGCGGGCTTGACCACCAGATCCCGTTCGTCGCCTCTTACGGCAAGCCTTGTCGTCATTTCTTACCACAAGCATGGGTTGTTGAAGGCCAATTCTAACCCGGATCTTCACGGGGTTGGACATAACACATGAACTGCCCGAAGATTGTTTAATGTTTTTTAATTACCCGCTGAATTTTTGGCTATGTCTATGTCTATGCTTCATCGGCAATTTGTAAACACCTTTTATGTCACTGATAATATTTATTGCAACAAATATAATATAACAAACGCACACAAAGTATGTGATCTAGGCTACCAGTTGTCGGACTTTCATTTTTTTGTGGAAGCCTCGGTGGCTGAGTGGGTTAGATCGCTGACTTTGTGTGCTGGCGATTAGGTGCTTCACTCTTGCAGTCGTAGGAGGCGACTAACGGGATCGGGTGGTCAGGCTCGCTGACTTGGTTGAACCATGTCATCGATCCCAATTGCGTGGATCGATGCGCATGATATCAATCACTGGATTATCTGGTCCAGCCTCGATTATTTGCAGACCGCCGTCATATAGCCGGAATATTGCTGAGTGCGGCCTAAAAAAACAAACCAAGCCAAAACCAAAATCCCTCTTGCAGTGTTGGGTCGAATCCCGGACCGGAGTCAATCCCACAAAAGTACGAGAATCTGTACTTTACTGAGAAAGTGGTATCCCACATATTACATTTTTGTAAATTATGACCACTTCCCAAATGGCAGTGTGTGTTTATAAGAAATATATAATTATGTCAGTGACGGTGCCCCAGAAACACCAAGCATAGTTTAGCTTTTAGGGGTGGTATAAACCAACGGAAGTAAAGTGCATGCTCCTGTGCCACATTTCTTGCCTAATTTGTGTTGTGTGATCCGGCAGAAATTGCTACTTTAAAACTCAAGACACTGTAAGTGTAATTCACTGCAATGTACTTCCCAGAGTCCTAAATTATAACCAACTGCTAAAACGGCAACCATGGCATATGCCAACTCCTTGTTCCAATGTTCTATGTTCATGGTCATTGATCTAAGCAATAAGGATATGATATGCATCAACGTTAACCAAGTCAGCGAGCCTGACCACCCGGTCCCGTTAGTCGCCTCTTACGACAAACATAGGCACCTTTTACGGCAAGCATGGGTTGCTGAAGACCAATTATGGGTCGTTATATGTGTGTATGAATATATACTATTCAAAATAATAAACACACGATTTTTTCATTTGACTATAGTTAATCTGCATGACCATGACTCTAGTCATATGAAAAACAGGTGTTCTTTAACTTCATTTTAGTGGTATACATTGGGCATACTATATTAGGGAAGTCTTTCTGCGGTTTCTTTTTTAAAAAACTTCGAGTAACGTGGGTAAGACTAGTCTGTCTCCCAGACCCAAGAGTGAGTGAGTGAGTTGGGTTTAACGCCGCTTTTAACAGTATTCCACTTATATCACGGCGTGTCAGCTTAATGTGGGAGGAAAGCCCGAAGTCATGCAGGTCTCAGACGTTTACCACTTCGTTGAAACCCACGAGCACGGTTATGGTGCTGACAAACCTAGAAACATAATCGGGGCGGACCGGGATTCGAACCTACAATCATAGGTTTCTGGCGTGCCCAAGGGACGCAACTCTGCACAGCGAATTGCGGCGCATTAGACGACTGGGACACCCCTGCCCCCCAGACCCAAGAGAAAAAATTTAGAAATGAACCCCAATCTAAAGAAACACACACTTTTAAGAGATTCCCAAACAGTTAGTCATATAAAGCCGAGATCTTTTTTTTGAAGAAGTGCAATGTGCCTATGAACCGAAGAGACTGTGTAGATCAATTGGTGTTTTCTTGTATCAGGAGCAGCCCTAGTATATCCGCAGATTAATTGAGTATTTTTATACTACACAAACTGGAGGTTAAAGATCTCCTGATTCTTACATATTACTATAGTTAATCTTTTATGGCAAGACAGATCTAAAGAATGGTCTTTACTTGTTTTGAGTAGTATATATTCATAGCCAACATCAAGTCATTCGGGTAATAAAATGGTATTTATCTTTCATAGGCTTCATAATTTCTTGTCTTTTACGTGTTGAAATGCAGGAATAATGATATTGTTTTCTTTCTTCTTCATCAGATGAACCATCATCTATAGGACACCAAGTCAGTAACACCACCACATACCGATGTCATGCATCAACGACTGTAGTGCTTGAAGGACATGGTGGAACGCCCTGATATCACCGGAAAACAACTATCCTGAGCAACCAAAACATCCTCGTTACCCAGGACAACCAGGGCAACCACAACCGGACACCCTGAGCAACCAAAACACCCTCGTTACCCAGGACAACCACGCCAACCACAACCGGATACCCTGAGCAACCAAAACACCCTCGTTACCCAGGACAACCACGGCAACCACAACCGGACACCCTGAGCAACCAAAATATCCCGGGCAACCTCGACAAGCCAACCACCTACGACACCGCCACCGACACACTGTAAGCTCACAACAAAAAACAAAATATATCCTGGACACGGCAACAACAACAACAGCAACTCTGACATCCACGACAACAAAACACACTTTAAACACGTCATCCAAGACACCCCGTAATGTAGGACACCAGGCACACCGAACTCACTGTTGCCCATAACACAGCAATATGTATGTTTGCCTTTTATTGTACGATAGGTTTCAGACCGTTTGTAAGGTAAAGACAATTTACCTTCAATGTTTTACACTTAGTCATATTACTCGCCATCATCAGGTACATAATGATGTCTTATGAAGACAAGGGTAAACCTTTTGGAAAGGAAACCTCTATCACTGCATCTCATGTCTTCAAAAGAGTTCGTGTTGTTTGAATATACTCTTGTCTAAAACTACAATTGGGTCAGCTATTTTTCGATTTATTTTGTGACATTCGTATATATATGCCTGGCTGAATGATATCATATCTCTGTAGGCCTTTGTGAATAGTGAAATGATAGTTTTATAGTTTGCATTGAAATCACAAGCCCAGTTTTCTATTTATATAATTGTTACACTGTTTGCAGTGATGAATGTATATGTTGTTATGTACTTTAACATTTAACCATTAGCATATGGTATGTCAGTTAATAGTAAGTCGTAAGTTTTTCATCGTCATTCTGCACACACACATAGTTCGTAGCCATGACAACGCTCTCCGGAGAAATTGTTACTAAGTAACCCCGGGTACCCATCCTGTGCCTAACTGGACTCGAACTATATCAGATGTTTGCAGATAATACAATGTATGGTTCACAGGAGCGTGTCTTATGAACAGTAACTTTAGTTAGATTTATAGTTATGATCAGCAAACAAATGTAATTGAAAATATTCCTTTAGTATTTTTCAATTTTCAATTCTAAGACATATTTTCGTAACTCCCCTAATCTCATTTGCCACATGTTTGTTGCATATGGAGCCAGCAATGTAAAAATACTAGGTTACAGAATGTTTAATTTACGCATGGCTTTTTTCCAGCGTACACATGATCTATACTCAGAGGCTAAAAAATTATCACGTGTTTGTAATCAAACTGTTTCAAAGCACTTGTCTCATTTTTCTTTCAATATTTAGTGTTTGGTTTTTAATTAGGCTCAAGGTGGACTTGAAGGAGAACGTTTAATATAAAATTTAAACGGATTCAAAATTCAATATGCATATTCAGCTTCTTATCTGTGTTTTTGTCACAAATATGCACATTGAAACATGATTTTAACCACTAGCCACAAGTGATGTAAAGTAGCTTGAAAGTGAAGAAATGTGAAGTCAGCAAGTTGTCAATACAACACACATTGAAACGGCATCACGCTTGCCTTGTCTGTCTGTCTGTCTGTCTGTCTGTCTGTCTGTCACAGCTAAAGGAGGATTCCATCAGTCGTAATATACTTACCAACATCATCATCGTCGTCATCGTCATCTTTATCTTCATCATTTCTAGTAACTTTAAAGTTGCCTTTGAATATACACTAGACTTTTTTTTATAAAAGTAAAATGTTTTCCAACTTTAAATTCTGTTATTAAAGACGATAATCATGTCATATATTTATATACTTATTAACAAAGATTGTTATGGTTTCAACTGAACATAATACACAATGTGTATTGTAGCCAATTCTTTAAGAAGACATCGAGTGCTTTCATGTTTTTTTAGAATTGTATACAGTTGAAGATACCCATGTCAAATATTCAAATACTACTTTACAAACATTAACATTTAATTGAGCTTAACATAATACTCAATTTGATAATCTATATTTCTGAAATACTGTGCTGTGTATCTGAAATAATGTGCTTTTTTATTTATAAGTGTTTACGTTTGAAAAATACTTATGTGAAATATTCAAATACCGTTCTACAAACATTAACATTTAATTCAGCTGAACAAAATACTCAATTTGAGAATATGTATTCCTGAAAAAATAACTTCATATACAAAAGCAGACGCTTCTATGCTTTTTTATTTATGAGTGTATACTTTTGAAACTACTTATGTCAAATATTCAAATACTGTTTTACAAACATTAACATTTAATTCAGCTTAACATAATACTCAATTTGACAATTTGTCTTGGAGCAAATATCACATCATGTAACATTTTCTTTACTTACGTTTGTATACATTTACGTTTGTATACATAATCATGCCAAATAACTCCCCTTAAAAGAAACGCAAATGTTGTTTTGGTGACGTTTGATGGATCAACGTAAAGCAGCTGAATTTTCAGATACGACACACGCTACCGTAGTTAACACAAGTCGCTAACACGGACATGACATGTTCCAAGTCAAAGCCATCTGCCATCAAAGTATCGTGCGTGCCCAACCTGGGGGTCAGTCAAGAACTGCCTGACGTCTCCTGCCTATTGAGCAATGAGGGTAGGAATCAGCTCCTGGGGAATGGTGGTCCATGTGGCCTCTTGTGCCAGCTTGTGGCAGAGTCTACGGCTTCGGATGACGCTTTCGCTCACGTCTATCCAGTTCATCCCATAAATGTTCGTTGGGGTTCCAATCTAGTGAAAGAGGGCATTATCGTTCTGGAAATACGGTGCGGGCGTCCTGCATAATATGAGTGTCATGTAGCCATCCTGTGTCCTGTAGAATCTATCCTCGGAGCCGCTGTGTAGTTGTCCTGAACGTGAACCTGCCATGGTGCAAGATGACCCTACCTCCACAAACTGTCGACTGTAGGGAGTTTGGAGCAAAACGTTCACATCGAGAACTATACACAGAATATCTTCCATCTCCACGATGAAGCAAGAAAACGTGACTGGGTGATTAACTCTCTCCTTCACATATGAGACAGAGTGTTCTCTGCGGACATGACACCACTGACGTCCACGACTGATGTTGGACCGCCATAAAGACACTTGGAACACACCGTCTGGTTTGAAGACTTGCCTCACGTTGCTGGCCTCACCATCTGGGCTGATGTCCTTCGCAAAACGGGTATGGCGAGTGCTGTAGAGATTGTCCTGTGATATTGCTAACGATTCCAGAGCCTTGTAATGGCCCTCGGTCCTGGAAATGCCCTGGCGACGGCCAACCTGGATTCACCATTCACCGGTTTCCAAGCGACCGATGGCGTTGTTTTATTCTGCACCACACAGCCGCGGCATGGGGTTGCTACTTTGCATTCGTCTAGATAAAGAGGACATGTTAACGAAAATTCCTTATGCTCATGTATTACGTTTCTTACTTGCGTTTTGGCGACTGCAACAATGGCGGTACGTTTGGATATATTATTCCTGTTTCGCTATGTGTAAACGCCTGATATATATGATTTAATTCATTTTGCGTTTCTTTTTTGTGAAGTATAATTTGAAAACATTACTTTTGTTTAAGCTGAACATAATACTCAGTTTGACAGCTTGCGACAGTATCAGGCATATTGCATATTAACACTTGTATATTCATGTTTATGTATTCGGATAACCTGTCTTGTACATGACAGTTATATATAATCAAGGTGCGCCATCACATTAAAATGAAAGCAATGACAGTATTTTTATGAATAAAACGTTTGACTTATTTTATCAGGGCGTTACTTGTCGTTCCGTGGTTCATTGATTCAGTAGGTTTGAAATTGAATGCAATAATCTTTACATTTGGCAAAACAATCTACATGACGCAAACCTGTGTTCTTCATGAGTATCTTGTTAAACTCAGATATAACATTACACGCCGATCGACGTATTATACGTAAAAGAACGTATAAAACTTCAATCAACGTATAATACTTCAATCAACGTATGATACTTCAATCAACGTATAATACTTCAATCAACGTATGATACTTCAATCAAGGTATAATACTTCAATCAACGTATTATACTTCAATCAACGTATAATACTTCAATCAACGTATAACACTTCAATCAACGTATAATACTTCAATCAACTTATCACACTTCAATCAACGTATTATACTAAAATCAACGTGTTATACAGTTAACTTCAATCAACGTATTACACGTCAATTAACGTACTATACGTCATTAAACGTATTATACTTCGGTCTGTGGGTATCCCCGACATGATCTGGGTATGTGAACGAGTTTGGCGTAACGTCGCTTTGAACAGTACCAGTTATATCACGGCGTGTCAGCTTCATGTGGAAGGAAAATCCGAAGTGATGCAGGTCTTAGATGTTTACAAGCACGGGTATGGTGCTGATATACCAAGAAACAAAACGGTGTGATCCCACCATTACATATTTTGGGCACACCAAGGGACGCAGCTGTGATGCAAGTCGGGGGAAATATAATATAATAAGCGTTGTCTACCTTCTATCCAGGTGCATAGTCCGTGCAATGTGCACCACGGTCTATCGTCTATGTGCAGTCCAGGTTGATAGTGTAAATAGTGCTTTGCGCGGAAGAGAGCGGAATGCCTGATCCGATGCCACGGCCGCGCCATACCCAAAGACGTTAAAAGATGGTACTTGTTGTTACCAACAATGACGCTCGGCATTGGGGCCTAAACAAGGACTGGTCTGCCCCAGTCAGTATACTGGGTCTGAGTGGGGTATTTATTGTACATGTGGCTGCCAACCCCGGATTGGAATTCTGTGAGCATGGTCTAGAGAATGACAAGTTAACGGCAGATGAACTGACAGGCGTAGGGGAGGTTGGGTAACCAAGGGCTCAAGCGTTCCCTCGTCACACCGATGGCCCGGGTGCGAAGTTTATTTCTGGTGCAAAAAGCTTCATTCTGGGTAACAACAAGTACAAGTATCTTTAAACGTCATTAGTATGACGCGGGCAGGGGATCGAACCACCGACCCCCGCTCTCTGAGCGGTCTAATAAGCCTGTGAGATCGTCCCTCTACATAACAGTCATGTATTTATAGATCTGCAGTCTAGTGAGCATGCTCTGTGGGTGGGTGCTGTGTAGAAACTACTACTTTTCCTTATTCTTTTTTTTTCTTGTCTTTCGGATCTAATCTGATATTCCATAAAAATGAGGTCAACTACGCAGGCATTTCTAGTTTTTACTTCGGAAATATCTCTGTATATAGCTAGCAGTAGTATGGTAGACAGTTGTGTGTGCAAACATTTGCACATACTAGAACAAGCAATTGAAAATTACTTGGATGTCGATTTTCTACAACTATGGAATGTTAATGGGACATCGTCGCACTGTTGTTCATGTCAACGCCCTTTTTCAGACAGTTTGGATGGGGTTACAATACGACAACGCGACATATTTTGACCTCTGTGTTTTTTTGTCAGTTTCTGCGGTGACAATGTGACAACGCGACAATGTCTCTTCTAGAATTTCATACTACAACACTACAGAGGGGTTTCACCATCGCCTTATACATTTCTAAACTTCGAGTTGAATTTAACCGGATCCTGCTTAAAGCATACAACTAACTTATTTCATTTAATGTTCAACTTTTATTAAATGATATATGTATAACGGACTGGTGATTGAAAAAAACGTAATTAATTTTCTCATTCATTTAGCATAAAGGGGCGGTCGGGTAGCTTAGTGGTTAAAAGCGTTCGCTCGTCACACCGAAGACCCGGGTTCGATTCCCGACATGGGTACAATGTGTGAAGCCCATTTCTGGTGTCCCCCGCTGTGATATTGCTGGAATATTTCTAAAAAAAGGCATAAAACCATACCCACTCACTCACTCATTTAGCGTAACATAAGAGTGGTTCAAATGAAATATATGTTAGGACCCATTTTGTGATAAGTTACTTTTAGCAGCCGAGAACTGTTGAGTACAAATCTAATCCAGCATGAACAAATAACAATGATATATTTGGTGATCTGAATGATGATGTTGACCATACAAATAACTGACCACCAAGGCTTCGATGGTTACAACAGGTAATTACTAAACCTACGATTTTTTACAAGATAAGCTACTCATTGATATCCAGACCCGTGAAGATCCGGGGTAGAATAGGTCTTCAGCAACCCATGCTTGCCGTAAAAGGCGACTATGCTTGTCGTAAGAGGCGACTAACAGGATCGGGTAGTCAGGTTCGCTGACTTGGTTGATGCATGTCATCGTATCCCAATTGCGTGGATCGATGCTCATGATGTCAATCACTGGATTGTTTGGTCCAGACTCGACCATTTACAGACCGCCGTCATATAGCGAGAATATTGCTGAGTGCGGCGTAAAAGAACAAACAAACAAAACAACATTGATATCCAGTGAAACCTCGTTAATCTGGACGGCATCGGACCGATTGATATCGTAGGAATACATCAATATTAGAATTTACAAGTCCTTGCTGTAGAATAATGTTCTTTGTACAAATCACAATGTAGATGTTTCTGAGAGTATTCTCCGTGGAGTGGGTGGGGGTTCGGCGAGGCGTGGTGAGAGAGTTCCAAGAGTGACGTGACTTCCAGCAACCTAATATAAGAATCGTCCCGTCGTCCTACCGTTTTTGCAGCTCAACCCCAGGATCTTGTTTTATAAAAAAAGTGAGTAAGTGAGTGAGTCTCGTTTATCGCCGCTTTTAACAGTATTCCATTTATATAACCGCGTGTCAGCTTAATGTGGGAGGAAAGCCCCAAGTGATGCAGGTCTCAGACGTTTACCACTTCGGTGAAACCCGGGAACACGGGTATGGTGCTGACAAACATAGAAACATAATCGGGGTGAACCGGGATTCGAACCCACAATCATAGGTTTCTGGCGTGCCCAAGGGACGCAACTCTGCACAGCGAAATGCGGCGCCTCAGACGAATGGGCCACCCGTGCACCCGTTTCAAAAGGACAACGCAAGACCTCACACAACAGATTCTGACCACGTGCAACGTTTTGATTCGCCAGCCATGTTAATCATAGAATCTTGAGATCGTCTTGACAAGAACATCCGACACCGTCCCAATCATCCAATGAACGGAATTCAAAAGGTTCAAGCACTGAGAGAGGAATGGAGGGAAGTTCCTGATGACGTCAATAGACGCTCAGCGACATCTGCCCGACGTCGTGTGCACGCCTGTAAGTTTGTATGTGGAGGACATACACATTATTGACGCACTGACATTCATTTAGTGACAGTAATGATCATGTTAACTCACATCTCGTCCGAAGTGTAATCTGTAAAATCGCCTTTTTTTTACCCCTAGTGACGTGTGGGATCTGTCATAATGACACTGGAGGGTCAAGAGTGTGTTATCAGAGTTGCTATCTCGTCAAATGATTATACTCTCGTAATATAACATTTGTATCAACACGTGGTTCATGTTTTTTTCATCATTTTGATAAAGATATGATCGGTATTCTTTCACATGATTGTCAGTTTATAATACCGTCCGTTTCTATTCTAATTGCAAACACATGATGATCAATATATCTTGCGTGACATAGTTACCCCAACATAGATTTTCACTCGTTTTAACTATATTTGTGTATTTGTCATGTCAGAAGTCAAAGTGTAAGACAGAAAACGAGCTATTTTAAATGTCTGAAAATTATAACAATATTTTACATTTTTCTGCAACTTTTCCATTAATTTTCCAGTTGACCAAAAGTGCCCTGTATCATTCTCATATTTGTCAAATCTGATAACTGCTGTACTGTTCTCCAATATGACCGACATGTGGATTCAGGGTCAGAATAGACCCCAGCTGTCCACTGGTTGTTGAAAGGGATCGTATGGTCACAATGGCGTCTCGTTGTGGATAGTCCTTGTATGTGTGATTCAGTAAGGAGACCGCTCTAACTGGTTTCCGACTGACAGTGATGTATCATTTCCAGACAATCCAGGATTACACTAGGTTTGTCAGAGTCAGTGTGTACATGCCACAGATACGCTGTGAGTTTGCCGTCTGTTGTGTTAACCCTCATGTAACTTACTGACTGACTGACTAGGCTCTCTCCCCTTTAGCTCGCCTCGGCAATATCACAGCGGGGGACACCAGAAATGGGCTTCGCACATTGTACCCATGTCGGGAATCGAACCCGGGTCTTCGGCGTGACGAGCGAACGCTTTAACCACTAGGCTACCCGACCGCCCCTGATGTCAGTGAGTTAGCCTAGTGGTTCTGGGTTCGATGCCCCACATGAGTAGAAAGTGTGAAGCTCAATTCCGGTTTCACCCGGGCGCCCTGATATTGCTGGAACTTGCTAAATATTCACTCCTTCACTCTCCTTCTTTGTTTGTCTCGTCATTCTCCCCAACTCCCGTCTCTCTTTAACCCCACGCATATAGACCGCCTCCGTGGTCTAGTGGTAGAGCGTCCGCCCGGAGAGCGGAAGGTCCGGGGCTCGATCCCCGCCCGCGTCATACAAAAAGACGTTAAAAGATTGTACTTGTTGTTACCCTGTCTGGCGCTCGGCATTAAGGGGCTAAAACAAGGACTGGTCGGCTCGGAGTCAGTATACTGTGTATGAGTGGGGTATTCATGTTAAACTGCGGCATGGTATCTCAGTAAGCTAGCACTATAAATTGGCATCAGTCCGGACTAGTACAAGCAGCCACACACAAACATACACGTGCATGCACGTCGCTATATAAGTGCAATAATCTTGGACGCGACGTTAAACCCAATTTCACCT